TTTTAAAAGCTGATCTGTCCGGAAATCAAATCGGAATGTGTTCTACAGTCCTTTAGGTATCTTTCTAGCAAATTTAAAGCAATTTCATTTTTTGGCCAAAAAATAAAAAAAAAGGGGTTAGCCTTACTTTTTTGATGAAATTTGGCCAAAAAGAACTTTTCTTCAAATTATGCAGAAAATTTTTTAAAGGTGAGAGGAGCATCAATCAGCATTCAAACGCCTAATATTTGAAACATTTTCGCCAAAATCATCCATTTTTATTGAACAAAAAGAATAATATTTTAGACTGTTTTTACCGCAAACTTTTGTCAAAATATCCTTTTTAAAAGCTGATCTGTCCGGAAATCAAATCAGAATGTGTTCTACAGTCCTTTAGGCATCTTTCCAGCAAATTTCAAGCAATTTCATTTTTAGGCCAAAATTGAAAAAAAAAATAAGGGGTTAGCCTTACTTTTTTGATGAAATTTGGCCCAAAAATGACTTTTCTTCAAACAATGCAGAAATACTTTTAAAGGTGAGAGGAGCATCAATCAGCCTTCAAACGTCTAATATTTGAAACATTTCGGCCGAAATTATCCATTTTTATTGAAAAAAAAAATATATATTGTAGTCTGCTTTTACCGCAAACTTTTGTCAAAATATCCTTTTTAAAAGCTGATCTCTCCGGAAATCGAATCGGAAAGTGTTCTACAGTCCTTCAGGCATCTTTCCAGCAAATTTCAAGCAATTTCATTTTTTGGCCAAAATTGAAAAAACACACAAGGGGTTAGCCTTACTTTTTTGATGAAATTTGGCCCAAAAATGACCTTTTCTCAAACTATGCAGAAATACTTTTAAAGGTGAGAGGAGCATCAATCAGCATTCAAACGCCTAATATTTGAAACATTTTGGCCAAAATCATCAATTTTTATTGAAAAAAAATAATATTTTAGACTGTTTTTACCGCAAACTTTTGTCAAAATATCCTTTTTAAAAGCTGATCTGTCCGGAAATCGAATCGGAAAGTGTTCTACAGTCCTTCAGGCATCTTTCCAGCAAATTTCAAGCAATTTCATTTTTTGGCCAAAATTGAAAAAAACACACAAGGGGTTAGCCTTACTTTTTTGATGAAATTTGGCCCAAAAATGACCTTTTCTCAAACTATGCAGAAATACTTTTAAAGGTGAGAGGAGCATCAATCAGCCTTCAAACGTCTAATATTTGAAACATTTCGGCCGAAATTATCCATTTTTATTGAAAAAAAATATATATTGTAGTCTGCTTTTACCGCAAACTTTTGTCAAAATATCCTTTTTAAAACTGATCTGTCCGGAAATCGAATCGGAAAGTGTTCTACAGTCCTTCAGGCATCTTTCCAGCAAATTTCAAGCAATTTCATTTTTTGGCCAAAATTGAAAAAACACACAAGGGGTTAGCCTTACTTTTTTGATGAAATTTGGCCCAAAAATGACCTTTTCTCAAACTATGCAGAAATACTTTTAAAGGTGAGAGGAGCATCAATCAGCATTCAAACGCCTAATATTTGAAACATTTTGGCCAAAATCATCAATTTTTATTGAAAAAAAATAATATTTTAGACTGTTTTTACCGCAAACTTTTGTCAAAATATCCTTTTTAAAAGCTGATCTGTCCGGAAATCGAATCGGAACGTGTTCTAGAGTCCTTGAGGCATCTTTCCAGCAAATTTCAAGCAATTTCATTTTTAGGCCAAAATTGAAAAAAAAATAAGGGGTTAGGCCAAAAAAAAAAATAAGTCAGTCTCTGGTCAGCGCGCGCGTCGATCTTTTTTTTTCCAAAATGTTCCGCGGTAGCTCCAACAGCGCCCTCTATTTCCGCACCTCCTCAATTCTTTTTACCAAAGAGCACCAAGGAATGGGAAATTGCACCAAGGCAAATGATCGAAAGCACCAAGGCAAATTATGGAGGACACCAATGTACATGAGGACACCAAAAAAGCAAAATTGTACCCACCTTGTCTGTACAATCCAAGCTTGAAGGAAAAAAAAAAAAAAAAAAAAAAAAAAAGCCGCGTGGCCGCGTCAATTCCGGAACTTTGGTCTGACCAGAGACCGAATATTTTTTTTTTTTTGGCCTTAGCCTTACTTTTTTAATGGATTTGGCAAAAAATTACTTTTCTCTAAATTTTGCAGAAATTATTGTAAAAATAAAAGAAGCATCAATCAACTTTCAAACACTAAATATTTTAACGATTTTGGATTTTTTTTTCGATTTTTGGAATAAAAAACCAACATTTTTGACTGATTTCACCGCAAACGTTTGTCAACTATCCCCTTTTAACAGCTTATCTTTCCTAAAATCGAATTGGAATCCGTGTGGCATCTTTGAATTCCAAATGTGAATAAACCAAAACAAAACATCACAATGGCTTTGTAAAAGGATGCTGTGCGTGTTTATGGTGTAAATCGAGGACACACACGTGCAACATCGATGAATCGAGGACAGAAACCGACTCGAGGACAAAACATGGAAAACATGTACGAAACCATTGAGAGCTGTTGCGAAAAAAGTATAAAAAAAAAAAAAGGGAATAGGAACAATAGAACATTCTCCATTTACACCTTGTACAAACGTGTCTGATTGTGTTTTATATTATTGCTGTATACATTCTCACATTTTACACATGATCGAGGCAAATTTATAAAAATCTGTGCGTCCAAAATTGCTAAAGCTCTATTTACAAAAGTGAATAATACACGGAGTCCTCACATTCTACTATTTTTGTTTTGCAGCTGCATAATTATGTCACCTTGCATTAATTTACCGGGGTAAATTTAAAGATAATTTCTAGTCGCGTTTTTTTTGGTATAATAATACTGATTTTGTTCTTATAAATACCATGACAATTCAAGTATCATCTTTGTTTACACATCTATATAAACCTTGCTTCTTCCTTCAACTTACACTGAATTCTTGAACTAGATTGCTATATTCTGGTTTTAACGTATATACAACATCGAAACTTATTGTGTTAAAACACAATAAGTTTCGATGTTGTATATACGTGTACATTTCTTTTTTGTGAAGCTTGACCAAAGTAGCGACTCTCAACAGTAAAATTATGAACTCACAGTCTGTTTGTTTTCGATTGAAAACGGAATGTTTGTTATAACTTCCACATGGTAATAGATTATAAGGCGACTACAAAATACTTCAGTCTTTGTAAAAAAGCGACTCAATCAAAATTAGTCATTGTACGAGTGCGATTAGGCCAAAACCTTTTTTTCTTTTTCCTAAACCTTTTTCTTAAAGTTGCTAAATGAAAGCTGTTCTCGCAAACAACAAAACTGTTGGTGAACACAAAATTGTGTGTTAATTTGAATTTGTTGTGTGTTAATTTGAATTTGTTTGTAGACCTACAAACGCTGTGGTATAATAGCTGGTTATGGTTTTTGCCTCTTTACCAAAAATTGCTGATCCAAATGCGTTGCAGATAATGTTGGGATAATATTCTAGTTGTTTACAAGTTTTGTTTGGGTGGCTTGATTCGGTTGATCTTGTAGCTTGGATCCTGTCCCTCGAGCCAGTACGTCAGGATTTCGCCTTTGCACTGAAATAAAAGAGAAAAAAAAGAAAAGATTAATTGAAACAGTTATCTCATGTTTCCTTTCAAATATGATGGACTTGAGAATTTGAAGCAGTGAAAATTAAAGGAAGGGTAGATCATTTGTCATTTGTAATTTTTTTCCCATTTGAAGCAACAAAAGCGCTCAAAATCTAAAGATGGATGCTTAATAACTACCCCAAATGAGGTTAAAGATATGTGAATGCTGTGTTTTCAGAGGAAACATTCTAGGATCTCAATTTATATTCAAACGTTGCCGAGACACGTTCTCATTCAGCTGATTGCAGCTTTGCAATGGCCAAGTTCGCGCAAGGACTATAGTTGACCAATGGTTAACTAACGTTTGCCCGAACTCTGTCTAGTCGACGATGGTTGACTACGCTAGTCGACTATTTGGAACCAGCCTACTGGGGTTGGTAACCAATAGCCGCGCGCATTCATAACGCTAGCAGAGAGCCAGGATCCAGAAGTTTTGCGATGACATTTTGACCAGCGTTTGACTAGAGACGTTCGCACGTTGCTATCAGTGCGCAGGCGTAAGGTACGTCACAAATCAACCACCAGTCGACTAATGGTCCTTGCCCGAACTTGGCCAATGTCGCACACTGAACCGCTGAATGATGAAAGAGGAACACCAATCGGTTTTCAAAAAACTAATAAGACGATTTGGGCAAAAATAGCCTTTTTATTGATTTATCAATGATATTTCTGACTCAATTCTCCCCAATATATTCGACGCAATACTTGTTTTTCGTTGCAAATCTGTTCCAAAAATGGAATATTCGAAGTTAGAGCAATCAAGTTTTCCGTCCCAAACTTAAGGGTTTATGAGTGAAAAAAAAAATACACATATCTTTTACAAAATGTTAAGAATGCTGGAAACACCGTAGAGGCATTTTTATGTTTGTATCTTTTTCCCTAAAACAAATTGTCATACAAACATTTGATAGTTCGCAGAAATATGAAGATTTGCACAAATTTAAATAAATAATGTAAATGCATATACATTCAAACATAACTGAATGTTATGCAATTACAAATAAAACAAAACATTCGAATTTAACATCGCAATATTCCAAAAAGGGCATGTAATTATCGATAAACATGTACAAATGTACATCATAATTATCTTGAATCTCAGAGAAGTGTATAGCTCTATTGCCCCATAGCCCTAATTACTATAATCAGCATAGCTAGCACTGTAATGACATCTTTCATAACAAGATTAGATCACTATTTTTGTTTCGTGTTTAACCCGCTCAATTACTTCGGTTCCCTGTTTATTTATATTTTTCCTTTGCCTAGCTGTGTTCTACTTCAATTTAGAGTTTTATTTTAAAATGCAGCTTTTCCGCCTTAAATTATTGAAAGCTGGTTAAGGTCGAAAGAATTCCAGGTCCTGGACACACTAGCCTTGCAAGGAGCATGAATAAAATATGAAAAGCGTTCGAGTTGAGGCTGAAGCCGTGTATAAGTGTTGACGACGTTCCCTGGTTATCTTGACGATGTGAACTCATCTAATGCAAATCACGCGCGCTGTGGCCTCCACGCAATCAAGCATGTATTATGCTCTCGGATTGGGTGTGACCGGAGCAGTGTGTGTGCAGCGAGTACAGACTGACAGACTGCATCAGCCAAAACACAATACAAATGTAGCCATTTTCAAGTCTGTTTTCATTGACGTGTTGTAGAACACTCGTTTCCTCTGTTGGTGTGTTGATGCTTATGATATCATCCATTTGTCGGCTTTCATTGTCATATGTGATCTGTGGATTTCCGTCAGTGGTGAAGCGATACCTTCCACAAGTGTAAACCAGAGTATCACTACAAGCAATAGCCATGGGAGGTAAGAGTTTTCTAAATTATTATTCGATGGAGAAAAAAACCAGTTGCACGAATGAATGAGTACTGTATGATATGCGGGTCTGTGTTTGTTGACCTAAACACCGCCGTGCTATTGTGTTGACACGAACACACTGTAGGGTTGACTTTGATCAATAATTGTCTGGTGAGCTTGTGTGAATAGTTCGATATGAATGAATAGATTGTATATCGCGGCCATATTTATACCACACACTAACCGCAGGCCTTTGATCTGATCATAACATGTTCAGACATTCACTATCATGTTCATGTGTATTTTACAAATTGAAAAGAAAGGGCATCAGGTTTGTCTTATAAAACTCTCATGTTTTCCTGTCTTCATGATGAAACGAACATGAGAATGACGAAAATATAAAAACAAGAAAACATTCCCATGAATCGTATTATTACAGACTTGATGTCAGGTCAAAACATTCTTGTCTATCGACAGCTGATGGTTTTATAGAGTGATAAATAAACATAATGGGTCCAGTATTCAAATGATTCAAAACATGTGATGACATATAATATATCAAGGCTACAACATGGAATGTACATCCTAGAATCAATGTATATAGAGAGATAATCTGAAATAATATAATTTGACTTGATGCCTTAGTGGCCTTCTTCCTTCCTAATATTCATTCAACGGGCATCGTGTGAACCCCAGGAATTATCGACCTGACATGTAATCAATTTACACTGTATCTTAGGTGGGGGGCCTATTCATGTTATTCTTAGCCTTGTTGTAATCAATTATCTTCAATGTTCCTCATTATAAATGCCATATACACACTAGGCGATTATCACTGGTTCTGTATATCTGATATATAGTACTTCTGGCAATCTCCTTTTATCACTAGTGATTTAATGAGCTTCGAAATGTTTGAGATATTTCAGATCAGTAATTAATCCCTAATGCCTTCTGTAATCTAAAAACCAAGCTAGCCAACCTTTAGTGCCCTCGAATGAAACATATTTGTCAAAAGAAAATGTTACTTGCGTCTAAATTATTAACTGCATACCTTCAACCATTAACATCAACATTATTACAATGCGTGTACAGAGATGGTGTTATTTCCATTAATACATTATGCAAAGCAGACTTGGATAATGAGCATGTAGAATCGACCATGAACTCCTAACTATATGCATTGTACAAAATAATGCGTTCTGCATGACTGCTAATAACCATGTTGGTAATTATGGGGCTTTTACCATGCATGCATATTGTGTATTATAACAACACAATGCACTATGGTTGAAGTCAGGAAATGAACCCAGGAACCTGAAGGGAAGGATCATTTTAATCTGACTAGAAATCTAAACCACCAGTCCAACGGGAAATATCAAGACAATGAATTGTTGTCGACTCTGAAATATACATTTGGATGCATCATGAGCCACCGTGAATAAAAACTCAATACAATACAATGCAATAAGCAAACGAAGCTGGTCAATGCCGAAAAAGAGTGAACAAATGTTACGGCCTTATCAAATATATGTCTGAGTAATTTATGAAAACAGCAAAATAACCCAAACCTGTAACTTTGCTCCAAAATGCCTGCATAATTCGGGCTAAATTGGAGGATTTGATCAACAATTCAACTTCTTTCTCCCTTTTAATTGAAAAGACAGTTAAAATCGGTAGACTTAGTTCTATATAACAAAAAAAAAATGGCTATGAAATGTCACAGGAAACAACACGTTTCTGATTTTCAATTTTTGAATAAAAATTATTCAGATAATCGATGATTGTCTAGCATTATTTTGTGTCAATAATTATGCGCAAGTGGTCCAATTGAATTGTAACATCAGTATTATGACTGTTATACTTGTCATCAATGTAATCCTTTTTTGTGTCGAATGACTTCATTAAGAATTCACCATAAAATGAGATGTCAAATACAGGTCTAGAAACGCAATACAGTCACCTTGCAAGCAAATATAATGTACGGAACCGTGCACGTTATGTAAATCCAGGTTTCAATCAGTAGTGGAATCACATAAGTAGCTTATACACTCTGAATCCCATGTCTACAAATTTACTCCATGAGGCTAACATCGTAGATGGCAGACTAAACTGCTTTACCTTATTATAATTTAAGATCACCCTGAAAACTGTATCCGTTCTCTAGCCTTCTCAGGCCTATCGAAATTCTTGCTTTAATTCACGAAAGAATTTGAATTCACAAATACGCGGACACAAAACAATTTTCACAATTTGATAAATCGAAATTAAGAAATCAAATTCAAAAGGTTTGTCTCACGCAAATCATGATAGTTTTTTTATCGCAATAGTTACATCGTTTTCAGGGCCGTTGCATGAACTATTGAACATCGCTGTTATTCTATAATTAGACCGCCCTCTACGGTGACCTGCATCAGAGCGCATTGTTAACAATATGACATATATATAATACAATATAGTTGTTTAATATCGAATTATCGTTGAACCAATTATTAACATTGACAGTCATTATCATGTACATCGCTAATTGTAATATTATTTTGTAACAAGTTGGAGGGTATTTTTGTACTGACTGTTAACACATTATTTTGTTTGTCTAAACTTTCACAAGATTAATTGAATTTCTCAGTTTCCTTTTTAATTTGTTCTTTTTTATATTCTCAAACTATTGTTTGGTGTTGTTGATGGAACATGGAAACAGTTATCGCAATACAGGGTGAGTCAAAAAAGCGGAACCCAAACCCCAAAAACTGTATTTCATATTTTTAAAAATATGCAGCACCAAAAATAATAATGACTGGAAAGTCAATTTCATAAGCTACGTTTAAATGAAAAAAATTACTCAATCCGTTCAAAGATTATCACCATTTAAACGCAATGACCCCAAAACATGTTTCGTCCAAAAAACGCAATATATTGTGTACTCTGCTGGAACAACAAAGAAAATGACACAGAATACTGTTTCAACAACTGTCAACAACTGTACTATTACATGATATCTTTATTAATTAACAACCCTTGTTAGGCAAACTATATGATTTATAAAATCCACATGTTTAAAAAGACGGGCCTTCAAAAGGACTCTGTTGAATATTATTAGCTTTTAAACTGAAGTTTTATCGCTAGTGATGTTTGAGGACAATGTGACGACGATTCTTGAAATCGTATTTTTGGACGAAAGAGGTTTTAGGGTCATTGTGTTTAAATGGTGATATTCTTTGAACGGATGAGCAATTTCAGTAATTTTCTCATCTAAAAGTAGCTTATGAAATTGGCTTTCCAGTCATTATTATTTTTGGTGCTAGATATTTTTTTTTAATATGAAACATAATTTTGGGGGTTTGTGTTCCTCTTTTTTTGACTCACCCTGTAGAACTTTAAGAGTATTATTTTTAAGTTTTCCATAGTATCAAAACACTTTCTTCAATCAATTTAACTAGAAATCACAAGTAAAGTAGTGACAAAAAGTTATTTTTTTATGAAGCATCTCTATTTATAATAAACTAGCTCGACAAACAACCAATAGAAAACCACTTATCTATATTAAGGTCAAGCAAATGTTTACTATGGAATTGTATAACTTCAATGTTCACTGTAAGAATTACAAACGATCTACATTATTCAAACAAGTAGTACAGGAAAAATCCGCTTTGCTTACAAAGCACATGGCCACTTCGATTAATTTTATTCACGCAGATTTCAAAACAAAATAAAATATTGCACAAACATGCAACCCGCATTCCGTTCCAGTAAAAATTTCAAGCATTAAAACAATACTTTCTATAGAAAAAGAAAACTGCTCCTAAAAGTATTCATATACTTTTGCATAGCTCCGATCAGTGCAATTCATGTACATTACAGATGCTTCGCTATAAACTACAGACTGTAGCTACATTATGCAGGTAGTGCAACAAATGCGTCTGCATAATCACATCGACGCGCTGTACGAACCGATGCAAGTGATGACTAATATAGCAAACGATGGATGCCTCACTTCAAGGAGCAAATGACATATCTATTTTCCTCGTAAGTGCTCTTCTCTATAAAGATGCATGTCAACCATGCAAAATCAAAACAAGAGAGGGCGCTAGTAAACTTCTTGTAGGATTTGCCAACATTTTAATGGACCTTATGAGTTTAGGCAAAGTTCATGGGCAATGGTTTTGTATTTCTCTGATAGGCATGATTGCACCTTTTTTTCATTCATCTTGACAAAATTAAAAAATTAAAAAGAACACCATGAGAGATACCTGCAACGCACAATGTCTAACCTAATAGGAAAGGCTAGCATGCATTTCGTACACCGCATAATCAGAAGATCCTTCACATTTATTTGTATTAACAATGCGCTAAAAATAGTCCAACACAATCGCCAGTTCCCGAATAAATTTCGTAACCATGACTACCGAATAAGAGCTTGAGCATTATTCGCTCCTGCGATAGAGTGGGTAAAAGAGAAACCCCTTTCATTATTGACTTGACGTGCGAGGGCGCTATTTCTACCTCACCGTCTCTGCAAATCTTGTGTTAATGTGGGTGTTCAGAAAATGATTTAAGTTTTTGTTTAGTTTGAGGTAATAATCAGAGCAAAAAGTAAGTGTTAACCAATCTAAAAGTAAATACTGACAAGTTGGTGATTTTAAAGGTTAAATCAGGGGCAAACAGAAAATTGCACTCACTATATACTCCGTCACAAATTCGATTATTTTTCCCCTTACAAATTTTATATAATGTATGTTTTATTTTAACTGATTTTGCTTTTCTATGTTGGGCGCCCGTAACTTTCTCAATTTGACTGAAATACGGGCTTAATTCTGGATTATTTATGCGTCTCTACTCTCTAAATTCTAAAGAGTGAAAATCACTCTATTCGAGTGAAGATTCACTCCCACAGTCGGAAACTAGGGACTAGACGTTTTAGAGTCAAATTTCTTCAATCGTAAATGTATTGTTAAAAAGTGAATAAGTGGTGGGCCATATTGCAAGAAAAAAAAAATTTAAAAAAAATATTCGGGTTGAAACTCGCAAATATGATGAGGGGGCAACTTTAAAGCGTATTGAGCAGCGGCGTATCCAGCTTTTGACGTGGGGGGGGATCAATGTCGGGGTGGGAGGGGGAAAATCTGCGTGCTGTCATTTTCTGTTGCTAACATTTTGACGCATTGTAAAAAAAAAATTGGCTTGGTTTTCTTTGTTAGTCGTTTATGTCAGACCTCTCTATACCATTTTATGGAAATAGTTACAAAAAAATCTAAATCCGTAGGGGGGGGGCATACGCCGCTGGTATTGAGGTGATCAAAATTAAGGACTATTTTTATCCCTAGCAGGAATGACAGATACTAGGTACGAGTTAACCGAGTCACTTTAGTCTATAACCTTTTACATTGCTTGCCTGGGAATACCCTCTAGAAAGGAAATTCAGATCGGAAACATCATTCCTTCCGCTACGCAGTAGGCTACTTGAGCAGTGGAGAAGCGTGTTTCATAGGACAACGTCTAAGTAGTTTGCCAACTTTCTTGGCAATATTTTAAGGTTAAATTTAAAGACAGTCATATGTTTTGCGCAGATTCTAAGTAGCCTAGTTGATTAGTGTTTTGTGAGCAGATAACTTGGCAGATCACTCTGCGTTTATTATAGTTTGTCGAAAAACTCTGAAACTTCTTGCCGTCAGGAGTCACTGAATGTTCAACATGGACTGTACGGTACAGTCATCACAGTATACCGCAATACCTAAAAAATGGTTTCCATTTGGAAACTTTGTCATTGAGGTACCGCAGTTCTTGGAACATTTACGCATTTATCTCTTAACGCACTTCAGGATACTAAGGGGTAAAATGGGTAAGTACGATTAGATAAGACTTCTTATGAATATCATTATCAAAGAATTATGTCCACGTAATGACGTTTATGGGTTAGAATAAAAAATGCGTCATGTAAACAATGTACGATATTGTAAAAATGTGTTTTCGCGAATGAAAGTTAATGGTTAAGGGAAGTACATGCATATTGCATTTGCACCAATTTCGGTGTTTTATTCTTCTATTGTAGTTAAGACAGAAGTGGTCATTATATTTTTTTTATTTAACTGTTTGTAATCATTTTGTGCGAATTTTGTCTTTTTAAACATTGTTTAATGACGTGTTTTCCTTTTGTTTGTGTATGTTTTATATTATTTTTTCTATATATATTTGTGTATGTTTTATATATTAATTTTTCTATATATATTTCTATATATGATTTTTAGGCACTTTGATGTGGGGCAACAGATCCGCGGACTACAGTATTTTTACTTTTGCTGCCCCTGGCCCATCTCTGTGTTTGTAGTTTTGGTCGAATAAATAATAATAATAATAATAATAGAAATAATAATAATAATAATTAGATTTATATTTATGAAACATTTCCATAAACTTTACCGGCTACAATATTAGATTTGTTACAGATGGGAAGTATCTTGGAATCCCGCTTGAGTCTTTGAAATTGTTCAAAGGGGGGGGGGGGGGGGGGGCGGGGCTGGGAGGGGGTATCCCCCCCCGAATATTTTGTGAAGACTGCCTTTTTCAATTCGAGTGCCCTTTTTTAGCAAGTGTCCCCCCCCCCCAATATTTTAAAGACTGCCTTTTTTTTTAGACAAGTGTCCTTTTTTGTTTTAAACAAGTGCCATTCTTTACCCTCCAAAAGTGCCTTCTTTAACTAGATGATGTTACGCGTGTGCCTCCCTTAAAAAACATCATATATTCTCTGATAGTGTGTATGGTCGTCCGCTTTGAACAGCGCCCTCACTGAAAGATAGTACCCCCCCCCCCCCCCACTCCCCCACTATTTGATTTTACGGAGGCCAAGTGTCTGGAGAAAAAATCTTTCCATATTTTAGCACGGATGTGCGAGTGCCCTTTTCAAGAAATTTGTACCCCCCCAAAAAAAAAAACACCAACATCAATTATGACCTTGCTACACCTATGTATTCAGTCTACCTGCCTATAGGCCTATACCAACTCACAACATCATCATTATAATAATATAAGCACCCTTCGGCCAGACACGGCACGGCCTTTATCAATTTGCCGTAATATAATTTCCCATTTCCTAGGCAAGTCAGGCAATCTTTAATTGTAATTTGTGAGCTGATGTCTGGCTGGGCCGACTGAATCAAGTCAAGCTTGAGAGAGGTGTTGTGTTGGGTGCAGCTGAGAACAGTAGCGGTGAACCAATCGAGCGCACATCAGCGCACCCCATCCTTTGCGCATCATCAGTATGTGCTCGTGAAATCTGATGCATGTATTTATCCACACCTTACTACACCAACTCGTAAGACACATCCATTTCGACAAAATGTTTCTAGCGCATCGCTACTTCACAGCTGGCAATCTCTCACTTAATCCATGCCCATCACTTGGTCAATCAAGAGATGCAAGGGAATCGGATGACAGTTTGGATGTATATGAAGCTGCTAAGACTGAAGAGAAGAGACAACAGAAGAGAAAGGAAAAATACGAGAAAAGACGAGACTTGCAGGCTCAAAGACCGCCCAAGAAACAAGGCATGAAAAGTTTGCTGATTAGCTGATCGTGACAATTACTAAATGACAGTGATAATGGTGAAAAGAGTTGTGACTCTTACGTAGTAAATAATGGTGATGCTGTTGAAGGCACAAGACAATGTTGGCGGTGATAACGACGACGGCAAATTATCTTATGAAAACGAGGACGATGAAGAAGTTGATGGTGGCGATTTTGGAAGTGGTCGCAGGGGTGATGTGATGGTGATTGTGGTGGTAATGGTGATGAAAGTCATAATGGGGTTAAAACTTTTGATGATGATAAAAGTGACTATGATGATAAAATTGACTGTGATGATGGTGATGGTGGTGATAAAGAAGATTATCCGTTGATTTTTTTTTCAGATTATTTTCACATTCCGTTGTAAAATGATTAAAATTCTTTAGGAGGTTTTCATTGAAACATTTCTGATTTAGAATTGATCAATTAATTCGTCAATGCTGTAAAAACCTAGTTCGCGTTTGTGCACTATTGTGAAGGATGTAAAAAGCTGGTTTGACGTAATGTTGTCCTCATCAACTTAAAATGAAATTATTCCTACTTCATTCATTAGTCTGCAAAGCACAGCGTGTTTTAAGCTTTTTAATAACGAAAAAGTCCAAAATGTGGAGGGAAAAAAAGGGAAAAAAACTAACGCAGAAGGAAATCGAATTAAATTTTCAAGGGAAATTAAAATAAAAATAGAATCAAATTTTGGTCGGAGAGTTAAAATGTATAAGATACAACAAATCGATACCCAAGAAGTTATCTTCAACGTATTGTCATCGATAAATTATGATTACAAAGTACTTATCTAATTTAAGGAAATTAATTAATGTTAACCATGCATGATCCATATATTTTTTCATCTCCCTTTAACAATGGCTGAATTCTTAGAATACAAATTTAGTTAAATTGGTCGATTTTCTAAAGTTCATAATAACTTCAGACAAAAAGAAATGTCATTTAATTCGTTTGTGCTGGAAGTATATTGTTAAGTGATTGTATCTATTGTCTTTCAGAAGGAGGTTGTTGTGACTGTGCACTATGCCGTTGTCTCAAGCGTGTACCGTATGGTACACTGTTTGCTATTCTACTCCTTGCCGGTGGATTAGCTCTGTTGACCTACGAAATACTCTATATCCAAGTTGTGGCGGATATGATGTTCCGCTTTGACGCTGATTTCAGTAAGACCAGTATATTGTTTGAAGGGTAAGTATGTCAAGTTTTCAGTTTTAATGTTTCAGCTGTTTCTGTCTAATGTCGTTATCGACGTAACAGTGAAGTGTTGCGTACCCGGTGCCATTTAGTTTGCCAACAAGCATGAGCAGACATTTCTGACACTAAGTTCTCTGTAGTCACTTCATCAGGAAGTGACTCATGTGAAATATCCTCACTGTGATGGGTTGAGAGGAACGTGTTGCTTTCAAAGCCATCAAAGAACAAGTGAATGTTCAACAAACATTTTGACTAATTATTAGACCGTTCTGAGAGAGAATTCCCAATTCCTATTTTGTTACAATTAAGCCGGCCTAGACATTATCATAATATAAGCAATTCCTTTCGATTCTGACCCGAGCTATACTGCTTCAAGGTGTGACATTATGGAACTATGATGCTATTTGGCTTGATGTGTGAGATTAAAGCGCAACCTTATTGGATAAAGCTCCAGTATTTTCCATTACCTATTCTCAAATTGGATCAGGTGAAATCTCATTTGCGAATTTCGTAAAGAAGGGCAAAGGGAGTTTGATCACAATCTTTGAGCATAATAAATAACGTAGGCGTACAGTTATTTTCAGAATTAGACCTAAAAGTTCATGAAATTGCTCTCGAGCTTTACCATTATAGTGACTTTTAATGAAATTAAATCAAGTCATTGATCATCTCATCGTTGATTGTCTTAATTATTCACAAAACTGAATGTGTAAATGTTCCTGACAGTGTCTCTAAAGCTACACACGAACATCCCTGAAAACACAGTCTCGTATTTTCATTTTATGTTTAAACCTTAATTGACTACAATTTTATTCCAGTAGGAATTAAGAAAGAAAGAAAGAAAACAGGAGAAAATATCCAAGCTGCACAAACTGCACGAGTGTCTGATTTAAAAAAAGATTGTACGCTGAAACATCTGCAAAGGTTGAATTCCCTTCAGTACCTACTGCTCGTGATTATAGACCTACCACGTAAAGGTATGGCTTCTAATCCTCGATATCATATTTTGAGAAATCACCGTCTCCTTTCCCAAAAGTAATCTTAGGTTATTTCCTTATTACAGCACCGGTACATTATTCTGGGTTTTGATTGGTGCTGTAGCCGTGATGGGTCTCTATGGCATCTTACTGCTGGTGTTTGCGTGTCTTACAACTGGTCCCTCTGGACAAAATACATGTGGAAGTGAACATGTCAGATGTATCGGTCCCTGCAGCACCAACATAGTAAGTCTGCAAGTTGGTTTAAGTTGACTTAAGTGAAATACTTTTTTAAGTGATATTGAATTTGAGTAAATAAAAATAATAACGTCTAGCTGCCCCATTTGTTTCCATCGTAGCATGGAGAACCATTTCTTTTCAGACAGCCTTTGCCTGTCCGCGTCCCGACTGAATTGTTTTCTTTCAATTAGTCCACACGCTTCACATGTTCTTTCTGAGGACTCCTACTCGTTTGACAAGATGAACTTTCCTATCAATAAACGAATCTGGAATCCAATTAGGTCTATGAATCGTGCCGTCCAAACTCGACTCAAGCAGTGACGGTGAACATTGCATTGCAATACGCCACAGTACTGATACACGGCACTGAACATACATCCATTACTATAGCATATGCTTCATATTACTCCCGCGATAAAACATACTTGATGGATATCAATTATCTCCATGCACAGACATATAACTGTTCTCAACATACATTTTAATACGATGGCAAAATGACTTATTATTACTACGAAATATCAATAATTTCATATGTGTAATATTATGGACTGAAATTTATTTGCCCTGAAAACAACTTTCAGTCAGCGCAAAATTGTTTTTCTTTCGTCTTTTTAACGCCGTTTGTTTTGACTGCCAGGTAAATTTAGAATAATATCCAGCGGGGTAGAGCTATTGATCATAACCTGAGCCATGACAACGGTGATAAAGTCAAGAAGAAAAAGGCTAGCACCTGTAAGCCTATGAGATCATGGTCAGAGATTGTGCTATAGGCAACAACAACAAGATCGTGTTGAGGAAATTATTATACTGCAACTGAAATGCGGCAATATAGGAATATGAGTGCGCTATTTGTCATGTTGTGTCTGTCATGACAAGAAATCACTTTGACTTTCAAAAGCCCTCCCATCCACAAAAAAACATGTACAAAGTCATTTTATTATAACTTTGTTGTGATCTATATCACTTCTACAGTATGTTATTTTAATACCAGATAATTCAAAACCTGTCGATTTCTATTTTGTTAGATTTCTATCACTTGTTGTTTTATGATAGTACATCAGAAGATGCGATTCGTGGACTTTAATAAAATTTAAAAAAAAGCTAGTGGTACATGTGCACATGCAGTCCTACCGTGACCTACACAATGTTCACTTGGACGTCACTAATTGATAGAGTTGTATATGAGTCAATTAAGTCAAGTTCGAGTCCCTAGTCATACAGCTCTGCTTGACATCTGTCACACGACTGTCCTTTGTGAAGTAAGACTAACCAATTTGATCCAAAATACGGTACATTCAAGCTTATCTCTGATAAACTCCAAAACTCCTTCCAGCTATGCACACTTTGCATCTCCAATAATGAATGTTTAACTGTCAAATCACCCAGCAAGGATTGTGGACACCATTTCCTGATTAAATTTTAATGTAAACGTGTGACTACATTATAATTATTCTAGCCCGCTACGACAAAATAAGATGTCAAATTTCCTTTTACAATGCAAATAGGGGGTAGACTAAGCATCCTTTCTCCGCTGTTGTCAAAGCCATTCTTATCATAATTTTGACTTGCTTTATTCTTCCTTTAGCTAATCATGGTTACCTATGTGGTGTGTGGTGTGTGGATTGCCTTGACTGTAGTCTTGGCCATGCCATTTACATTCATGTTGATGGTTCGTTCCTACTGCAAGAATATCACACCATCATCTTGTATTGATCTTAGTCACTATGGTGAGTTCCGCTTACATCTTGCAGAGAACCAAACATAAGAAGGCATAACAGAAAGAGTTGGCCGTTTTTCTTGTTAAACGTATTTGGGTAACGATGTTTTTCACCACATGGCTATTTAAAGGGTGGCCAAATGCCATAAAATATGTTTAATTTTAGAATCAAAATATTTTCTCAGTCCCTCGATACAAATAAAGTCACATCTCAGTGCATCTTCATTTACTGTCCAGATTTACACTCGAGACCGCTCCCAAAGGATGCTGACTAGCTTTCTCAAGTATGACGATTTGTTATGCACATCACAGCGGGAGAATTCAATAGATACGGCTCATGTGGTATTCTCGAGGTTGTGATATCCCCGGGCATACTATCTGTCAAACAGAAGGTTGGGAAGGTTACCAGGCAATGACATCGGGATAATTACTTGACCTTTACTCGGCTACTGAGATACTGTCTAACATATAGACTAATAGGTCAATGTCAACTTGGCAGTTCTACCGAGAAGTAAAAACAGATCTCAAAACAAATATAAATTATCAGGTATAATTATGAAACAGTTATGTCGGTGTGCCAGGTTTTCATTTTCAGTGCCATATATATATATCGTATTTTTATTTATTCCTGTAACCATGATAATGTCTGTGCAGGTCTGACTGGAAATGTTAAGACCGCAGCTGCCCAAAACACTACTATGGAGCCGGTGTGTGGAAATTCGCTTCAGAGCTTCTGTGACAATGTGAGGGACCAACTTCTTAATGATAAGCATATGGATCGTTAAACAAAGAAAAGCTATAAACTGAATGTTATTAGTGGTTGTTATAATTAATATCACCAGGGGAATGAACGGCGGGAGTCGAATCCACGACTATTGCTTATAATGTCATCCATATCGTAAGCAGTGTACTCTGTTCACGTCGAACACAAATTGAAGTTGTATGTCAACTACGTGTTATAATTGTTTGTCATTATTTTAAAGAGTTGCATCAAGACAAGATGAAAGTCATAAAAAAATGTGACTCGGATTCTTTCGTTGGGACGCTGAGAGCATGGATCTAGCTCACAGGTTATGAGTAAATGAAGCATGTCAATTGTCCAGAAGGCCTTAGCAGCAGGCCCCATTATTTAAGAGGCTATAAAGTCCCGTATTGTAGCCTCGGGGACAGACTTCATCATCAATACTATCAAGAATAGTTGGCAAATTCTTTTCATAAAGAGGCTGAGATCCCGCTCTAAACCCTCGAGGAAAGATTAAACTTCAAAACTATCACACACAAAACAGTTGCTTTAATACCTGACACGATATAGGCTAAGCATTAGCCAACTGGGTGCTAAAAGTCTCAGTAAACCAACTGGTTCTGCAAAATGCACGTTTTTCATCTGCATTTTTAACAGGAATTTGTTCGTCCTGTTTAATTACTTTGTAGGGTGTAGAGGAATGTGTATGTTTGCTTGGCCTTATTGACGTCAAATATCAAAATTGAAGATTTTAATACTGCATAATATCCTGTCAAAATCATGAGACATTCATAATTATTTTGATTGCTGTCTAAATAAAAAAATCATATCACATCATATATGATGAATGTTTCGAAATGCTTTGATTAATTTTAATTATTGTAACCTATTCAAGTGAAACATCACGGAAATATATCACTGATGAATTTGGTATGATGGCAAGTTCCGTAGATAATATCACAAGTTTATCCGATTAAGCAGGTGCACCAATCAATTAGGAGGATATTGAAAAAAAATTCATATCAGAGTGGTTGAAAACAAATTTACCATGACGAAAAACCAACAAACAACATGAATATATCTTGAGTGTGTTAACAGTGTTACTGTGATGAAGTAAGTCCTTCAATTGCTGGGATATTAAAACAATAATTGAAATGTTTGATGATGTATCAGGTGTATCATGAAGCCAGACATGTGTGACCCGTCATCTTAATGTCAATTAAATGTCATATCTCAATACACCAAAGTATGAGAGTGCTTTATAATGTACATTAAAGACCTGATCATGCACAATCAAAACATGAAGAAAATTAAGTATGTCGTTTTCATATATGGGTCGGTCTGAACTCTGGAAAGAAATGTCCAAATATTGTGTTTTATAATATAAATATATAATTCTTTGGTGTCCGTTCTAAAGGGGCTATAAAGAGTTAACTTAGTAGATTAATTATACTACACACGATTTTAGGATTTCTGCCAAGTTTACGTCGTATTTTGGCCTGCATGCACATGCATACGGCAGCAGGGTGGGAGTGCGGAGGATGCGTGCGCAACACCCGGGGGGGTGGGGGCGATCGTAATGCGTTCCTGTCTGGGCGCATGTTTGAAAACCCTGGATATTCCCCGTTAATCCAACGTTCGGGCCGTCCTACGAGATTAGTAATAACAACTTGCTTCAGTCAAACCAAAACCCTTCACAACATGTTCGGAGTGTAATTTTCAACACCAAAAAATTATTTACAGCAGCCCGGTCCAAAATTAAATATTTCACTTGCAATATGTCGTAGTACTGGCAATTATTAGCAAAAACTCATCACATGCGGCAGCTTGGTCGATATCTACAGGCACATGCGTATGTGCTGGGTTTAATTTCAAATTAAATTCAGAAATATGCATTGCACATAACGGTTACTGTAATTGCAGCGGTGAACGATACAGCACGTTTTGCAGGTGAACTAACAGGATTGTTGAAACTGACCCAGAACCCAGATGAAAGAAAAATAACCCCAAATTTGATTTTCTTGGACAGAATGGATCCATTTGGCTGTCGTCCTTTCTGGCTATGGCTGCCTGTATCATGATCGTCATTGCCCTGGTAAGATTACTCAGAACTATAGGACGGGCTACATTACTGCTGCGCTTATTTCCATGCATGATTGTATGGATTAGTGAATTTTAATGATAGAAATAAACAACTAACAAGCCAACCAAAATTTAAATTACTTCAGTTATACTCGGTTTCCTTAATTATTTTACTCATCAATTGTCTTTATAAAAGGGCATATTATTTTGTAACTCTTAAAAGAGGTCAGGAGTTTTGACGATCAATTTTAATGCATTAAAATTTCAAATGATATAAACTTTATTTGGATTAGAATTATTCCCTAAATCATGCGAAACAGTAACTGTGATAAATTAACTTTCCCCCGGTACAGATTCACTTCTTGATGGCCCTATCTGCTAACCACACCTATCAGAAAATGCTGAGTGGTGATCATCCAACTCGTAGTAAGTATGGCAATGATTACCGTCGTGCTTATGGTGATGCTGATATCCCATTGCAAGAACCACTAAATATTCATGATGAAAGCACACGATTCTGAAGCGAGGCTAGGAGACCAAAAATTGACGTAGTTCGGATAGGAACTGCATCATCAGACTCAGAAAATCATGGCCAAGATACCTGGTGAATACAGGATGAGATCTAGGGGACTCATATACACCTACAGGTGAAACTTGATTAGTTGTGAGTGCTTGTGGTGCATTTGTTAGATACAACTTTATGTTGTATAATGTATTGCGTTCAGAGTGGTACGGTGCGCTTAATAATGCGAGATTTCTGGCTAAGAGTTTTCTGTCAACTGAAAGTTAACATGTGAACTGCGGTGCTCGCTTTAGATGATACAAAACTGGCGTCACATGAGCATATACGTAGAAGTTTACATTAACTTCAATTTAAGACGCAGGCTTGTGAATCTAAAAGTTGGTATACTTATGACAAGATAGAGGCTAGCTATACAGGGTGGTTTGTTGTCAAGATTTCATGTGAAGTAGCTAGCTCTTGTTTTGAGATGAAGCTGGTGATTACACTCTAAGAGGAGTAGCCTTATAATTGGACTGAGCCTTATTTCTATCAAAAATGGAACGTTTGTATGAATGGATACGCACAAATTGGATTGTTACAAGTCATAATAGGACAATTAGAATATATCATGTTTATACAGATTCCCCTACGTCTCTCAATATTTGGTCTCCAATCCTTAGCTGTAGAAGTTGAAATTACAATCGTGCGTGTCATAATTTCGGCTACATCGTATTAATTAATCGTCGTGAAAGTTAAACAAAATACACGAGCTTTCAGTTTCTATGGATATTGTATTACTATGACGTGTAATTATCTATCATTAAATTATATGTATATTAGATTAATGAATGTTTGTGAATGTTTAACTGTGCTGAGGCAAAGTAAACTTTTATCATGACTTAATTAAGTGTCCTTTGAAACTTATCCGTATCGGGTAGTACTCTATCACATGGGTTTGGCATGTACATTCACAGTTCACATATTATGGTATGAAACTGATTTTCCTATATTACACTCTATTATATTACAATAAAGATGTCCCAACTGCGCCCACTCCCGATAAAATCTTCTTTCGAAGATTGCTAATTCGTGAATACCTGATTTTCGAAGGTTTTTCTTTTCAAATTATTTTAAGAATTTAAGAGATACGCCGGAAATAAGGGGAAAAAAGAAGGAAAAAAAATGTGGCAGACAAAATAGCCCTATCCCTCCCAAGCCCGCCGTAGAAAAGAAATACGTAAACTCATCATTAAAGAAGACCTACCGATTAAACTTATCATAAAAGAAAACCTACTACGGTTCTTTAGGCTGACAGGGAGACTGTGACAAATTAGACGTTGCGTTAGGATGCTGGATTTGTATGCATGTTCAAATTAAACACGATTCTAATTGATATCCTTACAGTGCAGAATCAGGGTGATCATCTTTCTTGTCAAATATAAACAGGTTTTTATGACACTCAGGGAAGCCCCTTTTCGTGAAACTTAGTGTGCTTTCCCATTCTTTGTAGTGAACCAGTACCGTTATCATTAATCTTAAGGGTGTTCCAAAAATATTGGTGAGAATAATACAGATAACACACTGTGATGATTATTCGTTGTTCCTGAATTCACATTTGTGTCAATGCAATGCGGTCAATCAACATTTTTAATAACGTAATGACCATGCAAATTAAAACAAAATTATGACGTCAATTTCGTTTGGGACACTCTTAATAGAACGTATTAACTCTTCTTATGTGATTGATCAAAGTGAAATGTTTGTCATCAGTAATGTAGATGTAGGACAACCGTAAGATTTAACGTAGAAGATCTCCGATAATCTGGTCGACGCTTAGGTAGAAAACAATTGCTGGAAAATGTGCACACAAAAAAACTTGTTTTCTGTGAGGGGTAACGCTCTTCTCATCCCTTCCCGAAACTCCGCCTACAAAGTGGTAATTGATAAAGGAGTTTGGAGGAATTCGCACGGCTGAACACAGGGTGGAAAAAAGGGATGGGATCGAGATAAATATCAAAAGATAATATCTTTGATGATGTAACTTAGTAAGCATCAGTTTAAATTGGGATATTCCCTGTTGGCGAAATTAATATTCCAGCTGACAAATCATGGCTTCAACCAGAAAATCGGAAACCTTTGACATGATATAAAGCCAGTTTTAGTAAGCTATAGAACTACTAATAAAAGTTGGTACAATTTGTGACACTTTTGTGAATACAACTCTATTGATGCATTCAGCTTTTTAAAGCTTTTCGGTAGTGTATTGACAGTAAATGTACAAGTATAAAGTAAAACGCATATCATTGGCAAGTGGCGATTGTGAACCAAATTAGAATAAATTGGTAGGCCTACGTGTAATTGGTCAAATTGTTCGTACATGAACTACAAGTACAGTATTCAACATGTTATAATGTGTGGTGCAATGATGGTGCTTTGGATCTCGGTGTTAACGATTATAAGTAAATCTTGAGGTTTTGCATTCATTTCACCTTCAAGCTAACTAGTCGTTAAAACTAAGCTGTATCACTTTAGAATGACGATAAATGCACATTAATTGTGGCTACGTGATTTTCGTTTACAACTCTCTTGCAATGACAACCTAAAGTACAAAGACTGATTACATGTATGATTTTCAATGCTGCCTTTCCCGCAATTTTAAAAAGGAAATTATTTTTTGTATATATATATCTGTTTAAATTCTTTTATCTGAAATAGCAAATACTGACATTTAGTCTTGAAGGTTTTTTTTCAAGAGGGATTGTGAACTCAAACAGGAAAACCGGATATTAATTTAGAGAATGTTGTATACGTTCTATTCAAGCTTCAAACTGCGCTCCAAAATATCTAGGTTTAAAACAAAAACGGAAAATAAAGTTTGAAACATAGAAAAACTGCGAACAATTCCAATACAAATTGTTGATAATATTTAGACACCAGAATTGTTAATAGTAAAATTAAGAATTTCTGGTTTTATTTATGCGTTTAAATTTGTCAAAACAAAATATAAAAGGAAACAAAAAAATGAAACGAAACAAAAAAGGGGCTGGGAATATTATTTTGTTTTGTAAAACATTTTATTTTAGAGCAATGTGTCACCCACAAACAAGTTCATTTCTGAATAAAATGTCGTTAATTTTTATATTTTTCTTTCTTAGACTGTACAGAACATACAGCATAATGTTTTATTTAAAATCTAAACATGCAGTGTTTTCAGTTGAATTTCTACTGTACAAATAAGTTTGCATTTATTCTTATGCTGTTTATGAATAAATGTCTGTAAAACCTTAAACTTTTTGTGTTGGGTGTTCACAAATCATAATTATTCAGACTTTATTACATTACAATTGATCGGTAATTCTTTTTTTCCAGGAAATCGACGAAGAAAGCTTAGTACATGTAATTATAACGGGACATTTCAAAGATTTGCTGGACCTCAACCTCACACAGGCAAAACTGCATGAATGGTTCTTCAGACAACAAATTCCACAAGGTGATCCTGAGTGGAAAACAACAATGTCTCCCGTAACCTATGACATGATGACGCACTTTAACTTTAGTAATTCACGTGGGTCAATTATCCAGAAATACAGCCCAAAGTCGAGACGATTCTTCATCTTTCTGAGATTACACAGCATACAAATGTACATCCAGGAGGAATACCAAGCAACACCTTCAATTGACTAGTCTTATACAACCTTTTCAGTGGATTATCAAAGACAAAAAGTGTTCATAGAATTAAAAGTTCGCATCTTGAGTGGTACTTTAAATCAAAACACAGCAAACATATATCCAAATGAAAACAAATAATGTATTCAAGCAATAATTAATAAAATGCATAGCAATAAACATCAATAGAGAAATCAACTGATACAAATAAATCTGAACAGCATAAAACATGCACCAATAAAAAGAAACAGATACAATTGAAAATGTAAAAGTACTTAAAAAGCACAAGAAACAGAAAACGATAAATATTAATAATCTGATAAAGAATTGTAGCTTCAAGGTAAGAGTTCAAGCTTGCAGTACTGTGGTAGGTTTTCAGCGGTTTCAGTGGTGAGAAAGCGTGTTACTTTTTCTCGAGTTCTCAAAATTACCTCTATACCCCTCAAAAGTGATAATTTGTCCACGGTATCACTACAAAACTTCCACTTATTATTAACAATACAATGACAGAAACAGACATGTAAGACACAACAAAATAAAGTAATTTTAAAAGCAACAGAAGTAGAAATAAAATCATGCAATTGTACGAAAACAAAATGAAAAATGTCAAGCCATTATTCAGCTTTCTCTGCATAATCCTTACAGCCTGATAGAACTGCCACTGCCAAGTATCACTGGAATGCATTTATACATACTCAATAATCATGCAACCTTGAAAGAGCACAAATGATTTCCTGTTGTCTCGAAAAATTGCCCAGAACACATCAACAAACAGCCAACTTCCTGTATGATGGGAGTCCTGTCATCAACGTCAATGCAGCGTAGAAAAAAAGGGACCAACAATTGAATCTTTATGACAGATGTTTATAGCTGACTGATGGCAAAACCAACAAGTAACTCGTAGTCACTGACATGCTGTCTGAGACAAGTCACTAGGAAGATGAGTACTTTGACATATATGCTCATGATGACTATTCATCTCATAGATACAGGCATACAACTGAGAAGTCACATAAACTGAGAGAAAATCCCAAGCTTTACAAGACACTCTGGGTTTTTGTCAGTTTTAGTCGCATACAAGAGAAGTAAAAACAAAAAGGAAAAAAAAGGAAATCAGTTGATACAAGGAACTTTGCATGCCGGTAGGTCGTATTTAACCAAAATGAAGGCCTTGGGTGATTTTAAATTACCAGAGAAATCGGACATATGTTTGTGGAGAAGACAAAAATTAAGTATTCACAACTAACATTTTTTTTGATATCCTTCAGTAATGACATGCCATTTATGACAAACAGTTGGATTTTCATAACAGCTTCAAATTCAACTCACAAAAACAATCACCAACACATATCTGATGTAACAATTACAATTGAGATTAATTAAAATTATGAATAATAGAAGTAGTTTTCTACTCATTAACAAGGACCTAACATTTAATGGGAGCTATGTTACATTAGTTTTGACAGAATGACAATTACAGTTCCAACACACCTGTGATGATTCATTGAAGCACATACTACCAGTCATCAAATGGATCCTCCGAATCATTTGACACATGGCTCGTGCTGCACAAAGACATATCAATATGTGGATCATGAATTCTACAAAATAATTGAACAAAACAAACAAAAACACTCCAAAAACTAAAGATTGCAGTACGCAGTGATGTCTCATCCTAGCGATAATGAATGTGTCAAAACACATCAACCATAGATTCTGTTTCTTTATTGGCGTCAGTTTCCTGAGTAACACACTAAAGAATTCACAGATGTGAATATTTTGCTTGGAAAGTTTTGCCAAAATGCAAATGGATTTTCAATTAATTGCAAATTGATTTAAAAATGATGGTTTTTTTTAAGTTTCATGGATCTGATAATGGAAGTTCATTTCTCAAATCACACATATATAAAAGCCAAATTTATTTGACATCAGAAAACATTCATGGAGAAATTCACCGGAGTTAAAATATGTTCAACTTTTCATAAATTTGCATTCCCATTTCTGTTTACATTCACACACTTATTACACCAAGTATGAGCCATCCATAAAACTATACAGAATCCATAGATTACACGGGTTAATGTCAATCAAATGCTGAATGCTTCAACTTTTGGTAAATTAAAACAAGACTTTCTTGAATACTTTCTGAGTGTTCTATTTGCAATAAATTTCACCTCGAGAAACAAAAATATACTCCAATCACCTTTGGGGACTAATTTGACTGTTTCACATGTTGAAGCAGTCCATATTTATATATTACCCTCATAGATATTTAGTATTAATCCATAAATGGACAATGACTGACCTGTTTGGTTCTTCGGCAGCCTCCATTTCATGTTCCACGTTAAATGCTGCATCAGAGTAAGTACTGACTACAGATGCCTGTAAACAAAATGAGAAAGAAAATTTATTATTCAAGTAATAAACTATTGCAGTGTGTTCCGTGTGGACTGTTAACAGGAGACGCTAAAATGCTATTTCTACTTTGCGCCCATGCCCAGACGTATATCTCATGTGAAGACACTACAGGTGTGTGCACCTTTACTCTTAATCCTATTTAGGCCGTGGGCCAAAGCCTGTACGTGCAGTTTCGTCTTGACTTCTTAGTGGCAACTTAATTTCTTGGTTATAAGTAGTTTGGAACATGTTAATTGATATTTTACAATGTGCACATCACATCATTTGCACAAATCAGAAATAAAGGGGACTGTTTCCCCAATGTAACTGTACCACATGGGATGAGGGCGATCGCGATGCATCACTGCCATTGCATACCAGCCTCGCCACCATGGGTGCGTGCACGTTCATCCATCAACCCCTGGCCGTGGGGAATACAATGTATGTAAGCGGCGACGCTGACTGGCTAAAACAGAGTGTACACTTAACTCCGGCTAAACCAACATCATACAACTCGTCAAATCGCTCAAGTCGGCCGTCTGACTAAAGTCCCGATTGTCCGTAATGCATTTCCATTGAATTTTGTATTTCTAAGTCGGCTTTTATAACTCGCCATTTCACTCAAGTCGTCGTGTTACTCTAAGTCCATAAAAAGCATTACAAAATCCTTTGTGTAAGTCGGCATTCAAAAAATCACGCATCTGCATCAACTTCCTGTACTGCGGTTGGCAAGAAGTGTGTCCTACTGCATTCATCGCATATATGCATCGTGAGCATATCGATACCAGCACCCCCTCTAATCTGTACGCATGTGCTCTGTCCATTTTGGGAGTCATCTTATTGAATGACTAGTGCTGCAGTCAATGCGTGCGTGGTATATGCCGGACCATGCACGCATTTAATTCGTTACTGTGCACGTACATATGTATACACGTGGTCTCCACTATCAATACCCCAAATATGATGATACAATTCGAGCATTAATTTGCTGGATTCAACTCAAGCATTAAGGAGATAAACCAGGGTAAATCGAAGCCAATTAGTGCAATGAATCATGTGTGAAAGGCGATTTATGTAAGTCGGCAAAATGACAACTGACAGCAGATGTTGGCATTTGCGTAAGTTGTCACAAATTCTTGGGTCCCGAGAGTGCCGACTTAGCCGGAGTTTACTGTACTTCGAAGTCTGCGCGCCCCATATCCGCTCACGAGTCATATCTCCTTCAAGTCAAGTAACGAACGCATTTTTTTTTATTCCGAAAGCCCAGTTTTACGCCCCGAAAAAACATGTATTCTGGGTAAAGAAAAGGAGAAAAAAAAATAGTGTTTCACTTATTAACTTAAAACTGAATGACTTGTGATTTACTTGTGATTGATTTGTGTTGTAAAGGGACGACAGAGGTACGTAAATTTAATATAAATCCTTAACGCCACGTCAAAATCTTATCATGCTCATGTTTGAAAGGGTCGATTCTACAACAAAAAACTTTAAGCACCGTGTCGAGCGTCAAATAATGACTTATATTATTCATGCCGATTTTCTTTTTATCTGTTGTGTCAAATTTAAAGCATTTGAACTTAAAACATAGAAGTTATGGCAAAAATACTATTTTTGACCAAAAATGGGCAAAATAATGAGGAAAAAGTGTTGTCGTAAATTTAAATTTTAGGCCAATGTGAACAGCCAGATTCAGATTCAGCACTATCGAATTAGTAAAGTTGACCTTTTTGCAAGCTGACACCAAAAAGTTAAGACGAACCTCAACTTCTAGACCTAATACAGATTTTTGCCCATGGCCTAATTTGCCTGCAGGGAATCCACAGCCCTTTTGCAAAAATATATTACCTACATGTGCAACATGAGAGGCATTATTTCAAAGTCAAATGTCTGTCATTGTTATCAGCTGCAAGTACTTGTATTTTAAATAAAATGGCATTTTACATTTAGGGGTGTCATTGTCATTGGAAGGAGGCAACAGTTCAAAATCCTCATACACTAAAACTAATGCCAATAGAGTGAATTACCTTTTATCAATGTTAAGGTGGAGACACCAGACCTCTTTACATCCATTTCTTGTCTTTTTATATTCTAGTTTTCTCATCTTAAAGCTCTGACTTCAAAATCGGTGCGCTTTTATTAAAAAGAATATTTGCAGCTAGGACGCTATGCGCAGCGTTTCTATAAGGAATTAATATTTCATTTAGTTCCATCAGTCTTTTTAACCTTTCTATCCTGAGGATCTTGTTGTTTCTTCTCTTGTAACATCTGCATGTATCTCTGCATGACAGGATCAATCTTCAAGCCTTCATCTTCTGTCTTCTGCTCTTGACCAGATTCTCCAGGAGGCCCTACTCTTTCTTTCTGATCAGAGTCAGCCTTTCCGTCATCCTTCTCTACCGCCTTCTGCTGTGTGGTTGGATCTGCACCTTGTTCCTAACAAAAAACAGAAGATTTAAATCACTATAAAGCTTCTACAAAATATAAGCCCTCTAGACTAACGTAAAAAGCAAGGCAGTATGGGGTTAGGTTCCAAATTTATAACCGTATCACATATCCTTATCTATTCCCCATGTGATATCATCACTTTGTGCATTCTTCTCATACGTGATATGGGACGTCAAACAACAAGCTCGATCGGATCTAGGAAGCTGCGGGCCTACGAATTCGTGTTCATGCACGAGTCACGTGATTGTGCCATGAAATGTCTGGAAGGAGTAGTGTTTTGAGTAAATCAAGTGCGAGTGCACAATAAGCTCTGGCCGTGTTGCATGAAATCGATCAAAATGATGCCTGCCAGAGCTTAAAAATGTGACGCCAAAAAATTTGACGCCGATGGCACAGATGGAACACCATACTTTTGGTCAATTTTCAGGACAGACAGACAGACCGACCAACCAGCAAGTGACATGTAGAAGCTCCTGCTAGAGCTTAAATAATTCCGAATCACTAAGACTTTTCTGGTTGTGATGAAACATTTTATTTTGTTTATTTACTTTCACTTGTTTAAAAAGACGAACGGGCATTATTTGCATCATCATCGCATGCGATATGTGTTGCCAGGCGTGGCTGACTTTGCTGCATAAAAAAAGTGCGAGTGCACAATAAGCTCTGGCAGTCTTGCATGAAATCTATCAAAATGATCCCCGTCAGAGCTAATAAAAATGAGACGCCCAAAAATGAATTTAGTTAAGATGAGTTCAGCCGCGTTTGCTAAGGAAGTTGGGACGTGTTGAATGCGTCTTAAGCTTGGTGAAATCGATCCTAGGATGAGTTGCAAGTTCAGACGAGTAACCCTTTTTAAGACGCGTCTCAGCATTTCGTGAAATCAGCCCCAGGTAACATAACATCTGGTTTAATACCCACCTGTCTCTGTAGTTCCAATAACATGGCTTGCTCCCTCTCTCTTGCTTCCTGTTCTCGTAACTGTCTCTCTTCGTCTCGTTTCTTGCGTTTCTCTTCCCACTCATGTTCCTCCCTTTCTTCATCATCTTCCTTCCCGAGTCTTAACTCTTCATCTGTAACTGAGAAATGTTGTACAGGGATACTTCTTTACCCTAACATAAGGCAGTTAAAATATCAGACAAGAGACATAATAGTGTACTTAACATTTTATTTCTGGACAGATGTACTTCCTCCAGAAGAAACAAATCATTGTTCATAAGCCAACCACAGATTCTCATGATTATCGGGCACATTTTTATTCCATCTACTTTATTTGACAATGACAATACCTATGATATATACAATTCATTTTCACTTTGATCGATTTAATTTTCTTTTATGAGAACTTCTCGACTTACCTCCCTGAGATTTTATCACCTTGACATCTGGCCCATTCTCACCATCCGCATCCTTTGATAGTAACTCTGCCAATGATTCACCATCTGAGATGCTCGCTAACGGAGAAGTAAACACTGGACTTGATGGAGGAGGAAGTAAAGATGCTAGTACATCATCATACACGGTGGCAGATGGTTGGGTAGGCTTCAGTGACTTGGGTGATGCATGGGGTGATAACTGTGAAGAACCTTTGAATGAACCAACTGAAGACACAGATCTGTAAACAAATACAAAAATGTTAAAGTGAAGATGCCAATGCATCATCATCTACCGAGGCAGATGTTGGGTAGGTGTCAGTGTCTTGGGTGATGCATGGGATGATAACTGTCAAGAACCTTTGAATGAACCAACCGAAGACACATCTGTGACCACAAGATGCACATACAAGAAACAACTTGTGTGGCTGCCTCGGGGCTCACTTGTGCCCAGAGGAGTTTCGGACTACTAGTTCTCAAACTTATGAGAAAAGGACTCCCAAGTGACTGGTATTCGCAATCAATCCAGGAACCACACACAAAACACAATGAAGCCACTTGACAACATGGTGGTGATTGCTGATAGTAGATTGAGTAGATTGAGATTGAGATAACAATCTGCAATTTAATAAAGCAGAAAAAACACTAATAAGAAAACTATAATAAATGTACATGGAAAAGTCTAATCTATTAAACATGGCAAGTTGAGTCCAAAAAATGTGAAGTCTGATTTGTCAAATCTAAACACTATTTGCAGTTCAATCTGTTTTTGCTGAATGAATAATCAACTGTAAAATCTCAGAAAATCCACTGAATTCTGTCTCTAAACTTATTAAAAGTAACTCATAAAATCAAGGAAAATGCTTCTTACCAAAATGGGGTCTTTCAAGGTCCACAAAGAGTGAATAAAGTGATGAAACTTGAGGAACTAAATCGCAATGAGTATGAAAACACTTGTCTCTGAAATCACATGGTCAGTAAATATGGCTGCCCATTGTTTATGTGGCAAGATTATGTGGTACTTGTACCCACACAAGGTCTTTGTATGCACATAGGAAGTGCACAAGGTCACTCTGGTGGTGGGAAGGAGGCTACTTAATGCAACACATAAGTAGGCTCTTTCACTATTATAAGGTGAACATTAACTGTAGGCTCTTTCACTAAATATGCAGTAATACTCTAAAAAATGGAATTCTAAATTTAAACTATGAAAAACTTGTTAAGAAAATTAATAAACTTAAGACAAACTCACTGCACAGCTGCTGCAGTGACATGGCTCCTCTAACTGCATCTCGCAGTTAACAAACTAAAATCAAACCTGAACTTCAAAGATTAATGTCCATGAAAATGTTCCATCTTGATGGACGTCTTGTCTCGCACGCACTGCTCCTCAGATGCAGACTAGTGATGGCTCGTTAAATTGGTATCTACCTACTAATGAGTAACAAGAACAGTTAAAATGTAAAGTTCGTAAACTAAATAGATTGTCGTCCGCAGTGGGTCTCTTCTGGCAGGATCTTTAGTTTGGCTCTTCGGTGGGGACTTCTCTGGTCTCTTGAGCTTCAGGCTTCTCTGCGGGTACCAACAGAACAAGCTTGTGTACTGGTCTATCAAGGAGTGATGGAGAGTGTTGCCGTCTGCCAAGGTTGTCTCGTGTGCCATCGGCCATCAAGAGCTTCACTGACCTGACTCTTCCGTCATTGCTCGGGTAGGTCTCCACTACGCGTCCCAGTGGCCACTGGTTCCTGGTCTGCTCACCTTCCTTGGAGATCACGACATCACCTACTTGTAGATCTCTTTCTGGATTGACCCACTTTTTGCGCTCTTGAAGATGGTGCAGAAACTCCTTTCTCCATCTCACCCAAAACTCATTGGTCAAGAACTGGACACGTCTCCACCATTTGCGGGCATAGACATCTTCCTTCTGGAACTTTCCAGGCGGAGGCAGAACCACCTTGGGTTTCATGGTGAACAGATGATTGGGTGTCAATGGCTCTGGTGCGTCTGATGAGCAGAGATAGTCTGTCGTGAGAGGTCGTGAATTGATGATGCCTTCTACCTCAGTCATGAAGGTCCTGAAACATTCATCATCCAGTTGTGTCGTGGTTTTAAGAAGAAGACCCTCTAGTATACGGCGTACTGTACCTATCTGTCTCTCCCACACGCCTCCCATGTGACTGGCATGCGGTGTGTTCAGCTTGAAGGGAATCCAGTCACAGTTGCTCTCTAACAGGTACTGGTGGACTCTGTCCTGCTCCATCTCAGCTAGCGCTTCTCTCAGCTCACTCCGAGCACCGATGAATGTTGTACCTTGGTCTGAACGCAGCTGACGTACAGGTCCTCTCCTGCTCTGGAATCTTGTAAGGGCATTGATGAAAGAACTTGCCGTTAAGGAATTTGCTGTCTCTAGATGAACACCTCTAGACGCCATACATGTGAACAGGACACCATAACGTTTCACTTGACTCCTACGCTCTTTCACCAAAAACGGACCGAAGTAGTCAACAGCACAATAGGAAAATGGGGGCGCTGGCTCTAGTCGATCTACGGGTAGGTCAGACATCTTCTGTCGCTGCAGCGATCCACGCAGTTTGCGGCAGGCCACACATCTTGAGATGTAGTTGGACACAGCTGATGAACCACCAATTACCCAGTACCCTCTCTGACGTAGCTCGTTGTGTGTCATTCCTCTGCCCATGTGATTCACCTTCTCATGAATATGGCGAATCAACAACTGGGTGACATGACCTTTGTGAGGGAGAATGGCTGGATGCTTAGCTTCAATTGGAAGATCAGATCTGGCAATACGGCCACCCACTCGGATGATGCCATCGACATCTAGAAAGGGATCTAGCCGGTACAGACAACTCGTCTTCTTCAGGTAGTCATTTCTCACCCTTGCAGTCTTTCCATCGGTGACTTGCCCGATTACACCAAGTTCTTGTAGGGCCTGTAACTCGACACTGAAATGTTCATGCTGAACATTTTTGATGATTTCCATCTCTCCATTCTGTAGTTCTGCCACAGTGATTGCTTGCTTCGCAGGAGTGGAACAAACTTTCCCTTCACAAGGTTTCTTCACTACTCTGTTCCTCAACTTTGTCTTCAACCTCAGACAAAGAGCGACTGCCCTGCAAGCTCTATTCCAGGATGAAAAGCAATCAAGTCGGCTCACTTCGAAGTGATGATGTCGTGCGTTGTTCTCAGCTGTTGTCACGAAAGCTGAGACTCTTTTCACATCTGGGTCTGATTCACTCAGTGGTGCAACTACAGCTGGCTGGGGTTGAAAGGGGCCATCCTTCTGCAAGAAATCTGGACCGGATAACCAGCAGGACTTCTCTATAAGTTCCTTTGCTGTCAGACCACGTGATGCTTCGTCAGCAGGATTTTCTTTGGTGTCTACGTACATCCATCTCTCTGGGTTAGTCAGACTTCTGATTTGCTGCACTCTGTTAGCAACATAGACATGGAATCGTCTTGCTTCATTGTTTATGTATCCCAAAACAATCTTGCTGTCTGTCCAGTAATATTCGTGGAGCATCTCGTAACATAGCTCTCGTCGCAGGAATTCACTCACAGTTGCTGAGACAGTTGCTGCTGCAAGTTCTAGCCGGGGGATGGTGACGAGCTTCAGAGGGGCCACTCTGGACTTACCGACTACAAAGGAACAATGTGCCTTATTGTTCTCATCGACTAGTCGCAGGTAGGAACACTGACCATAACCATCTTGGCTTGCATCGGAAAAATGATGCAATTCAACTGCTGTCACAGTTCCAAAATCCTTGGGCTTAAAACATCGCTGGATTTGGATCTTCTCTAAGCCGAGAACCTCTAAACGCCATTTCTCCCACTCAGGTTGTAGCATCTCTGGCACTGGACTGTCCCAATCAAGTTTGTCGCGACACATCTGCTGCAAAATTCTCTTCCCTCTGAGGGTTACTGGAGCCACATAGCCATTTGGGTCATAGATCGAACTTACAGTTGAAAGTATGCCTCGTCTTGTGAATGGTCTGTCTTTCAACTCAATATGGAACTGAAAGGTGTCACTCTCGACACACCAAGTGACGCCCAGGGCTCTTTCCATTGGTAGTACATCAACCTTCAGATCTAGTTCCCTTGTACCACTGGCTCGCTCTTCTGCTGGGAATTTTTCCAACAGCTCTCTTTTGTTGGAGATGATTTTGTGCAGTTTCAACCCAGCTTTTCCACACAGATTCTGACTGGCTTTGATCAGTAATGATGCTCTTTCCACTGTGGGTAGTGACTTCAGTCCATCGTCTACGTAGAAATCATTACGAATGAAGTTTGCTGCCTCTGCTCCAAACTCATCCTCTCCGTCATCTGCTGCTCTCTTCAGCCCGAAGTTGGCACAGCCTGGTGAGCTAGCGGCCCCAAACACGTGAACTTTCATTCTGTATTCGACCACTGGCTTCTCTGGATCACCATTTTCCCACCATAGGAATCGCAGCAGGTCACGGTACTTCTCTTCTACATAGAACTGATGGAACATGCTCTTCACGTCAACCATAAAGGCCACTTCCTCTTTCCTGAATCTACACAGAACACCGAGAAGACCATTAGTCAAGTCAGGACCTTGAAGGAGATGGTCGTTGAGTGAAACGCCTCCATATTTGGCTGAACAGTCGAACACCACTCTTATCTTGTCCGGCTTTTTGGGGTGATAGACTCCGGTGTGCGGCACATAGTTTACCTTTCCCTCATCAACTTCCAGTTGGTCTAGGGGGACTCTCTCTGCACACTTTGGGATAACATCTTTCATGAACTCCCTGTAGTCTTCACGAAACTTCACATTCTTTCGGAATCTGGCGGACAGCTGATTCCATCTCTTAACTGCAAGTTGGCGGTTGTTAGGCAGGGTCGCAGCGTCAGACTTCAGTGGTAGTGGCATTTCGTAGTGGCCATCGGATGCTTTCTTTATTCCTTTTTCCATCACGCTCAGGAACTTCTCGTCTTCTACTGAGTATGGCTTCCCCTGATGATTCTCGACAAAGTCGGATTCCAACACCTTGAGAACTTTCTCTGGGTTTAAGACTTCTTTCACCCTCGTACCATAGACGAAGTGTTGGTAGCTTTGTGGTTCAGCAGCAACCACTTTGTTGCATACTGCAGGTTGGTCATCGGTTTGTCGGGCAGCCTTGCAAACGTTCCCAATTACTCCCCAGCCTAGTAGTGACCTCTGGCCGTAGGGGTCATCCTCTCCACCGGCGATGATTTCTCTGGGTCTAACCACTCTTGGGCAATTGCTTCCGATGAGAAGAGAGATGTGCAGGGTTGGATCATAGGGCATGAGTTTATCTGCCAGAGACTTCAGGTGGGGCCATTGATGCACAACCGCAGGTTTCGGTATCTGGGATTTCTTGGCTGGAACGCTGTCCCGCTTGAAGCAGACTGGAAGTTTAACAGTGTGCTCTCTATTGACATCAAGCACTTCAAGCCCGGATATGCGACTGCTGGTGATTTGCACATTTTGCTCTTGCATTGTACTGAGTAGTAACTGCGTCTCTGGTCCCTGCAGGTTCATCCTTTCACACAAACTCTTTGACACGAAGCAACTGTTGGATTGTTCGTCCAAGATGGCATATTCGAGGAACTCCCTCGCTGGATCACTCTCACTACGAACCAACACTGGTATAATCATGGAGTGGTCACCTTCTCCTTCTTGGTCTGGTTGGGAACACACTTGGATACAGTTGGACATTCCCTCATCTCGTTTGGGGTGCACAGCAATGACTTCTTTGGGTGGGGATGAATTGTTTGGGACTTTGTCAGCTGGTTGTTTACTTGCCGCTGCTGACTGGGGGTGACTTGAAGCAGTTTCTTCTGGCCGTCTCTGTTGGAAGTTGCGATGGAGACAGGTCAAATGGGCACCAGCGCAGATCCGACAAACTTTTTTGTCGTTACACTCTCTCACTTGATGATCACTGGAACGTGCACAGCCCATGCACAGTCTCTTCTTGAAGAAGAAATCCTTTCGCTCAGCGAAAGGCTTGCGCAGAAAGCGCTCACAGTCGTCCAGGAGATGACGCTTATTGCAGAAGAGACAGCTCTTGTCACTGGACAACTGCACTCTGCTTGTTGGTTCACCTCGACTGGTACTAGTCGCAAAAACACTGGTGTTCTTTTTCGGAGCACTTCCTGCATTAGAACGTTGTTTGTCCTGACTTCGAACCACGCTCTGCAACTCCGGAATGTTTGCCCTGTCTGCTGCAATCTTCACAAGTTTGACAAACTCGCTGAATGGGGGGAAGGAATCCTGACCACGGATCTGTCTCCAATAGTCAATCTTGTCCCGCCACTTTGTCTCGAGGTTGAATGGCAGTTTCTCGACTAGACGAGCATTCTCACTGGCGTAGTCCAGCACTCCAAGGCTTGCTGTGGTTGCTCGTGCTGCCTCTACTTTCCCCAGAAAATCAGAGAAATCTCTCAAGCCTGCTGCATCCCTCGGCGTTAACCTCGGCCACTGACGGAGTTTGCTTATGAAAGCAGTGCTCACTACACTACTGTTTCCGTACCTCTCGTTCAATACTTTTCTTGCCTGCGTGTAGGCCTCTTCAGTGCCGATGAGCATGTAGTGCTCCACTAGGTGCTTTGGTTTTCCCGTCACATATTGATTGAGGTAGTTAAGCTTGGTGTCGGCGTCAAGGGGTTGGCTGTCGATAAGGGAATTGAAGGAGTTCCGCCACAGGGGGTACTGTAGTGGATCACCGTTGAATTGGGGGACGGCTATCTTTGGTAGCTGGCTAGATGCAACAAGGCGTTTGTTTACATCATGCTGTTGTCTACTGGACTCGGCCAACTGTGTAATGCACTTCTCAAGTGCCGACGACATCGTCATCCGTCCTCCTTCACTTTGGTGATGAGAATGATGTACACTGGACTGTTCATCAGGTCTGTTCTGATTGGCTGATGTAACCATGGCAACAGGTTGGAGTGACGCATTGTCCACATATGCGCTTTCACTTTGGGGCACAGATGGACACAATGGAGGGGGGTGATCACTTTGATGCGAGTTGAGGAATCTCTGCATATGTTCATGTTTGTCGGCGGGGATGCCGGACAGCTCTGATGATATTGAACTGTCATCCCGCTCCAGCGATGAGTACACCTCCATCACAGCTCGGGTTTCGGCCAATTTCCTCTCTATCTCAAGTTGTTCTAACTTTTTGTCTCTCTCGATCTTCATTTCCTCCACTTTCTTTGCCGCCTCCAACTCCAGGAGTTTCAGCTGTTTTTCTTTCTCTGCATAGTCTAGCTGGACCTGCAGAGCAGCCGCTGTTTTCGCTAGTTCCAGCTTTTCTTCCTGATGCCGTGCATATGATGATGTAACGGACACGGCATGACTGGCTCGACTGGAAATCTTACTTGACTTGTAAGACGACACATGACCAGCGTGACTTGCTGCTCGACCGGCGTTACTCTTCTTTGACTTGTCAAACTTATGACTAGAAGACGACTGGATTGGCAACGACATGACGTGAGTTTATTCACTCTGCATGCTCTGGAACGACTGGACTTTGGTTGTGACTTTGATTGTCCTTTGATTGTTATTGTGGCTGCCTCGGGGCTCACTTGTGCCCAGAGGAGTTTCGGACTACTAGTTCTCAAACTTATGAGAAAAGGACTCCCAAGTGACTGGTATTCGCAATCAATCCAGGAACCACACACAAAACACAATGAAGCCACTTGACAACATGGTGGTGATTGCTGATAGTAGATTGAGTAGATTGAGATTGAGATAACAATCTGCAATTTAATAAAGCAGAAAAAACACTAATAAGAAAACTATAATAAATGTACATGGAAAAGTCTAATCTATTAAACATGGCAAGTTGAGTCCAAAAAATGTGAAGTCTGATTTGTCAAATCTAAACACTATTTGCAGTTCAATCTGTTTTTGCTGAATGAATAATCAACTGTAAAATCTCAGAAAATCCACTGAATTCTGTCTCTAAACTTATTAAAAGTAACTCATAAAATCAAGGAAAATGCTTCTTACCAAAATGGGGTCTTTCAAGGTCCACAAAGAGTGAATAAAGTGATGAAACTTGAGGAACTAAATCGCAATGAGTATGAAAACACTTGTCTCTGAAATCACATGGTCAGTAAATATGGCTGCCCATTGTTTATGTGGCAAGATTATGTGGTACTTGTACCCACACAAGGTCTCTGTATGCACATAGGAAGTGCACAAGGTCACTCTGGTGGTGGGAAGGAGGCTACTTAATGCAACACATAAGTAGGCTCTTTCACTATTATAAGGTGAACATTAACTGTAGGCTCTTTCACTAAATATGCAGTAATACTCTAAAAAATGGAATTCTAAATTTAAACTATGAAAAACTTGTTAAGAAAATTAATAAACTTAAGACAAACTCACTGCACAGCTGCTGCAGTGACAACTTGACACCACTGACATACACAATGAACATTCGAATGAGAGAAAATTGTCTTCTCTGCACTGAATGGACAAATTTGAAGAACAATGTCTGTCGAGTTCCACTACCAACTTTTCAGATATACATGTATTCCCATATGCTTTTCACCAAGAGACAAGAGACAGACTACGTACAACCCTCATATTCTCCATTACTGACCGGGTAATCCCAAAGCTCATTAAAAGATCTAAATTGATTAAATCATCTAAATTTGATTAGCTTTCTGGTTCTGAGAAGGGTTTTGAGTTCATGTAGCATGCACTAAACCTAGCATTGCCCTGGGCCCATACTTAAGATTCTGTCAATATGAAAAGGTGTTTGCTTACTTTTTTGACAGGTTGTTTTGCTCATGAAGGTCTTCAACACAAACAAGTTTATCGGATGGTGTCGAAGATCCCTTACTGCTAGGAGAATCCTGCACACCCCTTGGTGATAGTGGTTCTGTCCTCTGTACTTCAGACTGACTATGTATCTGACTGGTTGTTCCATCCACTAATGGGGGTGGCTTCATGGCTTGATTCTGTACTGGCCCTTTATCGGTGCAAACTGAAATGTATACAAATTTACAAAATCAAAAGCAAAAATTATTAAATTAATATAAATCAACCACTGAGTTCGCTGTTGTGATGTAATTGCCTGACCAATTTGAAATCTATACATTAGTCGTTCCAATTATCAAATATTTAAACAGAATCAAGATGAAAATCCCTGTCAATAAAGTACAGGCTGTTAGAACACTTGCTAAAAACAATTCTAAATCACAAGCCAAGTTGTACATTTTGTACCTTTACAACAAGGACTCAAGTTCCAAGGTGGCTGGTCTCTTCGGTACAATCAAAATACACAAATTTGGCAGAAATGCGAGGACCAACCTTGCTTACTCCAAGAGGATACATCATGAGTGTTATTGACAGCCGGTGTTATGTGCCTCAACTGATGAGTATGAAGCGGTGGACTGATTGGCAATGCATTGATATTGGTGACACGGTGCTGGAAATTCTGATAGTTCTGCTCAAGACTCTATGAAAACAGAAAAGACAACAATTGTAGATGGAATTGCCTACAAAAGCAACATCTTTCCAACAAAGATATCAATAGGTATAGACACTGTGGAGGACAGGAGTGAGATTGGGGGCAAGTGAAAAATCCAGGAAATGTTTGGGGAAAGATTTAGGGTTCGTTGAGGCCCCAGATAGAGCAACACAGGGCTTACGTTGCATGTGTATGTACAGGTATTTGCCTGAAAAAGGCTCTCCTAATAATTTGGCTTCTGGAAATAGGAACCTCTTATTATCAAAGTAATTGCCAGTCAATGGGTGTAATATTTCAAGGATTCTACTGAAAAAATTCAATCACAGGCCATTTCAAAGAAAGGCATTTGTAATGTGTTGAAATGTTTTTAGTGAGAAACAGTAACACGAAAGTTCTCAATGACATCCTAAACTCATTATGTGTAAAGGTGAACCAGGCTTAACCAATAATTCATCTTGACAACCAAAATATTCCTACCTCAGCTTCTATTTCCAGTTGTTTAAATCTTGCCTTGGTATCTTCTAGAAAGGCCAAGGATGCATTAGGTGAAAGGTCACTGTTGTCACTATCAAGACCTGTGATTGGTCCAAAACCTCCCTGGTCGGCCAATAGGAGCTGTTGTTCTATATGTGTTTGGTGGAGTGTTGTATCAATGTAATGATTATCTGGTTCTATATGGTCATGCACAGGATGTTCAACGATGGAGGCAGGAGACCTAGACATAGAATAATAATACAATAACGGCATTAATCCTCCTGATCAGAAGACTGACTTGCAAACTACGTTTCTCTAGGCAAGGTAATTTAGCACTCAAGACTATAACCAAAACATCAATTCATGTTCAGAACCATCCAGAACCATTCTCTTAGTTTGAGAAATTATTCCCACATGGTGTTTCCGCAAACCTTTCATTCATTAGTATCTCCATCATGCAAAGCCTCAAATCTTACTTAATTCATGTACAATAACTCCATCCATCTACCTGTCTACATTTGTTTCCATAAAAAGGAAGAAGCAAGTGTCATAAGTACCTTGTCCAAACACAGAAGAACAACGACATTATGGAGTTGATGCATCACTATAACCTCAGGGGTGAGCACATCAAACTATATTCCCTACCAGTTCATTAAAAATGTTAGATATGGTTTGGCTGATCTGGTTGCAGTCCCAGTCACAATATTATACACATTGATACTAAGATGGTTTTTACTCAGATTATTTAGACTTTGGATTATTCAACTACCTAATAGAACCGGCTGCTACTCCAGTAGTTCCCTTGCGATACACCTCATTACTCAATGCCATCTGCGTCTGTCTTAGTGTCTGTCTCAAATCTGCTATCTGGTTGTTCATTTCTCTCATCTGATTGCCTTGTTCTTCCAACTGTCTCCTCAGCTCATTATTACGCTCATGCTGAAAGAAATACATAAAACAGTCATCATCTGACTCGAACCAGTCAGCTGACCCCAGCAAGCTCTGTGGTCAAATGGTAAGATGTCTACACTAGTAAGCAGGAGGTAGTGGGTTCAAGTCCCACCGGAGTAAACTAGTAATATTTTTCTTGCAAGCCCTCAGACAAAACTGAGTATACAGTGTTTATAAAAATACGGCTGCGGACAAACCCAGTTAAAAAAATTAACAAAATGAAATCATCATCATAAACATTGATTAAATACTATGGAATCTGTGTACAAGTACCCTCTTGAAGGTTACAGTGTTAGGCAGAACTCAGCAATTAATTGCCACCATAGGCCTGGTGCTAACATGAGGACCGGTTTATAAATGGATTGGTGCAATTCGTAATAAATGAGTTTTCACGCTTCAGAGCATACTCAAATACTCAAATCAGTGCGCACATACAGTCGTGTTTTATATAACTCTCGAGGACAAGGCATTGTCTTTCCCTTAGTCCCTACAATATAACACTCTCCTATAGGCAGACAAACTCACAGATCGTTTTCAACAAAAGACAAACTGTCAAGGGCAACAAAGAAACTGTTGTTCTCCCTTTGTGTGTCCTCAGTGTGCATGTAATTCATGTGCAGTGTGTCTCATTCATGGGGCTGTAAGAAGTGGACACTATTCGCATCATCTACTGTTCAAGTCAATAGACAGCATTCAAATATACACAATGTATTTGTTCACGTTCATACTTTCAGAGTTCATGCTTTCCTTTGCTACATACCTCTTCTTGTAGAGTGGCGCGATACTGTGCCTCTTTGTGCTGCAGTAAGTTTCTTTCTTGATCTAACTGACTTTTTGCTCTTTGAAGCTCGGCTTGTAATGTAAGGATTTGTGGAGATGGTTGAGACATCTTTTCAGTAATGACTGCTAGCGCTTCCTCATGACCTGTGTAGAGAATTAAGAAAACATCACTGTCATGCATAAACTGACAAATGACACATTGACAGACATAGCAATCTTAACAGACAGATGATAACGACTGATGTATAACAATCTACAAATTGACAGATGACAAACTCACAGACTCACAGACTGGAGAGTTTGACAGATGACAAATAGATGACAGAGTGACAGATGAAAGACTGAAAAGATTTACCAATTGACAAAAACGAAAGACTGAAAAGATTTACCAATTGACAAAAAAGAAATTGACATAACTGTTGACAGAAGGCAGCACGACTGATGATAGGCTGGTCACATAATTTCTCAGATTGTCAAATTACAAACTAATAAATCTACATATATGTCAAATGAACAAAAAACAGCCCGACAGAGGATAAATTGGACAGATTTCAAATTCATGACAGACTGAAAAAATAGACAGAACAACAGTTAACAAAGTGATATATGCCAAACGGCATATGACAGTCTGACAAATAACAAGTGGAGTACATAAAAATACATGTATACCACACATTAAAGATATGAACAGCATTATTACCCAAACAAACAATCAAATTCCATTTTTTTTCTCCAACTGAACAGTCTTAACAGTCTCATATATTTTTAATTCATTTGTGGACACTGTACACTTACTTGATCAATTTCTGAATATGGTTCCTAATTTCCACATGTTATATTTCAGACAGCCTTTCATAGATTTTCACCCTCAAGAAATATCAGACATTCAGCATCATGTACACAATCGCCACAAGATAACGACTGTATTGTCGATATTGTTTCCTTTCATTTCCTTGAGTGTCATGACGTATACGCGCTACGTAAATCACTTGTATGAATTCCAAGTGTAGCTGTTCATTATGAGTGTCCCATGCACCGTTCACATCAATGCCTTTTTATTCACAAGTCACTTCCTGACCACTTGTGCTAAGGATCAATGTTACCATAGTAACCTTGGAAGATTGTTTCCCTATAAAGCCCTGTTCATACTTCACGTGAATTTCAGTGCGAAGCAAATTCATTGGGGTAATGGCAAATGTGATTTTTATTTCTACTGTGTATGTAAGTTTTTTATGATTGTATTTTATTGTAAATTCTTAATTTTTATTGCAAATTAATCAGTTTATCCATCCATTTCTGGGGCTTGCACTGTTGGATGTTGTATGAAATAAAAAAAAATAAATAAATAAAAACAATGAAACTTCAATTGTTGACGTCCTGAAATTTGCTTCACTTTTGTTTCACGTGAAGTGTGAACCAGCTATTAAGGCATGGGCCAGTGTTTTCAATTCTCAAAATCCAACCTTGCATAATTACAACTTAAATAAATATGGTGACCCAATTATTTTTGTGTAAGTGGAATCAAATTATAACAGGCTGAAGTATATTTGGATGTGTTGTCTTGTGAATGATATGGACCAGAAATATGTGTCTACACTGCTCACAATTAATATGAAATTATAACATTATTGATTGACAAATGAATTATTTCACAATCTTTTGGGATGAACAAACAGATTGCCTGGAGCGGGGTTGAACCTGCAACCTTTGATAATCTAGAGGCTGGTTGCAAGTTCAAACCCTGCTCTGATCGATTTCTTTGTTCAAATTTTTAAAAACTAATTATAATACACACAGTAAGTTTCCCTATGTGGTTTATTTGATATTTATTTCACAATTGTTAAATAAATGTCATAATTGTAGAATTTCAAGATTGTTAAATTGATTTGGATGTTAAACACTTTGTCTACTTCCCATGAATTGTGCCATTATCAATATCATTCCCATTGAAATATATTTTAGGCAAATAAGATAATTTTTGACTAAAAAAAATTAAAAAGCACCATCAAAACTGTAAACATATCACTTACGTGTACGCTCCATCTTCTGTTCATTGATAACTTCTGCCAATCTCCTATTGATAAATGACAGAAACTTATTTGATATTACACAAGACCTCCTCTTATTACATGCTAATACACGCTTTGTTAACAAATAACAGAGAGAGAAAAACCCACGTAAAAATTGACAATGGAATTGTAGAATTTGCTGTTCTATTCACAGAGGGTCAAGTAATACCACAAAGCAGGGCACACTGGTATACATACAAATGGTATGCCATCCATCTTTATACATCCATGGACATGTTATACAAGTCTGAAAAACATTTTGTTATCTGTAACACTATTTTATGTTTATTTTCAAAAATACTTTTCAAATTTCCATTTTTTGCCAAAAGTATCATTAAAAAGTTTGAGGTCCACAATTTGGCCACAAAAAATTGCAGGTAGGTCGTGGCCTATAAACCTATAATGAATGCACCTTAGTATGGGTGTGATACAGAAATGTCACTGAATGCTATTTTGTCACATTCTCATTGAACAAATAAATACAAAAATTTCCAGTCATACTTTTGTTAAATGGAAAATGTCCAAATTAACAACGCTGCTTAAAATATTGACAGTAATGACTCGTTTTCCAACAATTTGAAGGCTTGCATGACTGTCGTGTCACTGAAAAGAGTCAATTTAGATGATTCATCTAAAAACCAAAGGCAAAAAAAAAAACATGTTTAGCGTCCTGCCTTTTAGAAAAAAAGGAAGGAGGCCCTTTTTTTCTTTTTATTCCCTCCAAAATGGCCGCCTGACCGGGCCATTTTTCAAGATGGCCGCCATTTTTTTTTTAAATAGCCGCCACTTGGACTCAGGAAATGACATACCAGCTTTATATGGGCTAGATGCAACAGACAAAGAGGCCAAAATGATGTCACTGTTTAAAATTTATCATTTTTTCTTCTTTTAAAAAAAAAAAGGAGGCGGCCATTTTGTTTTTTTATTTGGCCTAACATCCAAAAGAGATTTAAATACAAATTGCTGTTTAAACCAGAAGTCTGATTCTTACCGTTTTTCATTCTGCAGTTCTCGTCTCAGAACAGCATTGTCTTCCTTGACCGAGTGATAATCCATCATATCCTTTAATTTTTCTGCAAATAATTCATTCCGTTTTCCCACAGCTACACCTTCGAATTTAGACTGCTGATACAGAACCTGAAACACAACATGCCTATCTAATTAATAGTCTCCTATACATGTACCTTGCAAACAAATGGGATTTTTTTTAGCAAAGACACACATTGACAGTTTCCCATTTCTCATCTACATAAAACGTATCCAAAAAATAAATGTTTCAATTTTTGAAGGCCAAGCAATCAATTTTTGTAAATAGTCTATGCGTATTTTAAGAGGCGTCATGTTACAGATGCTTTGTTTTTAAAAATCACCACAACAATTAGGAGCTTTGTGTGAAGCCTGAAAACCTGGTGTTTCTTAATAGTAAAAAAAGGAAACGTGCAGCTTTCTAAGATGCTCCCCATGTGCCAACCCCTGAACACCACAAAATGATGTTCAACGAACGTGTGGACGTGAAAAATTTTCATTTTCATAAATTGTACAAGAGTGAATTTAATATAAACACTCACCTCTAACTCAGCAATCCTGCTTTTCCTTTCTTTAAGTTCTTCTTTCAGGTTGCTTTGCAATTCCTTCTCTTGCACTAGATGATTCTGATCCTCTACAATAATTATGAAAACAAATCTTCATTTCAGTGCAATGTTTTTCATCTTCTAAATGGATCAGTTGTTCTGCTATTTGGTGGCACAGGTACCGTATCTGTTTGGATTATTCTGCTAATCCAACATCCCTTATACTAACAGTAGCTACATGTAAATGTTGGGAATGATCAGTACATCTCTATGCACACATTATTCCGAGCAGGGGCATCTAGCAATTACAGTAATGACAGTAACTGTTCCAGGTGACAACAGCCTTCATGCAATCACAAGTACCTTAATTGATCTCATTATGATAAACTCATTGAAGAACTGCCTAATCTTACAGAATAATGAGTATCTGCACCTGCCCCACTCCTAAATCATTTGATTGATTATCCAAACCTGATCAGCCATTTCACAAAGACATCATGTCTATGGAGGAAGTACTGGCAGTCATTGGTTTCATTTATGGAAACTGTGTAAAATAATCCACGTCTTAGGCTAATTTACTAAGATGATAAATTACCTCTGATTCTAGTTTCTCTCTTCTCAATATCTTGTATCCTCTCAGCCAGTTTAACTTGCTGCTCTGCATCATGCCTACAGTCAAAATTACATAAAAACTTAAAAGTATTTGACACAATCTTCATTTTCAATTGCAGGATTATTGAGGATACACACACCTATATAAAACCTTTATCGATTCTAAATTTACATTTGCTAATGAAATAACAGAAAAGCAAAAGGAGTGACACTTTCTTTTTGCCTTTCACATAAAATTGCTGACGATTTGCAACAATACGTCCCACACGGTCACTAAACAGGTCTGTTCAGCAGTCTGCAGATTAATAGACAGAGTAACTTACTGTCGGATCTGTTCTTTGAATCTTTTCTCATAAGTCTCCTCAATTGTTGCTATAGACGCTTCTCTAATCTTCAGGTTTTCTTCGGTAGTTTTCCATCTGCTCTCTTCTAAGCACATAGCTCTGAAAGAATCACCACATGATTTGGTCTTGATACAATAATCAAAAATAGCACATAATGTTTTTCAAGAATATATGCTTTCTAAAATGCAGGGGTCGTATTTCATGAAAAATCCACTGGACCGCGGCAGGGCCTGTACCTCACAAAATTTACTGGACCGGAACACATTTTACAAGACTAACTCAATAACTACGAAAAGGAAGTTCATGGAAAAAATATACGAAGCACATGATCGCCAAACATGCTCGGATCGTTGGAAAATCTTTAATTTTGCCTTATTTTTACGTGCTGATTATTGGAGTATTAAATCATGTGTATTTCGAGATTGAGTTATTTTCATTTGCGCCACGAAAGCTATTGAAACCGACCCTCAAAAGTGAGAAAAAAGCTTGCGGCAATCAATGTAAAAATATATTTAACTTGATGATTCTCAAAAAAATCCGGCGAATTTAAATCGTTCACAGTCACGATGGCTGCTGGCCAACACTGGCAGTAAATCGCGCTGGTACCCAATCGCACGGTGTACTACACCGGCAACAAGCCGCGTGCCTCGGTAGAACATTTTGCGGAAATAGGCTACGGTGTATGTGGCGCTTCAAGTTTGAGTGGTACAACTGCAAAATAAATACATTGAAATGGAAAATACATACACAGAAAAGAGAGATCAAGTTCTCTGAAATAAATTGCAGAAATTTTCTTTCTCCTTCGATGTTTGTTTTGCATTTTCACGATGTCAAGTTCGCCATGTTTTGCATGCTGCTAGCGCACACACAATACATACAGTGTATGTGTACATTACAAGTATCCAAACAATATCCACAGCATTATGTAGAATATTTTGGATTCTGCAGGTTTACTGATCTTTCTGCAAAGAGTAGCACTATCTTTAACCTCTTTCATATGATTATTGTAATTTTACGCTGTCAAAGTCCACAAAGTAAAACATTTTCTCATGAACCCCTCAAAGATCAAGGAGGTTTAACCCCAGTTGTTGATAGAACATCTGAAGGTGCGGGCAAAGAACCTCTAAAGGTGCAGGCAAAGAACCTCTAAAGGTGAGCGCATAGAACCTCTAAAGGTGCGGGCAAAGAACCTCTAAAGGAGCGGGCAAAGAACCTCTAAAGGTGTGGGCATAGAACCTCTAAAGGTGCATGCAAAGAACCTCTAACGGTGAGCGCATAGAACCTCTAAAGGTGTGGGCAAAGAACCTCTAAAGGTGAGCGCATAGAACCTCTAAAGGTGTAGCCACAGAACCTCTATAAAGGTGTGGGCAATGGCCTTGCATCGCATGTGTCTACACTGTCGTAATACTAGACCCCCCGTACAGAGTTCTCCACATAGGAAAAATTCCATTAAATTCAGTGGCTATAGAGGTACAAAGCGTCTAGGCAAGTGTATCACAGCTAAGCAAGAAGCCTACAACTCCAAGTTATCTACTGATTTGTTGATGAGATTACCTTTTATGCAGCTCATCTTCTCTTTTCAATTCCACTTCTTTCTGCTTCAACGTCTGCAACTCATCCAGCAAACTCTGCCTCTGTGAGTAAGTTTCCCGTTCTACCATCTACAGTAACATCCAAAAACCAAAATATTAAATACATGTACATGTACATGTATTTACTAAATATTGACTATACCTATTTCAAGCATATTGTATAAGTACTTTTACTGAATGTTTCCTCACAACTAAAGAAATTAAAAAGTAATAACAGAACATATAGTAGCACCATCCAAATTACAGCCTGCACACATTACAATCTTGACTGACTGCTACGATGACATTGAATTATCTCAAAAGCGTTTCATTTTAAGGCTGCTCAAGTGTGACTTCCTGCTCAACTTTGCTGATATTTATTCACTACTGAAAAGCACCCCACAAATACAAGTCATACCTCTTGATGACATTGAATTCTCTCTATAGTGCTTCGTTCTCTTTCCTGCAGAGCTTTTAACTTGGCTTGGTATGTACTCTCCATCTGAAGTCAAATATAATCATGACAAATTTAATGCAACAATTGTGGCAATGGATGATACATGCTTAACACTCAAACTGTATGTATCATCCCCTCTACTCAATTTGACCTACATTTCCTTTTCACAAGTGCTTACACTCAAAAACCAAAAACACTGCTAAAGTCGTCTTAAATAAATCATAGCTTTATAACAATCTTTCATTGATGAAAATCAATCCATACCTCTCTTCGGGCCTTGTAAATTTCTTGTCTACACTTCTCACGTTCTTCCAGCTCAATTCTCTTGCCCTCACTTTCCTTAAACCGACCGATCTGAGGAGAAAAATAAAGTCTCTTTTAAATTCTAAGAAACAAGCATTGGTTGTTAGGTTTCTTATAAGTAAGGGAACGTAACAAATGCAATAACAATATCCTGGAGGTGCTAAACAAAAGTCAAAAAAACAAATCAAGCATCGGATTGCACCTACCTCCCTTGTAATTTCTTCCTTAGTTCGGAGTTCCATTTTTCGTTGAAGAGATAAGAGCTTTGCCTGCATTCCCTGACTGCTTTCATGATATCCATCCACTTCTTGGTCAAATAATACATCCACAGCAGTCAGTTTCTTCTCTGAATACAGTCAGGAATTGTGAAATCAAGTGGAATGCATTAGGATCAGGTCTTAATGTTGTTAGATTCTCATCCCATTAGCAGATACTTACATTCTATTTGCTGTATATACTGTACAAAGTGTCCTGAAACCGAGGTCACAGATCACACAGTGGCATCAACCATGCATAAAAAATATCCAAAGGTATTCCTACTTGACACAGACTTTAATGCTACATGTAATTCTTGCCTTCAAATAATTCAATTGCAGCCAAAATTACTCGACTTTGTGTATGAAAATCTTAAGCTTCAATTTAAAAAATATCTGAACCTACAAAGTACACATACCAATTGAATTTGATTGTGCAGGCAAGTTGTCTACTTGAACAGCTTTGTCAAATGATTTACCACGATGAGATGTCAGTTCACACAGTAGCTGCCAAAGGAGACCTGTGGAAAGAAAACTAAGGTTGTAAGAATTCTACTCAATAACAAATTATGCAGAAGTTTATTACAATATCCCTGTACTCTTCAATCATCATTTAGATTTTATCATTCCAACTGCTTTGTACAACTCAGTTAGGATAAAACTGGAAACACAATTTGTACATTTCTTTACCATTTCTTTGTACATTTCTTTACAAAGAGTGTGCATGAGTCAACACAAATGTCATGAGTGTACACATGTGAGTCAATGCTTGAAGCATGGACCTACATGTATTACATATGTTACTGATTGTTCTTTAACCCTAACTCACTAGCGTCTGTTACTAGGAACTGGACCAAGTCCATCAAAATCCATCAATCACTGTGCGTCCAATACAAAACTGTACATGACATAATGGAATCCACCACTGAGGTACTGGTTGATATTCATGGATTTGCTAAACATGTCTTTGATCACAATAGCAGTACAGGAAGCTAGGCAAAATCAATCGGATACCCCTAGCACTGCTTCAGGCTATTAGGGACAAGTCCATTATACTCCATCAATATTTAGTCACGCCAGGCCTCCTGGACCAAGTCCCCCAAAATCCACCAAAATGGGGGGGGATGGATTTTGATGGAGTTGGGATGGTTAGGGTTAAAGAAAGTACTAGTTCCTGCTTTCTAAATGATCAGATAAATCGATGTGTACAAAAGCAAGAATGAATTAACATCAATATGTTCAACAAACATAATACCTTTAGGATGATATCCACGTACATTTTCTGTCTGCAACAAATTTAAAAGAAAATAAATAGTAAATGCCACTTGCAATTAACATGTGAAAGCACACATTGTACTTTTGAAGGTGTAGAGGAGATGGTGATCTACTTAGTTTCTGAATAAAATTGTGAAAAGAAGAGGGTAAGGGTCACACAATCTAACTTTTGATAACTTCAAAATATTGGAAATACATGTATGTAAAGAGAATTATTCCTTACCACTCGTCTAAATAGCTGTGAATCTGGATGAATGAACAGCATTCCTAATAACTCCCTAATGGTAAACATCTGAAAATCAACAATAAATAAATCAGTTATATGAAATTCAAACAGTGAAGTGATTAAATCTCACAAATACCGTATGTGTACATTTAAGTACAGTCATGATTCAAGTATTTGGCAATTCAATACTATGTACCAAAACTATGAAGCAATATTATGGGGGGACCAGGAATAAATTTACATGTACGTAGCATTTGATGTTTGAGCTATGTGGCATCACTTCTCTGCACACCAGAGTTATACAATGTAGTCAGATTTCAAAATTGGCTACTCAAGTTTGATTTGAAAAGAGAAGGCATAATAAAACAGATTTGCTTTGATGTAAAATTAAATTGGAACAATTAAAAACATTTATTAGTGGGTTAAATGTAATACTTGTATGTACCTTATCTTTTCCAGTTTCACTTTCTGGTAGAAATACAGCCAGAGTATATTCATATTGGCATCTTCTTAGATGGTCAGCTACTAGACTATTAGCAGCTCGATGCATCAAAGTACCACACTCATCATCTTGGACTGTCTCCGGCGAGGATGGTGTTGGTTGACTGTTGTAAGAGACGCGTAGTTCATTCACAAGCTTTGTTCTGAGCTGAGACTGTTAATGTTATATAAAAAAATTATAATTAGTAATAAAATATTACTGAGCCATCTTCATGCTTTTTATATTGTCTTTTGAATTTGTTTGTATCTTATTACAGTGATATAAAATTTTCATTTTTTTACTTGTTTTTATTTTATCAAGAGTTCATTTCTTGGTCCCTTATAGGGCATGATGTACCTACTGTTCGATATTGCTGTAATCAGAAAGAGTTACAGTGATGTTGTACCGATCAAGGAAGTATGTATGTTGCACCTGAACAAAATGAATGCAGTCTTATTACCTTGAGTGAGTCTACGAGACCTTTTTGTCGGAAGGAATGATAAAGTTTGGTTTTGAGTTCCTCAGCAGTCATACAGTTGGAATCTGTTTGTAGTTCAGCCATAATACAAAAAGTCACCAGGACGATGCTCCAACATGGGGTCACATTCAAAATCAAACACAATCCTGAAATACAATTGAAAGTAGACAATTTGTGTAGAATGCAATAGGCCTATCTAACACAAATTTTCAGTTGCAAATTTGCTGAAAACAGAAGAAGATGAACTCAGGGATGAGGAAAATTCCCAATTTTGTTGAAAGCTGAGGCCCCTAGAGAACTTTCACAACTTCCCATTGAACTAGCATGGCTGGCACTACGCAAGTCACAAATCCACCAGTAAGTGGCAGTTGGTGAGTGGTGCCAAGATACTGAAGTTCTTCCCGGAAAGAATGTAGCATCCAGCATTTTGTCCAGACGCCACTTCTTTGGTCGTGTACAGTACAAAGTCTACAGAGAGTCGAGTACATTTTAAAGTATTTTCTAACCAAATTGGAAATGTTTCTCAGTCCCAGATTCATGTCTTTTCGACATTTTTCCAATGACTGACCTCCAAAGTTCAAGTTCAAGATAATACAAAAAATGTCCAAGCCAGGAGTTGAACCAGGGATCTCTCATTCATGAGCTACATGTACACGCGCTATCCACTCGGCCACAGGTGCTGCACAAACAATGGTGGTAATTTAATAACTTTTATACGACTGTTTGATGCACTACTGCTGCACTAACTATGAGGCTTCACTCGCATCACGGCAGAGGTAGAACAGCAGCCGAAGTTGGCCGACAAACAGTCGTCGGGTGCGCACTTCAGCGCCATGCCGCGCCGCGCTGTGCAGTTGGCAAGTGTGACTGGTGGTTCGCTGAGTGTGCATGGTAATCGACAGCGCTTTGCATTTTGTTTGTGCACAAATCTAGCTCCGGGCATCATCATGGCCGCACAGCTAGTCGGTTATGCCTCCTTTTTTCACTGCAATTGTAGGTTGAATCTTCATCGTGGATCGTTTTTTTTTCTTCCAAGGACCTGTGTAGTGGTTATGCCAGGCACGGTTTGGGTGAGTCCCAGTTGAAATCAGTGTGTTACGGGGACAAAATTGCACATTTTCGAATTTTTTTTGGACCTGCCAATGCTGCAAGTCCAAGTTAATAACTTCCTCCAGCCCTAAATGACAACCCAATGACAAAATTTAGGGCTGAGGTAACTCCAGCTAGCTTATGATTGTAAAGGTGATTTTTGAGCAATAACATTAACAAACATTTTTTACTCTAATTTGATCAAAACAAAACAGGGGCCCTACACTACATGATCGCCTGTCAGACTAGTGCCCCAGTGGGTCTACGTTAGGCCTACATTACAACAAAGTAAAAGCACAAGGTAAGCAAAAAAATGTCTTAGGAAAATGTCCATACTCGATCGCCACTTTAACTGCCGCCAAACATATCAATTTTCACCTCACCTTGTGATTTCAACCAAGAGGAATCCAGGAAGCTGTGTAAATGCGAAAAAAAATTAGGCAAAATGTGTTTTTAGACTAGAGCACATTTTGGATGCACACGTCGTGCAGAACTAACTTGAAGCAGCCGGTCAAAACTGATTGTAGTGGCTGAAAGAAAGACAGCGGTACGTTATACGCATGACATCGACAACCATGACGTCGCATAAGCCGGCCAATGATAGTGCAATACGTCATTATGAATATTTATTTTCTCATGAATATTTAGTTTATTTCAATGGATACTTCAAATACGTCCAAAGATTGATTATTGCAACAGCGATCGTGCGCGGCCTAGCGGTTAAGAGTCTCGTGTATCAAGCAAGCGTCAGAGGTTCGAATCTCGATGAAGTAACTGACTGATTAATAAATAGAAATTAAGGAAAGGAGAGGGTGAGAGAGTAGAGGAGGGAAAGTGGAGGAATAACCATAAAAGATGTAACTTTTGTTTGGCGCTAGAAAATTAATTGAAAAAAGTGGCGATCGAGTACGGAACTACATAATCAGACAAATGGCTAGCTCTACTGAGTGGAGCGCTGAAACTAAGTTCCAGCGCTCCACTCAGTAGAGCTAACAAATGACAACAAACCTGTCCGTAAACTGGGCCACACACATCTTAAATCTACAAAGTACAATTCCCTTGATTTGATCATGGAGGAATAAGAATAAGGTTTATCGCAAATAGCGTTCTACCAACAGAGGGCGCCCTGTTGCAAAGCATCATGGGATGCAAAACGGAGCATAACTATTTTGCAGTCCCGGATGTTGAAGCGCGCATCGCGCAACCAACACAAAATGATGGCTGCGATCACACACGAAAACTTTCAGCGATCGTGTAGTGTAGGGCCCGTTTGGTTTCGAAAAAATTAGAGTCAAGAGTGTTTTTTTACTACTCAAAATGACCTTGTCAACCTAGAGCAGACTTCTCTCAATATAATGACACTTTTGTGTAATTTTTGAACAGTTTCTCGGAGTAGAAATGATGATTTTCCTGCGCGGTTTACAGTGGTGCAGTGCGATTCAGTGCGCCTTGCCATTCACGGTACATCGCGCAGCGATCGGCATCTTTATTTTCGTGTTGCGTTTTGTCGTTATCATCTTCATTCCCCCCCCCCCCCAAAAAAAAAATTCCCTAAAAAATTAAAAACCCTGCCCTTTATCTATGACATACCTGTATGTTCTTAATATCGCAAACTTGTTTGGTAGGTCAAATAATTTAAAAGTGGATTTTGTTCCCTTACAGGTCGCGGGCCCGTAGCTACACGATCGCCACAATTTCTAAGCCAACATGCCTACCTAGTTACATGTGTACATGTATGTAAATAACTGTTGTGTATTTTTTAAATTGTTTTTTTTTTATGTTAAACAGGTTTTCTTGTATTCGTCCAAGTAAATTTGTGCCAATATTGGGGCTACCGGTTATTTAAGAAACACAGGTCATATTTGCCAAGTTTTTAAACTTTATCCAACTCTTTTTACGAGAATCTGCTCAAATATTGCCAGCTTTTTAATTAAGAAACACGGCTCATATTTGCCAGTTACTTTCACCTATTTATTCCAACTGTTGTTTTGAGACTCGGCTTTTTTTATTTGAGGGACGTAGGCCCATTCCTTGATATTTGACAACTGTTCATACAACTCTTGTTATGATACTCGAGTAGGCTTGCATTTGCCAGTTTTATTTTCAATTTTCCAGGTTTTTTTTACTATTAATTCAACTCTCGTCAAGAGACGCAGGTCATAATGGCATTTTTAAACAATGTTCATGTACTTTTATAAAACATGACTTGATCATTTCAATTTGCATTTTCTACATCCTTATTGTGTGCAACTTTGTTCCAAATTTTATTTACATTATTTTTAATAAAACATGTCTCTTATTTTTATGAACCTGCAAAACCTTTTACAATTGATATAATTTCTATTATCATTATCATAAGTGAAGACCGTTCATGTACATGTAGGTTAATGCCATTTATAATTTGGTTTATTTTGCATACAAACCTCGAGTAAGAATGAACAAAATAAATAAAAACTTAAGAAAAGGTACAGCAAAGTTTTGATTTTCTCAGATGGCCGGCAGTGGCGTAGTGAGATCCAATGCTCGACTCTTCACCGGTGCTCTTTTCAGTGTTTCGGGAAGGTAGTATCCTCTCAAAAATAAAGTTGGGTGAAGTTCATCAGGATATGGCTGGCCGTATTTGAAGTGGTTGCTGCAGACTGTAGTTGATGATTTTACTTTGAAATCCTGCCGTTGGGTCAGTTGTGTCCAGAGAGGGAAGTGTTTCTTATCCCTGCATGAGTGGAATCCAAGTGTGTTTACATGCTCTTTGATGACATCTATCAAGAGAAGGGGAAACGTAAGATAGAGATATTTATTGTTTGATGACGGAGAAAAAATAAACCACATAAGACTTCGCAATTATTTTTATGAGTAAAACAATGGAGTAGGCTAGCTAGCTAGGCCTACTACAGTACTAGTTGACTAGGACAAATATATACATGTGTACATGTATATATTTTTTTTTACATTTTCGTGAACAGAATATAATTTATTATAAATAAACAATCATGAAATTGTCTGTAAAAGTCACACATCGTTCGCTGACAGAAGTAACAATTAAACCATTATAAAAGCCACATATTTTTCCGATAAGAAAAGAGTCATAAAAGGGAGCTTTTGAGGGGCACAGAAACTCTAAATGCACTGGCCGACACAGTCATGACAGTGCAGAGTGTCCCGTGTTTCCCCGGTCGCGTGCCGGTCGTCGGCACATCGCGATCGCGTCGGGTCAGAACTTAACTGCGCGCTATCCTACTTTTTGAACATTTTTTTCCTGTACAACAAAACAACTTTAATTTATGTATAACAAAGATCATACCTTTGTGGATAACAACAGTCATTATTGCAACCCAGAACAGCACAATAATCATCTCCCATCGAACACATAACGTCAGAAAAATGGGCAGCAAAGAAATATCGTACACACCGCACCGTGCAATGCCGTGCATGCCGTGTGTACGTTTTCCCACCGCCGTGTGATGGCGCTGTTGCTCCGATTGCAGCCCCATGATCCTTTGCGGTTTGTATTTGCGATAAACCTTATCCTCCATGATTTGATCATATTAATATGGCCAGAACTTACCTTGAATTTACCTTAAACTTGAAGCATTAGCCTTATACCCTTGATTTTCATTCATAGTCTGCTACGAACATGATATACATGATATAGATAAGAACTAAGTATGACAAAGTTGCCTGAGTGAGTTATTACTCATGTTTACGTTTTCAAATTTCGTCACTTTTTTATACAGGTTATTATTACCCAATCCAGATATTCGTCCCATCTGAAGTTGGTCTACAGTGGGAGTTGGGCAATCCACCCGCCCGGGCGCGCTAGTCTAGTCAATCACAACCTCGTCCCCAGGGTGTCGAGCAGTACGCGCCCACCACTACCTGCTCTCTCAACACGTATGCAAATGAGGAACAGTCTGGTGCCTGCATATGCGTTACACATTAGCGTTTGTTTTTGTATGCGGTGTCTGGGGTAAATACAGAGTCAATTCGTAGCAGCGCGAGCACGGCGTGAGTTACGAAAACACGATTTTGAAATCAAACTGTTACGATCTTATCGAGACAACATGCAGTATTATATTTCATATTAATATGAGCAAATTGGAAAGAAAATTAGTATTTTCGAGAAGGCGTGGACGAATGATCGCGAAAACACGTACTGCACGTTGTGAATAATAGCACCAAGTACACGATAAAAATCCATTACTAGCCAATTGCGGTATCCAATCAGCAGGATACAGGAAGAAAGTTTCCTATCCAGGGTTTACTATTGGAAACGCGGTTGGAAATAAAGTAAGCACTGGGGACGGAAACGCGGTTGGAAATAAAGTAAGCACTGGGGACGAGGTTGAGTCAATCATGATGACTTATTTTTGTTTATTTCTTTGTTTTCATAATAATGTGTACTTCGAGTATGAATTTTAAGTAAAGGTAATTTCGATCACAACTTGTTATTATTAGTGGACTGGATGAAATCTGCCGAAAAAAAGTTCTGGCTGCCTAGAAACTTAGAAAGGCTATGATAATTCTGTATTTACAAAAAAAAGGCGCGCGCCCCATATTTCCCAAGTGGATTGAAGGGTCCCGATCCCAGCTTCAATTGGGACCAACTTCAGTTGGGTCACAACGCGAGCACGTTCGCCAAGATTACTTGTTTTAGCCGATAGGGGGCGGCAAAACTGCGCGCGTTATCTTGAAGTCAAAACAGCACAAAATAAAATCGATCGGAAGCGCCGCTTCTGGCGTACAGAAGCAAGGCGGCACTGTGTGTTTTTCACTGGAAATTAAACAGTACGACCTGTAGGACCATTCCCTTTGCTAATTTACCAGAGATATGTAGGGGGCCTAGCCCCATCATTAAAAAAAAAAAAAAAAAAAAAAAAAAATTTCATCCCCCAAACCCTACTAAATCGGTTTGAAATCTATGGGTCCATGCAGGTCTACCTGTAGCCTAGCCCCGCCTCTATGCCAAATAGGCCCACAAGTTGAGGTTTTTTTTGTGAACGAAATACCCCGAGTTCAAAGCCACAAGTCAAAAATGCTTGAACTAATTTGTCCCAAGTATGGGGTCCGCTCGTAAGTCCGACGCCTCGTTTGTCCGACGTCGGATTGATGCAGCGGCTTAGCTATACGGGAGGGGGGGAGGAGCAAGGGGCGCACCCCACCCCGCACAACGTTTGCGCTCCCAGTCCTCGCCCCACCCCCCCCCCCCCCCCCCGGAAATTTGGCACCCGGAGAAAAGTACAGCCGTTACCGTGATTAGCTGGAACCGTGGAAGAACATAAAGTCCCTTTTCCCGTGATTTTGTGCGTATTTTCCACCTAAACTGCCTTTTATTATTTTCGCGAGCTGTTTATTTTAACGTCCATGCATGTGGAAAGCGGATAGCGGTAGTTATTGTAATAGTTTTGAACAGCACCCCCATGGGGAGATGGTGTCCCCCACCCTCATTTGATTTAACGGAGGTCGGGTGTCCGGGGAAAAAAAATCTCTACCTTTCAGCACAGATGAAATTTTTGGGCGCCCCTCCCCCGGCCCCACACGCCCCCCTAGGATGAGAACCCTGGCTACGCCGCTGGATTTATGAGGCGTCGGACTTAAAGAGGCGTTGGACTTGTTTATGACTGAGGAATCGGAGCTATGAGGCGGAATACGTAAGTCCGACGCCTCATAATTCCGAAATTTCGGACTTATGAGGCGTCGGACTTTTTAAGCGTCACGCGTCGGACTCACGATACAGCCCCCAAGTATAGGTGACTATTAAATACGCTCTTTTCCATGATTTAAAATCGCTTACAAAAACGCATGTGAACAGAATATTTATTGCACCCAAACGCCAGTTGTTGTTTTTCTCATAATATATTATCTCAATGAAGATCAGTCATTGCAAAAATGTAGAAAAGACATGCATCTGGGACTGAGAAACATTTCCACTTTTGTTAGAATATACTCTGAAACAACAAGATGGATTGCAGCCGAGTTGGCGGCATTTCCCAGAGCTCAAGACCGACAATAATCTGTCATCATCTGCGATTCTCTGATCTTAGGTGTTACGAACTGAAAAATATTTCTAAAATATTTCCGCAATGCATTGTGGATTTCTCCATTTGTTTCATCCCATATAAGGCTGTTTATTACAAATTTTGATAAAGTCAAGTCATGAACATTCTTTTTTTAATGTTTACTAAAGAAAAAAATAAACTGCAAACTCCAGACCAATTTAAGGTGCAAATGCACCTCTTTGGTACCCCTAAACAAAGCAAGTACCAAAACGTTAAATGTCTTGTATTTTCCATTTTCAATTCCAAAGCTTAAGGAACATAGGCCTAAAGGCATTTGTACAGTTGTGATGTACGTATTAAAACTGCGTTATATCACTGCTACATATTTTGTGAAATAAAAAAAAATTAAAGAAAGTTTGAAAACAAAAGGCAATCTACACTGTCCCTACTAGTAGAATCAAGACCTTTCTTAGTACAACTCAACATCAGATTGGGATTTCCAACTTTTCGTGAAAAAATAAGAGATAACTATGTGATCAAATTTTACAAACTTTTGATGGGCCACAAAGAAAAGGAATATAAAGTATCCCAAAACATAAACATTGAAATTATTAATTAAGTGAAATGTAGCAAGATTTTCAAACATTACTGTCTCTTTTCAGAGAACTTAACGATGAAAATCCCAAATTGGGTAAATGGTTTTGATTATGTTGTCACTCTGAACTTTAAAGAGATATTCTCAAAACTACCTTGTCGAACCTGTAACTTCAGAGCCAAGTATATCTTGAAAATTAATGAAGTTAGATTACATCTTGCAGGTAATAACAATGCACTTCAAGTTTGACTATATAATTAATATTAACGGTGTAGAAGATCGTCAAAATATCCGGTGCTATGGAAATATGATACAAGAAAGCCACGCACGCGCACGCAGAACACAAACCTAGCATTTTTCACCGACATTGGTGGTGCAAAATATTTTTTGTTGAAGCTGTTTTTCTCAAAATGATGTTGCCGAAGTTCAGTGGCGCACTGTCAACTTTCTCATAGCATATCTTTGGAATAAATTGAGTTACAGAAATAAAGTTATTATTGGAAAGCCAACGAGTTGCTCTTTAGCATGGTGTATATAACTCAAAAAGTCAAAGGTGGGGGTTATTCCTCAATCCTCATTACACCATGGCAGGTCACAAATGGATTCTGTGATAGGTCAATCAAGGGCACTATTACACCTAGCAATAGTCAACATTCACCGTTGATCAATTTAATTTGGGAATTTCCAGGACATGAATGAAATATTGTGCAGGCTTTTGATCCCCGATATTTATTTTTTACAAATTTGAAAGGGAAGGGAACAGTCAAGCAGTAAAAGCTTCCTTTGCTGATTTTGATGGCCATTTCTATAAAACTGTTGCATTTTAGGAAGTTGGCTCTGATTCTCACAGTTCATATTGGAATGCATCAAGCAATAACAGTCATCTCGCATAATTGTTCATAATTTAAAACATGATAAACCAATCCTTAAAAAGAGCATAAGTCAATATTTATCAATTAAACACCACCAAAAAATACCATCACCATACTCTTAAAATTATCAAGATGTTACTTTTATCATTAAAAATATTGAACTTGGAATGTGTTAAGACAGAAACAAACCATACAGTAGAGCAGTCAGTGCAACAAATGCTGGAATTGAGATGAGAATGATTTTCTTGTTCCTTTGCCAGATACTCAGCTGCACATTATCCTCCTTCTTGCGTCGTTCTCGACGTTTCTTGCCTTTTGTTAAACGTTCATATTCCTCCAAATCTCTCTAAATAAGAAATTGAATGAGACCATCCTGATTAGTTTCTACGTAGACGTGTTTTATGAAATTGCTCAACGCTATTTGCTCAACAATAACAAAAGTATATCTTTTGTTTCATCAGGTAATCATCTCTTATTAGCCCCAACTCTCAAGGCATTTGTGGTAGGAACTTTTTGAATACTCCAAATTCCGCAAACGTGCAGGAAACCAGTGACACATTATTGAACCTTCAAGGGGCATCAAGCCATATGTTAAGTAACAGTAGTTGCGTCTTACTTCTCCACTCCTGCAAAATCCTGTCTCCTAATGGATTTGGAAGATCAGCTAGGGTTTGATTTCAAGACTCACCTGTTGTCTTGCCTTATCCTGTTCCTCTTTCTTGAGTTTCTCCTCTTCTTTCTTCTTCTCTTCCTTCTCAATTGCTTGCTTGCAGGAGGTAACACACTCCACCTTGACTTTGCCTCCCTTCACATCCTTACAAGGAAAATCCTGATTGGAAACAAATTACAATACTTTTTTAAATTTTTTAAACCAATTCAATGCAATTCTTCCCAAAATGAATCTTTGCATCTTCATGCTAAATTTCACAATGAATTATTCAGATTTATATTTTATTGAAAGGTTGAACAAAGAAATTGACTAGAGCGGGGTTTGAACCTGTGACCTCTGGATTACTGTTCCGGTGCTCTACCAACTGAGCTATCCAGCCCTATGTTGGCGGTTCAGACAGGGATGTATTGTTAGGTTTACATTTTGTTTACAAGGCCAACAGTCGATGAAAATGCAGTGTATTACGATCAGTGTTATCATATTTTTACCGACTAATTTGTTGCTTGTGTTATAAGTGCACTTGTGAAGACAGCATTCTGTTCATAGTGTGCACAGAATTCACAGATTTCAACCTATTAGAGTTGACAACTTGCATCACAATCAAAGAATCAGGTAAGTTATGTTACATACTACTCCTTCATTTACCTTTTTCCGTCTCCTACAAGGACATCTGACAGTGACTTTATGAGTACACTCTTCAGATTTTGAGCATCCTCCTTGATGACAGGGTTGACTGCATAGATGAGAGCATGAAAGTAGCTTGGTACATGGTCCCTGACATGATGAAAGCACAGCCTTATCAGCCTCACTAGAAGATGTCCATTTGCTGTGAATAAAAAGGAAAGTAGCCACTTCTTGAATAACAAGACTAGGCCAAACCAAAGAAGGCTGGTCCCAGATAAGTCAAAAGTCTCAAGTGGCAGTCAGTCAGTGAAATAGGTAACCAGTCTAAGTCACAAGTGGCAGTCAGTCAGTGAGATAGGTAACCAGTCTAAGTCACAAGTGGCAGTCAGTCAGTGAGATAGGTAACCAGTCTAAGTCACAAGTGGCAGTCAGTCAGTGAGATAGGTAACCAGTCTAAGTCACAAGTGGCAGTCAGTCAGTGAGATAGGTAACCAGTCTAAGTCACAAGTGGCAGTCAGTCAGTGAGATAGGTAACCAGTCTAATTCACAAGTGAGAGTCAGTCTGTCAGTCTGTCCAATCAGTACAAGAGGACACTAGGCAGGCCCTCTGGGACCAGCACCCGATTTCATCAAACTCTTCGTAACTTACGATGCATCGCAGCGCTGCGACGCGTCATATCCCTACGATGCATCGCAGCTGCGACGCGTCCTGCGATCCATTTCACGAAACACGTCGTAAGTGCGACGCTTAGTAGTGTATTTATAGCACAACTCGGTGACTGTTTTATGTATTTAGTCAGCGTACAGTAAATAGTCGTCTGATATTCAACAAAGAGTCGTCGGATCTCAGCTCGAAATTTGTTAAAACGTAAAACAAAATGGCGGTCGTGCGATGCAATTTTGAAGAAGCTCACAGTGGACTGTGTAGCTACTTTGAAATTTCAACTGCAATATTCCAGTCTAATTCATAATTATTCAATGAATTTTCCATTTACAACTTTACACACATTGCTTCGGTATTATAATCTCGTTTATGTAATGTTTATGGAATTAAACTGGCTAAGTAAGGGACTCTTCTTATTTTGCGATGACCACTAGACACGTCGTAACTTGCGACATGTTTTAAGCCGTTGTCAAGGAACTTACAACACGTTCAACACATCGCAACTTTCGTGAAATGGATCATACGACGCGTCACCAGTTGCGACGTGTTACACGTTGTAACTGAGTTGCGATGCGTTGCAGCGCTTCGTGAAATCGGGTGTAGCTCAAATAGATGACCCCTATGTGATATTTAATGGAAATTTATATTCAATAGGTTTCCCTTCATCATCCTGATGCAAACAATAATGTGCTCGAATTTCATTGACTGAAATCCATGCAAATACACAAGATGTGAACTCATAAGGCTGTTCCCACACATTCTTACTAGTTAAAGGGAATATACATTTGCAAACATCGAAAAATAAAACCATCAAGTTTTTACGAAATACCTTACTAGGATGTTGGTAAATGACAGTCTAAAGCATCCTGTAAAATTATGGCACCTGGTGTGAAGTCATTTTCAAGAAAATGGTATTTTTGTATACATTTCCAACGGTGATCGGCCGACCACCGTTGGAAAAACCTAACTATTTTTCAACTACTGCTCCAACTTTACACTTTTTTCAGTCCAAATTTTGTTTGCTATTGGTTACATGTTCATGAACGGGTGCAGGCCAGCTAGACTGGTTCCCTTACCTTACAATTTTCCGGCATCTATAAATTGATCCATTTTATCTTTAGTGGAGTCAAGGAACCAGACTACTTGAACATATTTGTTTTTCTTGGTTTTTCCAGCATTTTTGAACACAAAGCTTCAAACATGTCAGTGTAACCATATTTGATCTATTATACTAACCCCTCAAATATTTCATTTCTGAAAATTACAGCAAAAGCCAATGATGTACATTCCCTTTAAGAATTAACTTTGCATGATTATCCCACAAGCTAACTAGCTGTTTGTTGTGATTGTAGACGGTGTCTGCATTTATTACATTGCTTACCAGCATTCAATATGCAGCATCATCATAGTACAATGACATCGTTGTCGAATGCTCCGTTTGCATGGTGGGCATTGTCCTGGATGGCATGGGTTGGTACATGCGTGTGTGCAGCCGCTAGGTCTGGGTTTACTGCAACCTTCCTCACACTGCGCACACTCATTGCCAAACTAAAAAGGAAAAACAGCCCAAAACTTGGATTCTACAGACTGTTACAAAACAATAAATGATAGCAAGCCATCCATGATGGAATTAGAACAAATAGAATATTTTTAAACAGACCAATATGTTTTCAGGCCGATGAAAGGCAAGCCAAATCATCAAACACAAACTGAATGTTAAAAGCCACAAGTCTTTACTAATGCAGGGCTCTACCTTAGCAGTAGTCCTCACCAAATGCAAGTAAAAACAGCGGCGGACAAGTCAAAACCAGTTTCTAAGTAGTTCGCCCAGCTGGTCAAAACTATTGTAAATAAAATTGTTTTTATAACATTCTGGTGCAAAACTTCAACAATTCTATTGCGGACTAGTAAAAAAGCCCAAAGACTAGATAAAAGTCTGTTTCACTAGGTCGGCTGGCTTGTGAGAAAAAAAGTTAAGGGGAACCCTGTGCTAGTGACAGAGGAATAACCCCTTCCATACAAACCAGTGAAAAAACTGGGAAATAATGTACTATCCAAACGCTACTTCAGTGGTTGTGCACAAAGACTATGGAGAGTCAAGAATATTTTCTAACAAAATTGCAAATGTTTCTGAGTACCAGATTCATGTCTTTTAAACATTTTTTTGCAATGACTGACCTTCATTGATGTGATATATGATGGAAAAAAGTAGCATCAGGATGCAACATTCGTTCCAAAATCTGGCTTTCCAATGTTTTCTTTTCAGTTTCTGGTCACTATATCAAACAAATCTAAACTATAAGTTAGAGAACTATGGTTTGATTCTGGTTCATACCTTGGAGTCATCTTGTGCTTCAGTTACCACATGACATTCCAACGTACAATGATGATTGCCACAAGCCAACAGCCGCCCACATTGCTTCTTACAAGAAAATGGACAAGCTCTGGCACACGGGAGATCTTGTATCTACGGAAACAATGAAATACAACAAACCAAAAAACAATTTGATTGGAGGAGAGACAGCTAACTGGCTGGCAAATCTGAAAACAAACTGTATTCCCTTTTATGCTGTTCATTTTGGTACTTGGTTGGTGGTCCTCCAAAATGTTCCATCTGGGGAATTTAAACTTGAGGTGTGGTGTGGTGAGAGTGATCGAGATTAAGTTTCGTCACAAAGAGCATTCTTAAAGGAGTCTGGGTTGGTGAGCGCCACTGTTGGAAATGAACATCTATTTTGCAATGGCATTTCAAATGTAAGGCTAAAAATGGACGATATGAAGCTGTATCTTGTTTTTTCCTGATTGCTTTGATTTCAACAAAACAGTTAACTTAACAGTTTCAAATGTGTTCTGTTAATATTCAGGAGAAGAGAACTGTTGAAATGTAGAATTTACCAGTGAATCAGATAAACATTTTAAACGAGACAGGTTTAACCTGAGCACTCTACCACACACACGGTAACCTCTGCCGTCTTGTTTACCTCCAAGTCAAGATAAACCCTTACATCAAGACAGGTTTAACCTGAGCACTCTACCACAAACACGGCAACCTCTGCCATCTTGTTTACCTCGAAGTCAAGATAAACCCTTACATCAAGACAGGTTTAACCTGAGCACTCTACCACAAACACGGCAACCTCTGCCATCTTGTTTACCTCGAAGTCAAGATAAACCCTTAAATCAAGACAGGTTTAACCTGAGCACTCTACCACAAACGCGGCAACCTCTGCCATCTTGTTTACCTCCAAGTCAAATTAAATCATCGATTAGCTATTCGATTTACCTCATGTTTTCCTAGGCACTCTGTTGGTATAGGAACTTGGCATGGTGGACATGGCTGGTCAATGACTGCAAGCTGACATTTGGGCAGAGGTTCCCATGGTGCTGCTCTTTTTCCCTACGAAAAATGTCAAGTAAATAAAGCAGAGTAGTCAGTTGCTAGAGCAACCACAGATTCTCACACCTTATGAAAAAGGTCAAATATCACAAAGGAGGGCATTAGAATAGAATTTGTATTTCTATGCCCTTCAGGAAATGTCAAAAATCACAACGATGAAAGAAATAAAGTGGGGTTGTCTGCTGCTTGGGAAACCATCATTCAGTCAACAATTTTCTGTTATTTCAATGTGGATACTGAACAATTAATGTATTTCTCACACTCTGCAATAAATTTAAAATCCTCCCAAATTTCATTCGTTTTATTCGCATCCACACAGACCCTTACCTTGTTCTCAATTTGCTTGATAAGCACTGCACTGTGACACTGCCATGGGCATCGGTGATTGCAGTTTGCTAAGGGTTTATCACAAGTCTGCTGACACGGCGGACAACGCTGAAAATGACAGCGATGCGGATCACGGACAGCGTGGTGACAATCAGCTGGGATTCTGACAACAAGAAGCACAATACAGACAACTGTTAACTATCATGGAATTGGCAGAGATGAGGGAAGAAATCATGGGCAAGGATGGAAAGGGGGAGTTTGAAGGTCTGATTAAAATACAAACAATAACTAGATATCATAGAATGGGAGGGAATAGGGAGGCAAACCTGGCAAAAGGAAGGAGTCTAATGAATATAGCAAGAAGGTGGAAAGGAGACATGTCATCTGAAGAAAGTATCGTCAAATTCGGTATGCTGACTTTTTACTGAAAGGGATAGAAACCTACAAAGTACAAATAACTTGCTGCGGAAGTGGGAACACAACATAATAAGATACCACAGAAAGTATTGACATTTGCAAAACATAATAACTGTCATTTTGAGTATTCACTTAGGACATACTTGCAGGGCTTGTTACATCTTGGTGGCTTAGTCATCTTCTCTCGACCACAAGGTACACTGATGGATGTAGACCCACAGAAACATTTAATGTAATATGTCTCTTGACATGGGTAACATAAACCTGAAAGATAACGAATGGAACAAATCATGAACTGCAACATTCAAACACAATTCTAATCAGCGTTTGATTTAACTTTACACTGGGAGAAAATACTAAGGATTAGGCCCCCCCAAAAAAGTCTCCGGTTTCTGGTATGCGCGCGCATCGCCGTAGCCATGCGCGTCGGCAAAATGAAAAAGTTTTTTTTTCAATGAAAGATGATGTCTCAAAACCGCCAAACTCACTGGTTTGACTGGAATCCTGCTGCTGCACAATTTTAACGTGTTTTTAGATTAGGTTATGGTCGAGAATAAGCTTTATGTGACCTCTCTGGACTCCCATATATTTGCACTAAGTTTAGTCGGGCACCATTTGCAGTCATCAGCACACATTTGAAGCAAAAAAATCAGGAAAAAAAAAAAAAAAGCCGCGTCACCGCACCACTTTTTGGGCAAGCTCCATACCAGAAACCGGAGACTTTTTTGGGGGGCCTTATATACTAACCATGGATAAATCTGGTCCCTTATATGGTCAGTACAGTTATAATATGGGCTCTTTGAATACTGTGACTGCCGACTTGAACAATGCCAACTCAAACTGAAAACACCTAGGTGTGTCCAAGTTATCAAACATTCTCTGTGAATTGGCTCTTATGCATTGGCAGTTGCTCTCAACAGATGGATGCTTCAAGCTAAGCACCGTCGATATATTGGAAATCCAATATCGAGAATATTCGATATATCGATTATCCTGTGTAAAAGTTAAAGACCATAAAGATGACACCTTGAATAAAAAAAAAAGCCACGGCTTTCTCTGGAGCATATTGCTCGACTTTTTTAAACAAAATTGGGAAAAACTGCGAATTCCAGCAAACGCAGAGCACAAAGCAACACCGCTTGGCATTTCGCGATATTTTTATTTTGAGTCACAAGTACAAGCTGCCGTCAAGTTTTATTTCATTATACAGCAAACGATAAACACAAAGTATAAGCACAAACGGGAGACTTATTTTGACGATAATCTGACGCATTTTCGATATAATCGATATGATTCCTCAATTTCGAAAATTTCAATATTTTGATATGATTGAAAAATTGCCATCGGCGATATCGATATCAAAATAATATCGAATAATCAAGTAAAATTAATATGTCAACGGTGCTTATTTCAAGCTACATTTTCATCAGATTCAGTAAATAGCAACTTTACCTGGGTGACATTGAGAAGGACACTTATGGTTTCTGCATGGAAGCTGTCGTACACAAGGCTGTTCACAAGGTGGGCAGGATCCATCACAACACTAACAAGGAAATCACACGTAGACAAGTCCAAAGTTCAAATTCAAATCCTTTGCAAGAATCTTGACATATTTGTGTCTCTATTTCTTAACTTACATGTTGTTGTATTAAACCTGCCTACCTTTCTCTTACACTGATGGCGCTGACAATCCCTCAATTTTGGACATTTTAACTCACAAAGATACTCCTTACAACATTGAATAGACTTCTCTCTCTGACCGCAACGACATTTCTTCACACTCATCTGACGACACTGTACAGGAAAAAGAAATAAAGCAAACAGAAAATAGAAATAGTCATTTTAATTTCCAGGAAAAGGAACAAGATGACATTGTGCTCTTCTTATACAGGACAAAACTTACTGCTTTAAATGTGAATAATGCAGTTGCAACTTGTTTTATGTTGATACTCCATCCTTGAAGATTACATTGATATTTTCAACAGACAAAAAGACAACTGCCAAAGAGAGAGATAGCCAGTCCAGCCCCGCCAAACGCAGATGAACAGGCTAGACAAACACACAATTTTCCTTGGATATATCTTCTTTACTGACCGTTAGCCAGCCCAGCCCGCCAAACGTAGATGAACAGGCTAGACAAACACACAAACTTCCTTGGATATATCTTCTTTACTGACCGTTTCACAGGGCCCTGTATGACATCGTCTTGTGCAATTATGAAGTCCACATGCTAAGAGTTTGTCACATGTATCACCACAGGTAGGGATGGTCTCAGTGCAGGGGAGCTGAAAATCTGATCGAAAATTCATCTCAGAATTAGACACATTGAAGCTCATTCATTCAGGTTACTGATGAATACAAAACTTGATAATGCACTCTGTTAAATGTTCTTCATATACGGCACTCGCCTCTTGAGATTTTTTCCAAGGGGTATCTTTTTGAACATGCTTAGTAATAACGCATCTTAGAAATGTGTAACATTCAGAGTGTTACAACAATTTGTGGAATTTCTGAATATTCCCTCCAGTAAATAATACAATATTCTGACAATGTCTGTAAAAGAAGATTAGCATTTATGCACTTATCTTTAGGGTATCAATCTCAATATAAAATGAAAGTACTTTGATAGTAATAGTTTCAAGATTTACAAATTCTACAACGTACTTGTTTTACCACATGGGCATTGTCTCTTTCCAGAGCTAGGACAATCTCCACATGGTCCCGAGTGACAGACTTGTTGACATGTATGATATCCGCAGGATAACTGACGATCACACATACTGTCGCACTGCCATTGTGGTGATGCACATTGTCTTGTAGTCTTCATCTTACCACACATGCAAGATTGCTTGCCAGTCCTTGGACATGGATCACATACACCTGTAATACAATCAATTTTTAAGTATGGTGATTAACATTTAAGAGACTCACTCATGTTTAAAATTACAGTAATGTACTTGTTCATATTTTGTTTTGGACAAGATTGTTTAAACTACAATCTTGGAATGAATGCTTTGATAAATATGCATTTGTTGATGATTTTTTTGCAGTTCTTTTTACTGCTATTCTTCAGAAAGTCACGGGTCTCAATGACATGTAGACAAAAAGTCAGCAGGTTATGATCTTTTATCGCAGGGTATTTCATTGTTAGGGTGTGTCATTCCACAAGGTAGCCATTCAGCAAGAATCTTACAACTTGAAATGCTTTGAAAAAGAAACAGATTTATAATTTTTAGATCAATTTGAAATGTCTAATGTTTCTAAGGAAAATGTAGCGATCTTCAATACCAGCATGACATGGTTGTAGACACTGATGTTGTTTGCATGATAACATCTTGCCACATGGTTGACCACATGACCAAGCTTTGTTGCTACATCGTCGTTGTTGAGGTGTTTGATGTCCACAATGACATGGAGAGCGAACCGTCTTAGGACATGGTGGACATGGACCTGGCAATGACATAACAACAAATGTTAGTATAAATAATATCTGGCATTAGTGTTAATGATTTCTCTTAAGAACACAGATGCCATTGTAGCCCATAAGCCCATTAGAAACCTCTAGAGAATAGGCTTGTGCGGTATTGCCTTGTACTATACCGTGGTATACCGTGACAAAAAAACCGCGGTATTATGTTAAGTGGGGTATTAGTTACGTCATTATCAGAAGAAAAAATAACTAACCACCAGGCACCACGTGCCGAGTTGATAAGCCGCCGGCGCAGCATAAATCACGCAAATGCTTCACGCCGCAAATCTCCTACACTACAAGTGTCTTGGTTTCATTATCAGTCCATTTGTTTGTAAAAACAAAATATCATTGTAACAGATTATTAAACACGGGAAGCTTACTTTTTGTGGTATTGCATTTTCGAATTTGTAGGTCATTGACTTGACAAGGTCCACTAAAAAATTTATGCCGGCCACCAGCGACTCCTTACGTGCTTTGCCGGTGTCATGTGAAAATCGGACTCCTATAAAAAATATTGTACTCCTTCTCACGTGATCGGTCCGTGATTGATAATAGTAAACATCACAATGTTACGCATGCGCAATTGTGGACGCTGAAATATGAAGTTGTCGGTGCCGCGACCTTCATAACGAACGGACCAATCATTCCAAAACATGAATGGAAAATGTTTCGAGCGCCGTTTCGAGCGCCGTTTTAGATGGCCAATCAGCTTGATCTACACAGTGCGTGGGAAAAAGCACGTGCAATTGTGCTTGTGGGGGCGCGGCCCAGCATGACGGGCGTAGCTTTACGTGTGATCGTGCGGGCATTACGGGGGTTTTCCCCACGGTGAGAAATCATGGCTCTTGTATTACGCTTTCTTTTGGAGTATTTTCTTTTCTGGATTTTTATCTGGACGACTCGGCATATTCAGGCGAGTCCCTTCCCTTTGAACGTCGGTACAGATGAATAACTAACGGACCAATCAAACCAAAACATGAATGAAAAAATTGTTCCGAGCGTGGATTTAGATGGCCAATCAGATTCTTTTAAAAGGGTGTTTGACCATTTTTCATCTCACCATCGTCGCGTCTCGGTAAAACCTTCCCAAAAAAAAGGCGAGTGCGGACACGGCTTTAGATCGATAAATGCAGTGGGTGGGGAAAAGCTAGTGTTCCGACTCTCTCTGTGCGGAACCAGTGTGGGACCACGTGTATGCGTATCATGCACTGGCATGTACGGCCACGCACATGACGCACATGACATAGGAGTATTCGGGGAATTTCGTAAACACTAAAGTGTACGCTTCCAGATCGTACAAGAGTTTTTACCCACGATGAGACATCATTCATTGGAATATTTTCTTTTCTTAATTTTCCTGGACGGTTCACACTCGCTGTACGTATATTCAGGTGAGTCCAGATTTTTTTTTCCTTTTGCGCGTCGGTGCCGACACTGCTTGATTGTACATTTATTCCCAAGGCCCATGATGAGACATCATGATGGCTTTGATATTGCGCTTTCCTTGAAATATTTTTTTCTCATTTTCCCCGGATCGGACGCCTCAGCATCGCATGTGAATCCAGGTATCCCTTCCCTTTGCACGTGCATCTCGCACGCATATAGCACTAGACTGAAGCCTGCAAGTTTTGGCGGTCATATAACCAAGATTGACACGTTTTTTTTTCTTGTTGCTGATATTCTTGGGAACTATGTTGTGGCAAAAATTACGCATGATGATGTAAGATTTCTCTGAAACAACCACGGAGAAACAATTAAGACGACCAGTGTTTGTCACGACCGTCAAAACATTCCCATGTGTAAAACATTGTTTGAACTTTCAGTGAAGACACTTTACACACAAAGAAAACCGCAAACACGGCGGCGTTAGCAGAACTTCAAAGGCCTTTGTGGTATTGCAGCTGCCGAAGTATCAGGTTTTCTAGTGGAGCTTGACAATTGTGTTCAATCTGTCAACGGTAATTGACAATGCAGACATGAAACTGGATGCCTGAACCACAAAGAATGGAATCAAACATGTCAAAGAGGTTGCTTGTCTTTCTGTTTGAAAGGCTTTTGCGAAGATTCTGAACACTAAGGAAGAATACCGCAGTATTGAAATTCCATACTGAGTTCACCGGTGTTTCGGTATTCATGAATCATTAGTCGGTGTTAGTCGGTTATTAAAAAAAACCTTGACTATCCGGTAATACCGAAATACCGTCCAAGCCTACTAGAGAAGTGGCAATATAGAAAGAAGAACAACTGATGAATGTTTACCCATTAATCATGTAGGAAAGTCATCCATACTTTGTCCCATGTGGGATTTGAACCTGTCACAGAGAGATCAAGTGGGGACAAAATAATTCTTCCAAACTTACCTGGATGACACAGCAAGAGGCACTTGTGGCCACAATGTGGTTTCAGAGATTTTTCACACATCTCTCCACATGAATGTGGACTTAGCCAAGGGTGGAATGGAGGGTCGATGACCTTACTACAGTAACAGGTGTAACGCTTAGGAATGGCTGTAGATGGTCTCTCATAACGACACTTGGGGCTGGAATAAAGAAATGAAGAAATGTTATTTTACATTAACACTGTTAGGAATCTCTTTGATGCCAATTTCAATGGACTTCTTGGTCATTCTGCGACTCCCTACAACTAGGTTTCATAACATTGTGTTTTCTTACCATGACCACATAGTGTTTTTATTCATTGAAACATCGTCTTGTAACATCATGTGGTTCAGAAGAGCACCCTCCTTTGCCCATTTCTGGACACATGGCAGATGAAGGACACAATAGCACTCGCTGCAACTCCATATCTGCATGTTGAAATAACAACAGCTAAATTAGCATAAATTCTGTAACTTTCATGATCTCCTTTCAACATGGTTTAAATCTTTCTCATCAAATAATTTTTTTTCCAGTCAGATGAATAACAACAAAATCTGTATAACTAGTTCTTAGGTTAACAAATGAAATTTTTGTTGAGTGAGAACTGTACACAGTAAAAATGAACAGCTAGTGCAAAGTCTTGTAATACATGTAACTTTCTTACTCAGGTAGCAGCAACCAATTCACAGTCTCTCTGCATGATAAGACACATTTCAGGACTGCAGTCTTCTGCTTTCAGAGATTTTCAAGGTTTCAATTTACCATTCATTTAATCACATACTTGAGTTTAAATAAAACACTATATAGAACATTTACCCTAACCTCACCTAAAGCTACAAAATACTACTGAGTAGATCTTTCCATACAAGTGTGAACAACACATGTAGTATTCTGTATAGTATTTGGTCCTTGACCCCCAAAGAGCCCTTAGGACGTGAAGGTTAAAAACATTCTTAAAAACTTGTATACTCACAGCATCCAATCTTTTGATTTTGCCAATACAGACGAGACACACATTGGCTGCAGACCGGCAAGCATCCACCAAACACTGGGTAGTCCTATCTAAGTCATTGGCATAGTCATCTGAAAACCACACAAGGAAACTGGTAAGTGACAGTAGTAAAGAAACAGTTGAGTTGATTTTACAGATGAGACCTCACTTATCTTAAAAAAAAATAAAAGAGGTTAGACTGAGTTTTGCAATGTCACATTTTCAGTGACATTCGATCAGGTTGTGATATTATTACTTTTAGCTCACTAAATTGAGTCTCAATATGAGGTAACAATTAACCCTTACCCTACTAGACCCTCCAACGCATGCCAATATGTGCCTCAAGAAAATCTCCTATGTTTTTTGCATGGCCCTCCAATATCTGCCATGTCATTTCAAGGGTAACTGGACAGGCACTCCAATACATGCCACAGAGAACAATGAGAGTCCTCTGATAACAATCAAGTGCCCCCAGCTGGTCAGTATCAGGCACCCTCCAGGGCCTCCAACTCCTGCCAATTGGAGCCTTCACTGCTACATCAAAGTATCCTCCAATAAACTGCAGCTGGAGGGCATTGGCATAACCAACTGACATGCAGTAAACTACCCTCAGAGAGTAAGGGTTAAGACATAGTGATCTCAACATCATGAAAATTTGGTCTACATTTGAGGTATGTTGCCATGAAACATGTAAAATTCCACAAATCGAGATTTCAATGGGATTTTACTATTGACCTTTTTGTCCTGTATACATCTTGAAGGTACTCTGTAATATTTCACTATCCTCCATGTCATCTTCAGAGGATGAGTCCTCAGCATCTCCTTGTACATGTTTCTGCACTGACTGATGAATCTGCGCTGATGCTTGAAGGAAGCGCTCTTCAGCTGTGGATTGATGTTGATCAGCTAAAGAATGCAAAAATGAAATCCAAATTTGATGTGACACTGAAAAAGTGTTTTAAGAACAGCCAGCCGGTCTTTATCAACCTTTTAAAAGCAGCCATGTGATGCGCTGTCGACCAATAGAAATGGGTAAATTATGAATGAATATTTAATTACATTTTACTCATGAAGTGTTTTTTTTTTCCTTGGCCACCTTTTTGGGTGAAAACCCTAAGTGATGGGTTTGGCACTGTTGACACTGTTAATTACCATTTTGTAGCCATACTGTACATATACCTACATGTACATACTGTACAACATGCATATCTTGTGCGTTTGATTATCAAAATCATGAAGATCAATGATATTGCAGAGATCAGATGCGAAGCTATCCTTCCAAGTTCACATAAATTTCCCTTTGATCAGTATATGCACGATTTCAAGTATGCCAATTACCTTGCAAGTTATGCAATGCTTTCTCCTCTCTTTGTTCATTCCCAGCTCGAGATGTTTCTCCCCACTTTTTCTTGCTACTTCCTTGCATCCACTGGTTTACTTGGGCATCACTTGATGAATGTTGTTTTTGCAAACCCCTTGGTTGGCCTCGGCCCCGCCCCTTACCTCTCCCTCTGGAGGCGTAAGACGGGCCTTGTTGATTGGACATTGTTGGCTTACTCACTCATTCACCAATGAGTCATTATCTAAATTCTGTAAAAAAAAAGTCAAAGATGTATGACCCATGAATTCAGGGAAAAAAAACTGGTCAGGAGTCATTTAACTTTAAGACAAACTGTCTCCAATGTCCAATGGGAAGAATTGCGTACTGGGCCACCACTTACCTGCCACCAAACACATCAATTTTCACCTCACCTTGTGATTTCACCCATGGAGGTAGAATAGGAGTTAGCACGAAAATCCCCCTGGTTTTAATCCCAATTATGATTCCGGGCCAATGTGGTGAGCTATGGGATATCACGCAGCGCCTTGGCATTTTAAAGACCGCTGTTAATCAATCCCCTTGAACGCTATGTCTAGTGCCGACCGCTCAGATCCGTTCAATCTAAAGAAGCCTGACTGGAGTACATACTTCCTACCATCCAACAATCAAACATATACTTCGAACATGCGCAGTACGTTTTGAGCGTATGCACGCTAGCATCGGGGTCTTGTTTTTCAGATGAGCAACGAAAATCTTTGTCATGTCGTCTTTTAGACGATGAAAATTGGCCAATAATTTGTTTGGCAAGTAATATTTTCATATTTCGGATTAATGTGAAATTTCGTGAATTACCTGGTGAAATGTAAGACAGTTTTGGCAGCTTCCTGCCATGCCCTGTGAATAAAAATAACAGCAAATGTTTCGGAAAGGTAGCACTATCAAATGATGTAAGAATCGTAACTTAGCGATGCTTAGCACTTTAAACAAAAAAAAATTTTTTGCGATGTCGAAAAACGAAACTTATGCCAGTCCTCCGTCATGTCCGTAAGCCGCATGCAATGCGCATGCGTTTTTTGCTTTGCGGTTTTTGTTGGAAGGCTGACATGGCTGAGCATGGAATGTGTTTAGGCCTACTTTGTTTGCGATGGTTATCTGATCGATGGCTACTCCTAGAACTGAGACTACGTGGAGCTGTTGCAACGAAAGTTGTAATCCACCGAAACTTGGTGATGACGTACGCTCGCAAGATTCGTTATCGTATCTCGAGATTCGGCGCACACACGGTTGCAATATGGCGCACGCGGGTGTAATCCTTTCACATCGTTGGTGGCGCTGGTCAGCGCGTGAATAATGGGGAGAAAATCGTAAACGGCCGAGAAAAATAACTTTGCGGGCGCCCACAATGCCCTAGGGGCTCGCCTAGCGCGCGCTTTGGCCAGCGGCCTACTTTTTTATTTGAAGATATAGCCCCTTGCCACAAACTAATGTACAGCGAAGAGAACGCATGACCATTGCAGCACTGTACGTCCTGCTGAAAAGTTCTGGGTCAAGTCTGGGTGAGTTTTGAGTTGTTTGTTGTTTGTTTTCAGTGTTTTTTGTATTCTATTTTTTTTTGTTAGGAATTGTTAGGCCTATATGCCGCATACACCGTCAGGTGTCTTTAGGAGTTTCTGCTTTCATTTACATGTAGAACTACGAACGACTTTTGGTATTTTACAAGGGTTGAACTAATGTCTAACTGACAGTTTGGTTGATAGGCCCCCTTTTTCTGTATCTTGCAATTTCTATTAAAGAAACACAGGAACAGCCGCGGTTTAAAAAAAAATATCTCACCAACCCTCCCAAAAGAGTGATTATGATGGCCTTGTTTAAAGACTGCAGTTGTTGTGATCATTAAGCAAATTCCTTCGCAAACATGCTTTCTCATTTTGCGATTTAATATTGTGATTGCATGGTTGTTTTTTTTTTATTCTTTTTTAATTCAGAATAGGCCTAGGCCTATGCATGGCGTCGTAACACCGAATCTCAAGATCCGATACCGAAACTTGGAATTCCAAGTTTCGGTGCTCGGATTTCGAAATCCGGCGGATAACAAGATTCGGTGCAACAGAGCCTCATAGTTCTAGGAGTAATCGATGGCGGCGTGAGACATGGCCCGTTTGATCTGTGCTTGTGCTAGCCCTTCTTTTCCTACCTCCACAGCTCCATCATCCATGTTTCACCCATTGATCTCCATTACTAGTGGTTTCACCCGTTACCGCACCCAACATGCCAAAGTAGATGAATAGACCAGCAGGTGACCAGGAAGCTCCGGCAACCGCAATGCGATTTTGGGGGGGGGGATTTGTTTTCGTAGGCCACCTAACGAAAACAAAGGCAAGTTTGCCGAAACAGCCAATAAATTGCTTTCACTTACAAAACATGCCGTCTGCTGGACTGCTACGGACACAATTTCGTCAGATTCTCAGCCCATTTTACGAAAAATAAATCGGGGACGTCTGGAAATTGTTTAGACTGTTTCCCGGCGCCGGCGCTACTATACCTAGGCCCCTAGTCCAAAGAATAATAGGGTCAGGGAACCAGACTAAAAAATGTTGATATCAGATAATCAAACAACAGGTGGCGCTCTTTACAATTAATGGTGTCAAGTCCTACCTACCTCGTTTTCATGGTGTCAAGCAGTACGCTTTCACAAGATACAAAACAGAGATAAGAAATATACACATCAATAAAAACAAAAAAAGACAATACAAAGATTACAGAAAAAGAGGGAAAAAAATAAGTAAACTGAAACACTTTCTTGCTATCACCTCAATGTTTAGCATGTATCAACATGGTTGCAAACTGATTTAGCAAGAAAGTGTTTAGAATTGTGTTTCCTCGCTAAACATGATTTTTGTAGGCCAGGCAATTATGCACACAGAGGCTAAAGTATTTGTCTACCTTCAAGTTTGTCCCGATGCCTTTGTTTCTTTTTTGCTGTCCCAAAAAGGTAACGATTTTTTTTTTTACTTTAAAGAGAATCAAAAGTGGTGACCACTATTTGTGCGCTTAACACACTATGTTTTGGTTATATTATTTGTACTGTTTGACTATTTCTCTTGATATTCAACAGATTTGTTTAATATATTACGACCACTCGATATTATAACGATCAGTTTCAATTCAATGCAACAGGTTTTTCTTGAGTTATCGTCCGAAAAAGGTCCGGTGTTTTTTACTTTAACGCAGATTGCACTTTTCGCACTTAGCAAACTACATTGTTTTTGGTGGTTATTTTTTTTTATTTTGACGATTTCTCTCGAGTTAAAAACGGTGTGTTACATGACCAATCAATAGACGAAATTTAAATTCAATACAACAGGTCCTTTTTGAGTTATGGTCCACACGAAGAGTGTGTTGTTTTTGTTCCACTGAAGGTTAGTTTTGTGTTGACAAAAATTATGACGCCATCTTTTAGTTGGCTTCAATTCGGCTTGTATATTCTCGTATTGAAAAAGGAGTTCTAGCGCCCCAGTACTAGGTACATGTATAATGAAATATAAAACATGAATTCCCTTCCCATTTTTTTTTATATGAGTGATGAGAACCTGCAAAATTAATTTTAACTAGCCTAATCAAAGTATTGATAAGATATTGGCCCGTTTTCCTACATGCGTCCCTCCTGCCCACATTCACCTTGTCATGTTTTTTTTTTCTCAATTTATAATTTAAAATTATATCAGAGTGTAGGCTTAGCATAGTAGAGCTGGATCAGTATCGTTTCGGTTTGCGGTAACGCCATGTGGTACCAAATATGACACTGTGCCATAATACATCGGCTATTTCATAAGCAAAAATATGGCTTTCACTAGTACCATGTTGCGGCACTCATGGCTCACAGCCAACTGATCCGGCACTCATGATCGAGGGCGTCCCACTCCAACACAATGCAAAACAGACAACCAATCAGAATCTATCAACACAAGCACTCCTCGTCAACTCTCCCCAGTCTCCTGACGATGACTAGAGCAGGCTAGTCGAAACGTTGAGACCGAAGACAAGTTTAATCAGGACTGTTCGTATCAGAACTAAAACTACTTAGCGAAAGTTGTTAATAATTAAGCAGGACAAGTTCTTATCAGAACTAAATATCTACGTCCTGCCAGTAGTTTTTACCACATGGTGTTACCGCAAACCGAAACGATACTAAAATTATATCATTTAGAATCCTACCCTCTCCCTATAAGTGTTTACATGTACACAATTAGTATGTTTGTAGTTTGTACTGATATAACCATGGTATGACATGTATGAGGAATTTCATGTGACAAGACATCGAAGGGGCTATCCAACCTTTCAATTTATTAGAGATCCCACAAGTAAAGACGTCATGAGCTTCAGTACCCACCACATTCCCTCAACCTGGCTGGTTGAGGGCATGGGGGAATCTGCAACCCTGTGCTCTATTTACGCTCTTTTGAAAATTTGGATGACCCCTCTTATCTGGGATTACTGTGCCTTGTTTCTAACCAATTGAGAGCACTGTTGTTTTAAAATTTACAGCAACAGACAGTTTTTAGAAGTTAATTTAAGTACTGAATTTGAAATTTATGGTAGCATATTATCTTTAATTTTATTTTAATCTGAAATCTTATAACAAAGTATAATTTTACTTCGTTTGAATACTTTGTACGAACACAAATGTGACAGCGCCCTCAATGAGTCCAGAAAATTGCCTATTGGATAATAAATTATGACCAGAACAGTGCTTATGTGTAATACACATATTACAAAACTAGTATTCTTATTCATGTTTTCAGTAAAAACAAATAACATCAAATGGAATCATTTACTATTCATTAAAAAGTATGAAATGACCCCTATACATGTATTTACAAACTATAAAATTCTCAATAACAAGTTCTGGGACTAACACATTAATGGGCGATTTAAATTTATGGAAGGGGACAGATCCCTACAGAAGAACACAGAATTAGGTCATCTCTGAATTATTTGCATAATGTCATTTTAAAGTGCACTGACGTACAACCATTATTTGAAATATAAGTGAGCTTGCAGGAGGTGCAGGAGAAAATGGATAATGCACTTATTGCTGTTTTACTATCAGCATAATACGGGATCCTTTTATTGGTTGATAATGCATGAACATATTCCATATAAGTCCTCTAGAATCAACAATTGACAGCTGATAGTCGGATCACTCAACTGATGCATTAATTCAAAGTGCAATGTCATACTCGTTGCAAAATGTGGAGGGACACGTGTCGCCCAGTTACTAGTTCATAATGTATTCACATTAGCGAACACTCAGTAAACGCAAATTAATAATTACATGTAGTTGCATTTTGAATTACATTGGAAAATTTTACATGAATGAACTTGAAAAAGCAATTTAACTAATTCCAAAAAAATATTGTTTACCATGTATTTTAAATCTTCAATTCACACAATGTACATGTACAATTCATTTCCATATTTACACTTTCATAAAGAACACTGTTGATGCCCTGTTGTCCTTATGTATGTCAAAAAATACCTCTAATGTAGTTTATCTGTTTATTTTACATAACTTAGCAATAGCAAAGCTGAATCAGTGTACAGTGCTTTCATTGTAACATTACAATCTGGTATTATGTGGCAGTCCAAAACTTCTTGTGTCGTTAACAAATACCACACAAATTCGAGTTTCCATTAACACAACCATATTGCAGTCATAAAAACATATAAAACTTGTGAAGTACAATAGTGCCAGTCTTACTCTTTGTTTTCGACTTTAAATTGAAAACCGAAGACAAAAAACAAATGGCAAATATTCCCAGTGTCTGCATGCCTGAATGTTTCGTACCCTATTGGAGATGCTATTTGAGACATGTCTCTGCAAATCCTGTACACCTCATGTTTTTTAATAAAAATTCCTGCAGGTCTCTGCATCGCTTTGCTAGATACAAACGTTTAACCCAAGTCAGTGAATTGGTGAACATAAAAATTAATGTCAACTTTTTTTTTAAGTGTACAAGTTAAATAAAAATAAAAGCAAAACAGATCACTTTTTAACATAATGATCAATAGGATTTCATTAAACGTATTTATTTATTTGGAGAAACGCAGGTTTAAATGTCCACATTGGTTTAAATGGACTAATTTTGTGTTCAATAAAGTTGGTTCATACCAAGTCATATGACGTGAAGTTGTGTTGTTATTTTGTGTAGTAAAATATAAGTGTAAGTGCATTATTTTATCACAGCGATTTCAGAATATACCTGCTACTTGTCAAAAAGAAAAAAAAATTGTAAGATTCATCAACCTTGTACCTTAAAACCAAAACCTTGTCTTTTCTTAGCTTTTATTTGTAAATTATTACTTACAAATGTGCATTAATTAATTGGGATCATGGGAACATAGGTATTATTTCTACAAGGTGATCTCTTATGTATACATGTTTTGTTCTGGCGTAGAATTTTTTTTTCAATTTTCAACATCCATTTCTATTTTGCCGGATCAATGTTTAATTAGAGGAGGCAGAAACAATAATTCAGAATTTTTATAGGGAAGTAGACTTTCTAATAAATCCATGATTCATAAAAATATACAATGGATAAAAACAGTTCTTACTAAACCTCTTTTTTTTCTGTGAACATAAAACTATCAGGATAGACCTCCATACACGTACGTGTCCAATGAACTTTGACATGTACAATGTACTTCAAAAGAACCATGTCACATAGAAACTATACATATACACATATTTACATACTGAAGCAAATAATCAGTTTAACCATATGAACCATACTTAACTTAAAAATTGTACAAGTATAGTTACATAACATAAAAATAAATTTTTTATCATGTTTTCAACTCGCCTCACATACACAACACCTTTCTCAATGTAATTTTACTATTTTTTTCACAAAATGGAATTATTTTGGCAGCAAAGGTTAAATCTTTTCAGGCAAGTAGTTCTTATTTCCAAGAGTCAAAAAAAATTCGCATTTCTGCAGTTATACCAGAAGTTTCAAATTGTTTGTGCAAACTGTAAAGACCTAACTGTGCAAGTCAAGAACATTTCTGGGGGAGAAATCTGTGCTATATATTCATAGAAATCCAGATGCAAAAAAGAAAAGTGGTAGCAAAGCCAGTTGTGACACTTGTTTTCTTATTGTGAATTTCCACAAGGGACAATAACATGTCGGAAAAGAGACAATATTTACAGATCTTTACTGGAGATCAAACTATATTTCCTTATTATAAACCATTATAAACCACACATCGTACCAAATAAACACCATAATTGCATAGGTCTCATATAGGAATCATTACATTCATGGAATATTGGTAGTGTATAACTGACACTGTCTGCAGCATGGACCTGGAACCCCTGTAATTGGCAGGCATCTATGCAAGGAACCACACTCATTGAATCACACCAAAGAGTCGCATCCAATGACCACACCCAATCAATTATGCTAATTATGGGTGTCAATCTATATTTACAATCTTCTATCTACACGTCACAATTTGGCACCTGTCTGGAGTGATTTACTTGCAATACTGAGATTGTCATTTCTCTACAAGCCTAACCTGAACTCAGCTACATTCTACCTCGATAATGTTCTTGGGAATTTCACAGAATTTGTAGACAAGCCTCTGACCATCCACCTTAGCTAAGATACCTCGTTGGTAGTAATATCTGTAGATGCAACAAAGAAAAAGAACATTTTCTATGTCAAGTGCACGAGATTGTCAGGTGATTACGATTGGTCTAACCAAACCTGTTTGAAATCCGGAGTGGTACATCAAGTGAAACAACGTAAGCAGTCTATGGGCTCCGTGCACAAGTACCCCATCAACAGCCAGAAAAGGAGAGTTGGGGGTGACCTAGACTGGTTCCCAGTCCATCCACTGTGTATTTCGAATGTATTCAAAGTTATTGGAGGCGGGAATTAGTCTCGGCTAATAGCTTTTGCACATCAGAAAGTCGTGCGTACTTCACGCGCGAACCAGTACAGTACAGTACGCGCACACTGTGTGTCCCATCCACGGAGCTCTCAAAAGAGGTTAAAACACGCCCTCTTTTGTTGGCGCACGGAGCCCCTAATTGATCCTTGCGTTTCCTCTGAATTAAGGATCCATCTAAAATACTTGGCTATGAAATGTAATGGGCTCCTTGCACCAACAAGAGAGGGTGCTTTTTTTTACCACTTTTGAGATCCCTGTGGACGGGACACACCACATGTGGGTACTGGTCCACACGAAGTACGCACAACTAATTGGATTTTGAATGTGCACAAAGCCATAGAGTCTTCAAGTGAGCGTCAGGCGTCGTCGGCAATGCGTTCAAATGTCTCTCCAAGTGGTCTCTCCTAACTCTCCCTTCCTTACCGTTGAGGGGGCACTTGTGCACGGCGCCCATAACAATGCCTTTATAGAACCAGCTTAAACCACCTGCCACTGCTGCCACGCCATAGTTAATTTTGAGGTGGTCTAAGTCTCTCTTATATCCCTCTCAAACCTTATGAGTCACATATTTTTTTCCGATACAAATCTTGTCTATATTTCAGTCTATTGATAAAATAGGATGAAGTTACTTTCTTCATATTTAACAATCTTTTTCCAAAATGAGTGTCCCCGAGTACAATACCCAAGTGTCAGCGATTATATACATGTATGCTGCATCCAAATTTCTTGGCTTGGCCAGCAAACACCTGTCTATTGAAAGTGATTGAGTGGTGAATTGCCAGTCATAGCTAAGTGCTTCAGACACAGCCATATTGTGCAGTGAACTACTTACCTTAACGCCCTGCCCATTGTTTCATAGTTCATATCTGGCTTGTTCTTGTGCTGACCCCATAACTTAGATACGGCCTTGGAGTCTACTAACTTGAAGATGCCTTCTTCTCTGTTGGTCCATTTGATGAAACGTGGACAAGTTTCCACATTTTGAAGAAGTTCAAGAAGGAACTCCCAGAGGTAGGTAGTATGGCCTGCAGAATGGAAATCAAACATTAACAAATGATTTATTACTGAATACATGTATCAACAAAATATGGTTTGCAGCTGAGACAACGCTGATTTCTTTCATATTCTCAATTCCATTTTAGCTGAGGGGTTGTCCCATCATATTTAACAGGTTATACCGAAGTAAACCTTCCTCAACCCTAACCTTCTTCAATCCTTCAAGTCCTTTGGGCGGTTTTGGAGGATTAAGGATGAATGCAACATATAATTTTGGAGGATTGTGCAGGATTGAGGGCATATGGACATTCAGTATTGGTTGATTTTGGAGGATTGAGGATGAATGGTGTTTGAAGAAGAGGATTTGGGAGGATTGCGGCTGAATGCATTTTGAGAGGCAGGGCTGCTGGGGGATTTTGAGGGATTGAAGCAGTGGGTATCCTTAATTTGAACATATGTGCAAGTGCAAAATGTTGAGGATTTTGGAGGATAAAGGATGGTTCATAGCAAAAAGGGCCTGGGGGGTGGTAGTGTCAATATGTGAAAGATACTGTCAGATTTGTACAATATATAAGAAGTTGGGTTTCTCAATTTATCAAATAATTAACATTTGATGGGTACTGATTTCCCTAAATGCACAAGGCAAGAGCAGAATGTAGTGGCGCAACAACCCTTACTTTCTCTGCTTTTTCTTTTGCTGCAGGTCTGCAGATCATCAGGCGACCTGGGCTTGGATTTCCGACCTAGTAACAAGACACAAATGAAAGTGAAGATATTAACAATGTTCAGCCTATTGATTTGAATCTTTTGCCAAGTAAGGTTCTGAATCTGTTAATATTCGACACTGCCCTGTATGAACATGAGGTCAAAGTTTTCTTCTTGACATAAAATGTAAAATCAAGTACTTACACTTTTTACTTGGCTTTTTGCTGTAACTGTGCGCTATCTCTGGAGAATATGGCACCTGGACTTCATTCATGGAATCGCTTTCTAGCTCTACCTCATTGTCAGGCGCCACACTGATTATCACAGAAGGGTCTTGGTGATCAACTAAAATATATACAACATTGGCTTTTGCTTTAATTTTCACATATGGATGGATTTGGGGGTTAGTGTTTTATAGGAAATACAGTTACACCGACATGTTTAAATGTTGTGTTCAAACTTCATAGATGCTGGAAAATCCAAGAAAAAATGCTGTTCTTGAAGTCTGGTTCCCTGACCTACTTCAGACGAAACAGTGCAATTTATAGACGTCAAGGAAACAGACTAGCTGGCTTGCACTCATTCACGGATGTGTAAATGATTGCAAACAAAATGTGGACTACGTAATTTTAGTAAATTTGAAGCAGTATTTGAAAAAAGTCGGGGTTTTTCCCCCAACGATAGTCAGCCGACCATTGATACAAATTTCCACTTTTCTTGAACAGACTACGACAGTATACCAGGTGCCATGATTACACAGGATGCTTTCAAGAGACTGTTATTCACTTGCAGTCAAGTAAGGTATTTCATAATAATTTGGTAGTTTTGTTTTTGCAGATGTTGTATAGGCCCCATCACCTGTCACCCCATCACCCGCCACAAGCTCTATACATAGTTCTCGATTTATAAACATGTAAATGTACAAAAGTCTTTTGAGATTTGACATGGCATTTTCACTATGCAGAAGAGGTGTTACGAGAAACAATTTCAATTCTTAAATGCATGTTAAACAATTCTATTTCCAATATCAATTACAAACTTGCATGTCAGTAATCGATATTTCTACATTTTGTTTCTTACTTACCTGATCGATGGTAGGAATTGGCAAGATTGGAATTATTTTCTTGAGCATCTGAAATAACAAAGGTTTGAACAAAAACATTAAAATTTGCTCCATGGAAACTGAGAATGTGTTGACTTCTCCAGACAGTAGCCGCAAAACACTGATGATTTCAAACTGAACAGTTCTCCGTACATTGATAAAACCTACACATAACTTATCAACTTTAGATATCACATTTCAGCAGTGTTAACCACTGTGTTAACATGCTTTGCCAAAAAGGTCCATGAACGGTATTACTGAATTCCCCAATCCACACCAAATCTACATCCTACATATGTCAATAAAGCTGTAACTTGCAAACTGATATACCTGGCAGCAAAATATGCCTGGTCATATTCTCTACTGTTATGTTGATGCATGTATAATGGTCCTTCATCATTGCAAACAAATTCCCGAGTCATTGTATAAGGCAGCAAAAAAGACTGCTGATGTTGTTGTCTTAGTAATGTGATGTTATTCTGTACCTGTTTGAGAAGGATCAGCTTCTTTATCTGATGCCACTCCACTGTCTGCTGGACTTGGTGGAAGAGAAGCTACATGAAATCAAAAACTCACCTTTATTACTCATGAACAATTATTTCTCATGGCCACTACTCAATACTGAGGAGATATGAAGTTCAACATGGATAACAGTACAGACATATCAGGCTTTTTTAACAGATAATGCTTTCAGATTATTAGTTGATTTTTCACACAAGTTAAATTACCCATGCAAAAAAACCCACATTATAATAACAACTTAATCCTTACCCCACTGAATTCAACAGAAAGCAACAAAGGTAAAAAAGTGGTCACATACTGTTGCATTTAGCAGGCAACTCAATATACCCTGTGCTTTGTTGCATCTTGTTGCATTTAACAGGGTAACTCTTCATAGTCCCAACGCAAAACAACATAATCCAGTCTGTTGCATCTGGTTGCATTTAGCAGGGTAACTGCTTGGTGCAAAGGATGGTATGCACTGAGTTCACTGCACAATTCAACAGAATGTTGCAATTTGTTGCATTTAGCAGGATGTCTAGAGAAAACCTGTTGGGGTGTAGACTAAAGCCTAAAGTCTTGAAAACAGCAGTTTGAATACAATTTTGATGGTAAAAAGCAAATGTCAAGTTTTCTAGTTCAAAAGGCTTGAAGTATTAAAGATCAACCAAGTAAGTACTATCAAACTTTCTGAAAATTGTTCTAGATTGTACAGTGCATAAAACTTTCTGCTCTTTGGGTTCCATTAGGCTTCACATTCTTGTGTTGATGGCTTTCAAAAACTTGAAGGGGAAAAGGATGCTTCAACAAAAGTTAGCATTTGACAACGTTGCAGCTTTACTGACCTGTATTAGAACAATTCGGTGATTTACTCTGTGTTAGGAATGATTTCTCTTCGCCGCTCGTTGTTGGTGAGATGTCTAATAGGGCATGTGCTGCCATCATATCACGTCCTGTCTCACCGGACCCTGCCGTATCACAAGCATGAGCTGAGGATGGAACAGACATACAACACTAATTAGTTTTCACATTAAAAACATATCAACATTCACTTCAGGAAGGCAGACACACGTTTACAGACAGGGGTTTTGAATGTAAATTACGTCTAGCCCCTAACAATTTTATTCCCAAGAACTTCTCTCCTTGCATTTTTTTTCAAACTCAGAAACTTGAAAAATTGGTTTTCTTCCTAAATCATTTTAACACCTGTGACTCCCCAAACCATTAACTATAACTAAAATAACAAAACCGGAATATTAACATAATAACTAAAAAGGTAAAGCACAAAGCATAAATTCCCATACATACATTTACAATGCTGATGGGTAGTAATAACAAATCGTGCAGACTTCCTCACGACAAGCCACTCATGGTTATCAAGCAGTACCGCACATGTACCTGAGGCAACCCAAATGGCTGGCTTGCCATTATACATTTGCTTCTCACAGTTGCAAATCATGATTTAAAGGTCAGTACAATCTTATGCAGCACTCATTGATTCTTAGAGAGAGCTAGGAAAGGACGTTCAATTATGTTTGCTAATGGTTTCATGTGTGCAGGAGCAGATTTGTACACAGTGCTGGTTCAACTTCAAGCACAGAGGTCAGATTAAAATAGAAACACTTCATTTCTTCCTTACGTAGGCAGTAGCTGTTTCGAACTTCGAAGTAATCTTCAATCAAATTTACAGCATGTTTAAAACAATTGTAAATGTTGAAAAACTTCACACTTTGACTGTTCTATTAAAAAAAATTCCAAGAGGAATATTTACATCTGCTGATGAATTGTTGCATCCAACAATAAATTTGAATTAATATTTCTTTTATCAGTCTGTTAGTCCAAAAGGTTAAAGCGACATTATGGCCTGGAATATGCCCAATTGGGCTACAAAATTTTAAATGAAATTATATGATATGGAAAGAGCACTATAGTAGGCCTATAATATAAACGTCCACACAACCATCCTTTAAAAACTGGGCGTTTTTGTGTTATTCTTGCGAGAACCATGCAAGAACGAATTTCGGGGGTCACAACTTTGTCCTGAAAAATTGGGCTGTTCAGTGCTAGTTGCAATTCCAGCCGTACAGTGTTTGCCTTCTGCGGACGTGTAAGAAACAACATTTGTGTATTGGTGCTGTGCAGGGTTCTAGCCAGGGTGAAATTATAGCGTAGGGGTAATTTTGGTTCAACGACTAATGCGAGCGCGGAGCGCGAAGCCCTTACGGCGTGGGGTCCGGGGCCCGCTTAAGGGCCCTGGAAAATTTTGGACTCTAGATGCTCTGTGGTGCAATCTGAGGCAATTCCCTGCCACTTTCCCCTGATTTTTTTTTTAGCAGAAGTGTTAAAATTATAAGAAATTTTGTTTTATTTGTTTCAATGATTGATAGTCTTGCTCCTGTAAAGTTTCTTCTGTTTTCAAATTTTAGATTATGTTATCTTGTATAAATTGTTCCAAGATCGATGCTTTCTGATGTTTAACCATTTTTAGTAGTTCCTCAATGTTTTATAAAAAATTGGGATTTACTTTGTCAATATTAAGTGCGAGAACAAATCGCATGAACATTTCATATTTTGCGTTCATATTTCAAGAAGCCTTGTGTTGTGTAGCGCTGCCGTAGCAGTAGTTCCGATTTTAAATTTGTAAATAAAACCATCCGATCGGCAGGGAGAGAAATTGTAAAACCATGGAGGTCCCAGACAGAAAAAGTTGTCGGCGATTGCAATTTCAATATGCTACAACACAATGTGAAGGAGAAATCTCATTTTTGTTATGTTAAAAAATATAATTGTAGATAATGACGATGAGAAATAATCACCGGGAATTGCTTCCTATCCCGGCCGCGGCCGGCCCCGGCGTGCGGGCGCGGCGCGGGCCAGCTCACACCGGCTACGCCGGCGAACTACGCGACCAAATTTTCCCTCAGCATTTGAGAAAGCAACGCATTCGTGGAGCGCTAAAAACTTGCTTTGTTGCAATACTTGCTGATTGGTTTTGTCCTAAGAACAAACAGATCCGTTTTTACTACCAAACTTATCGAACTGTTATTATCAGCAACGAGTAGTGTGGTCAAAAATTGAAATTTTCGACAGCGACATTCTTCGAGAAGAATTCTTCACGTGCGGCCATCTTGTGGACGGATCCATTGATATCGTAGGGGTGCTTAACCTTTCTTTGGACATCGTTTCTCGAATAAATCCTTTACGAAAATTATGTTCCGACGTGAAGAACCTATTTTCAAACAGTAACATGTTTCGGACTTGATAAAAAGTATTATTTTTTATTTTAAAACAGTTGAAATGCTTGTAAATATTGACCTTTATAGGAAAGCACACCCGATACCGCAAAATGGTGTGGTCCACAGAGCGCTCTGTACGTGACATGGTGACACGTACGTCGTACGGAGCGCTGTATCTACGCAGCACAAAACAGCACGTGCTTATTGCTACATGTATCATAGCGAATGCGTGTGGCGCAGCATCACGGTAGGGGTATCGTACGGGTTACGTGCGGTGGGATCGTTGTTTATTTTTCGCTGTGTCGTACGGCCAGTGCGCAATGCTCAAAGTCGCTGCGCTTGTATACGAACAAACGGCAGATTTTTTTTTTTCGCAACCAAAATTTATAGCGTAGCGGTTGCGTAGCGGCGCGATTTAAGCGTAGCGCTTATTTCCGAAAGCGTAGCGGGTGCTAGCGCTATTTGATGCCTGGCTAGAACACTGGTGCTGTGTGTTATTTATGCGACACACAATATGTATCGTACATGAGAACGACAGAAAAAACGTATGCATACATGTGTATTCAGTCATGTCCAATGTAAACAGCCAGGTTTTTTTCTTTTTTTCAGGAACGGTAAGACATTAGAATGATTTCCTTTCAACTAGACCTTTTTAATAGTATAAGTAAATAATCCCAAACATGACATTTTCGGGGATTTCAGGCTGTAATGCCCCTTAAACACCGACTTTACTTGGGCTCTCCATAAAAGAAGTCAAACATAAACATAAAACAAAAAATGTATACAAAAAAAAAAAACGTCTTGAAGACACAAATATACCACAAAAGAAACAAATACAACAAATAACCTTTATAATTTTGGTGAATTACAGCCAATACGTCCATCAGAGAGAAAAACACATCATCTTCCGTACTACGGAAGAGTAAGGCAGGAAGTTGTACTCTGTGTCAATTCAGATGGTTTAATTGCATCCTGTATAGCTACGGAATAACTGATGCTACTATCACGGTCAAAATGGATAGCATAAAAAACACTAATTTACTGCTCAGGCACCTTTCTGAAATATCTCATCTCAATCTCTCCCTTCATACAAAATGTTAAAACACTAGTCAAAAGATCTCCATGTGAAAGTCAACTGTTACCCTTATCTAATTAATGTGAATGGCAAGGTCAACAAGCAGAACACGCTTATCTTAAATATTAGTGAGTGTGAATTTTATCTTGATAACTTAAAATTGCTCCCTATCATAGGTCTTCTCACCGCATATTAAATTATTTGTAAGTTGTATTAAATACATCCTACAGGACCAAATATTCTGAATAAGCAGAACACAGAACAAGGCACAGTCGTATTGAACCAACACACAAAAGGAGAGCTCTACAATTATCAACAAAGCCTGTTAAGTAGGATTTCCTGTATGGGTGGTGTCGCTTTCTTGTGGTTAAGAAGTGACCCATAAATAGGCCAATTGTTCACAAGGATTCAACTACAACATGACCTCTAAATGACCCAGGATAGGAATGACAAAAGAACACTTTTAAGAATTTAAAGATGTCTTTTAGACTTGAATTAATTTGACATGGTTAAAGCTAATTTAACAATAAATCTATAGATCCTTCTCTGTAAGTGCCATGGCTGTGCCTTGATTAACAATTTATGTACAGATGTAGATAGGTTTTTTTTTTAAATCAATTCAACATGAATTGTTCAATTTGCAGCAATGAAATGTGATAACCCTCAATTTTTGCTTGTGTGAGTTAAATAATAGTGTCTGAACAGCTTGTAGAGGATCCCTACTTAAAGCTATAGTCCATCATTTGCAGCCATCCGACAAGTAACTGGCGTAATTATTGTTGAAAAACAAACTTGGTTGAAAGATAGTAAGGGAACTAAACTCCCTGTGAAATTATTCTTTCTGGGAAGCTGTCATTTTGAAGTAATCAACAAAAGAAGGCATTTCCAACGGTGATTCTTAAGAAGCACCGTAGGAAAATTTAAATTAGTAGTTCGTTTTGTTATTCAGCACAGCGCGCATTGGAACGACGCACACGCGCGCGCGGTTGTTGTAATTCGTCGGATCAGTGCGCGACGTCGCGTAAAGCTGCAATTCAAAACAATTCAAAACATGATTCAGTAACTTTTGATTTGAAATTGAGATCTTAGAATGCTGTTTTTCTCGGAATGTACAGCTGAAGCTTAGCTATCCTTCATTGGATTTTGAACACTTTTGTTGCTTCAAACGAACAAAATGCACGAATTACAAATGATGGACTATAGCTTTAAAGCACAAGTTTTCAGGGAATAAAATAAGTGTGTATTTTACATGTAATGTTAAGCAATTAACACAAAAAGAATGTAATATCCTGACATCATTTAGGGGTTTCATAAAAATTCTGTGGGGAATTTTAAAATCCATAATACATGTCAAACCTGTGAGATTTTACCATTTTGTAAGGCAAGTGCTGCAAGGTACTACATGTAAGAAACGTACATTGCCCCCCCCCCCTACTTGTTTTGATTTTATCTTTTAAATTTTAGTAAGCTACCAGTATCAGTATGAGTATGACCGAGATTTTTTATTTTAATGTTTTTGTTTTTTTAAATATGCCAAACATAAGTTTATACATGAATGTTCAAGTTTCTTTCAATAATGTTAATTTTTGCATTTGAATGATTCAAATAAGAACATGTGACAAAATTTTAAATACATCATTTGTCACATCAGCAAAGCCAAAGTGATATTGCTTTGTTTGCAACTATTTACCATCCAGCATAGGCATGATAGGCTTCCCCATAAATGTCTCTCAAATACTAATTTCCTCTGTATAGTGAGCCACACAATGATGCATGCTATTTCCACAAGTTCCAGAAAAGTTGTGTTCCCTGAATTTGAAAATTATACTGTTTTTGCATATTACATTCGCTATGAAAGCTCCTTACTTAGTTAAAAGCAGGAAAAATCACATTCCGTTTTTAGATGTAATTATCCAGCAATTTTGAGAGGAATATTTGGAGAAAGTTTGTCCGAAATGATTGCAGGACTAGCTTGAGTAACTCTAGTCCCATAAATGTGGCCAATTTACTGGACTACCTCCATAAATAAAGGCTCACACTATTTAAAGCGATAGAAAATTAGTCCACCCCTATTCAGACGTCTATTTTTCGTGTAATTTCGTGTTGGAATTTAGATACGCTAATGTGTGAAAATGAACCTGGAGATTACACAAAATATAGACGTCTGAAAAAGGGGGGGGGACTAATTTTCTATCGCTTCAAAGAGGGTGAGTGTGTTTCTGAAGCATAAATAAACTACAACTTACAAGTACAAACAAAGTCTAAATGTGAAAATAAAAACTTGACAAAGTTCTACATATTCGGGTACATGTTCCAAGTGTGGCCTTTATTGAGGGAGGAAAATTTGCCACACTTATGGGGCTAGAGTAACTTCAGCTCCAATGCTCATCAGGAATTCGACCATTGCATTGGAGCTGGAGTTACTCAACTTTCAAGGATTTGGGACACATTAAAAATAAAATTATGAGGCTTGGCATTTAAAAGGCATGAATGAGTGGAATCGAGAAATACGTGCCATCAATGGCAAATGAAATTTGAACTTATTTCCTATAGACCACTCAGCAAAATCTGTCGATCCAAGCAAATTACTGGATGTAGTGAAGGCGAAAGCAACACACGCGGTTCCCGTTTGTCCGTTCATTGTGTATTGTCGTTGTATTTTATGCCATGGTATTTCTTTGCGTAATTCACTTCCTGGTTTTTCGAGTCCGGAAGAGATTTGCTTCGCGCGTAATTCAACGTGGTAGTTTCTTTGTAGTTCGCAGAAAATGACCCCAAGAATCAGTGTTTCATTTGAAAGTAACTCCTGATTGTAAGAACCAATTTAGTTCAGTATTCTTACCAGCTTGGAGGAGTAAATCCAGACTCTTTCTTGCGTCGGAAGCCATCGTTTTTAACCCCATTCACAAATACATTGAGAATCGAATACACGTACGACGGCAATGCTGCGCGGTATGCATTGTACACAACACAAACACGCGGCCCGTACACGTACCGTATACCTAACGACAACAGGATATCACTCCGCGCGGTAATTTGCCCGGAAGCTGCGACTGACGCATTACGCACAATAGTTTGTCCGTTGCGGCTGCATAGCACTATTCTGCATCGTAAATGATTATGTCGTCCGTCAAATAGATCATTATGCGCAGAATATAGAAACTAATCAATTATATTCCGTCTTCGACATTAACGTCCTTTTAAAGAATCGTATCTATCAAAAGAACAACGCTACACTTATCATTCTCCTCAAAATATAGTCCGACAAACTCCGAGGACTCGGTGGGGGGGGGGGGGGGGGGGGAATCTGTGCACGGAACTGAAAACCTTTTCTTTTTTACTGCTATTTTTTTCTCTGAATACCAATTTAATATTACAAATTGACTCTGCTGGCGTCTGCTTTGTGGTCGACGAATACAAACGGCAACAGCTAGTAAAAGGGCGCAATAGGTGAATTTTAATGCGTGCGGGTCCGATTCCAAGGAACCGGACCGGCGCGACAGGCTTACTGATCACTGTTAATAGTTGAGGTCATCCCGCCCCCCCCCCCTCCCCCGCAAGACCTACGGGAGGGTCGTACAGATTGTATATTGGTCCATATATTTAGATGTCCATTTATCTTTTAAGATGATATGTGTCTTAAAAAATGATTTAATGTACTGCTGATCATCTGATGAGATATCAGTGATAATCCACGTGATCCCCATCCCATGGTTAATTTTGACCAATCACAGCTGCGTCCGACATATATATGGCTGTGCCACGTGCGCAGTGCAGATCGATCGATCCGCCCACTAGTGGGCGGGTATTAATGAATCGTTCCGTTGTATGCGGCATGTAATCACACTTTTAGTAAAAAGTTGCACTTCTACTCAAACGGTTAGGTTATTTTGGTAAAAATATAAATCCAGCCCTCATATCGAGCTGGCTACGGGCCTACCAAAAACAGCCAGCCTGCCTGCGAGGCTGATCAATTAGGGAAGATGGAAATTGCGCTTTTTAAAAATTACGCCTCCTAATAAAAGGAAATTTTTACCGAAAGCGGTGGAAGAATGAAGTTATTATGCCTATACCCTGCAAAACACAATGTTCATCAGAACTGGCAAACTGTCAACTTTGATTTGCGGAAAATGAAACTTATTTGTGGACTTGCTTAGTTGAAAATTATATCTTTGATAAATCTACACTTTGCCAAAGATATTGCCCAGCAGGTTATTATGTGATTTGACTGAACTGCTTTTCCAGATGGGGCACTTTTGACCAATTCAGGGGACACAGTAGTTTTGTTTCCAAATTATTCATGTAAATACTTTTAAAGTTAGTAGAAAATAATGTTGTGTTCTGGTATGTTTTTATTTCTTGTCATATGGTTATCATCAGTTCCCCCCCCCCCCACCTCCAAAAAGGACTGTTTTTTATCAAACAATTGTTTTCATAAAAAAAATAAGTTGATAGACGAAAATGCACTTAATCAGCAAAAACATTCGAGATCTTTGGCCATTTTTAAAAAAAAGTTTTCTGTTCTTTACTCTGTTCTATTATAATAATGTGCATGTACATGCAGTTCTTCCAAAAAAAACAGTATGCAGCCTACGTGTATTTTATTCTTCGTTAACTTCAGGCCTTTCAGAGGGTTCCGAAGAAAAGACCTGCTTAAAGGGGCCACTTTCTATAGTTGACTGGTTTCCAAACCATGCAAATACGCACCAGCAGTCACTATTGTCCACAGTTCATAGTCGATGACTCAACAAGTATTGTATGCAGACCAGCCAGGGTACTGTTCAAGTTCACTTGTGTTACCATAACCACAGGCACTCCATGTCGGTGATACAATATATTCTTTCTGGGACTGTGCTCATAATAAAAACTTTTGTAAATATGCAAAAATTGCAGACAATTTTTTGACCTCTTGTGGAATTTTCATGGCGACTTTGATAAAGTAAACACAGGGCATAAACCATCCATCACACGTATTGGTTTCAAAGAAAAGACATTCACACCGTCCCTCTGCACCAATTTATAAATTACAATTAATCAATCGTCGTCGCCATCTTTCTTCAATTTTGTATCTCTCAAGAAATCCTAAACCAGTTCACTGATCGGTGGAAATCACTTTTAAAACGTTCAAATGACTTATTCTACTGCGACAGGATTTCAGAACTTCATCCTGGGGAACATTCATTCAGATTACTGCAATAAATACATAGATGTAACTTTTGACATGATCCCTAAGGCCCTGGGAAATTTACTCAACATAAAAGATCTCATGGTTCCTGGCAACAAGTGAATTCTAAAGAGGAGTTATTTTGCACTTCAGAAAAGTTCATGTAGGTTGAATTCCATTGTTGTTGTTCACTGTCGTCAGGATTCAGTTGGCTATGCATAAGGCAGACCGTAAACAGACGTGCATTCACCATTCAAATTTCATTTCAATATAAAATGCATGTACAATGTACTCGTATTGTATTACAATCAGTTTTCCAATTTTCAACGCCCTGTTTTGGGCAGCGCCGCAACGAGGTTGGTGAAATGGGTTTTTTTTCCTGATTCTGTCCCTTTTGACAACCCCAGTTCCAATCTTCTCCTCTCATTACTCTTCATGGGACACCGAACAGAATCATTTCAGTTGATACACAGAAATGTACCGAATTTTTCTTAACCATGATTCCTTGTCCATACTCTTCCTTGCTTCTTGCCAACAGCATTACAGCAATTTACATTAATTGAAGAACGAACAAATCAAGTAAAATGATGTCTCAACTGCACTTTCAATCCGTGTTATTAATTGAAGAATGGTGAGGTGAAGTAGTGCACCCAATGACCATATCCAGCAGGAATTTATTTTGAAAGGAGTACTGTATTTTGGCCAGGGAACCATTACTGCTGTGTCAGAACACGTAGTATGGTTCTGTTCTGTTTATTCTATCTGAACTTTGCAAGAGTATTTAGCCAATGGGGAAAAATTGACAATTAATTCTGGTCACAAGTCTTATAGTTTCAGCAGACAAAAACCTGTAGTGTTTACTTCAACAACACAAAATCAACCAAATGGACACTTACACAATTTAGATGTAAGTTTATTGACTTCAGTGTCACATAAACCTTCATCGTCACAGGAAACCTCAATCTCTTCTGCTAAGTATTCTAATGCTGTTGGAGTTCCAAATGCTCCAGGTGTGAGAGGCATATTGTACAGTGATTGTACAATAACTGATGGCCCATCTTGGATAATATTGGGCTTTCTCTGGAATCAAATGAAAAACAAAACGATAAAAGGTGGGGTATAATTTTATTTTCTTTTTGCAACTTTAGTAACTTTGCCCTCCTAATTGTTGCCAGTTTTTCATTACATTATTTATAATCAATAAGTCAATGTTGTTACTTAAAATAACATACATGTAATTCAAACAAGTTCACATAGAAACCTGAATAAAATCTGATGAGTGTCAATCAGTCAAAAATATTATATTAATGGAATGAAAACTAATTAACCGTGACCACTGATTTTGCACTTTTTATGCTTATAATTATCAGAAAAATACAAAGAGCAAAACAATCTCACTATCATTAATTTCTACATTCTTGAAAAATCAATGTTGTTGCTGACATTTTTCCCATGTCCACTGCGTTAGAATAAACCCCCCACTATCCACAAACTGAAATATTTGCAACTCACCTCAACAAATTTTAATTCAGTAAGCGCTGACAAGTCAAGCCGGGGATATGAAAGCTTTGAAAAGTTGGGCAGAATCTCTGGGCTGTGTGGCTCATCCTTGTTTTCATTTTCTGTGTATACTTTAGGTTCTGGTTGGATTCTAACCGCGTCAGCTGTGATGCATGCCATCGTGTACATCACACATATCACCTGCTGGTCATCTGAAGCACCAAATTATTTGTATGCATAGGAGCTGTGTTCAGACGACACAACCTGCCAAAATAGACAAATAATTAATTTACTTACTTCCCCATAGGTAATTATTAGTGGAAAATTTACTGCTTTATTCCTTTCTTCAGATTTATATTACAAATTACCATTGAATTCCAAAACTGAAACATGAAACTAAATTTTTACAGTGTCATGGCTGATTTAGTAAAAATAACACAGCATTCATGACTAGCAACAAATGGTTTCCTTCCAGTAAGTTTTGAATGAGCTGTGGGGATTTTTTTGTGTGACTTCATGACAATTTTCCTAAATAAGATCCAATACCAATGTTTGAACTCATTTTCACGTATGACCTTGGTTTAAACTTTATTTCGATGTACAAATCCCTCCACATGACATTCATAACTATATCTTCATGAAACAAATGTCTCAAAATGAAGGCAATTATCATCAAAGATCATGTGCGGTGAACTAAAGCACTGGTGAGATTAAGGAATCATGTGTCCTTGGGGTAACAATAAGCATTCCTATCACAATCCACATTACACAACATTCTATTTTAATTACAATTGAAGGGCACTGAATATAATGGGGGTTCTGCAAGGCCTATGGGGATTCTGCATAGACACAGATACAGCAAAATACATTCCTTCATTGATGAACTTGAAGGTTAACTGACTTCACCAATGTAACTTTACAGAATTCTTACAATTTACAAAAATGTAGAAATATCATGTACTGGTTTCTGAATAAACTGTTCAATATTGTGCAATTCATCCAGCAGTGACTGAAATTTTATCAATTCCTTGCTCTATTATACATGTAAGGCCATTTTTCACTTGAGAGAGCCGTTCGGCCCCTGGCACAGCCTCAGCACCCCCCCCCCCCCTCACAAATCCACCCTTGCCATCAATTGACGATAACTCACAGGGCTATATACCAAGTTTAGTTTTTCCACAAGCAGATTAAAGTATCCCAGCATTAAAACATTTACAAAATTACAACGCATTTAGTCAACTGCATAACATGTTATGCCTAAATATGTAAACGACTACACATGCACAATTTCAAATCTACTTTTTTATAGATTGTTTTATTTAAATATTAACCCTGAATTAACAACTTATTAAGCAAAAGCAAAGTCCATGCTTCAGTAACTGAATGCAAGTTAACAGTTACATTGTATACAAGTAATATAATCATGAAGTGTGCGGAGCATATCAGAGGCATATTCCGTGAAATGTCAACAGCTATATATATAGCACAGTTCCTGTGGCACTGTCTGGTGCATGCATAAACATTAACCATTGTTGGGTTTGTACAATAACTTGACCTTTGAACTGTGTTCCTTCCTTAGTAAGTTCCATATTCAACCACAGTATATCCCACGAATGTTTTTGTTGTTAGTTGCAGCAAGGCTACAAAATTGCACAATGTAATTCAAAATCTCTTGCAATCTATTATTACATAACCTTAAGATCAATTACTCAAAGCAAAAGCTCATACAATTGCTTGATCAACGTTATCTTTTTATCTATTGCCAAATAAGTATTATATTTTTCAAAACAATTTCCAACATTCACCTCAGATACAACATTTACATGTGACGTACGTTACACTTACCAGATTCAATATGCGTACAACTTAACAGTCCATGTGGCAACAGATCTATTCAATCCAAGACACATTTGTGTAATACTAGCATCAAGTTCATATCAATGATTTAATCAAAATCCACTGAGAAACTAACTTACTAATCTTTGAAAAACAAGAGTTTACTCATCACTAGATCTGCTGAACTGGTTTTGTGTATAGCATTTTGTGGGAGTTTCCTTTTATAGCTAGCTCAGTAGAATGCATCTCAGTGGAACAGTCCAACTGGCATGACCTCATCTTGAGAAACTACATGACAGTGTCAGTCTATGAGTCATCCTGTATGATGCATGGTGATGATGGCAGCTTGCTTCTACTAAACACATGTGGTACCATACTTAACGTTTATCATGCAAAGCATACAATAGAAAAAACTATGCGCTGACTAATATTAATAAGCGGTGGGATTACAATTGGGATTTTTAAAATGCAGTTTGAATTTCACTATTCGGTTTGAATTTTGGAAACCGGGTATTCAAATCCAGCGTTCAAAAATGTTGCCTCCTGTTTTTTTATGACACAAAGAAAATTACTGAAACTTCCCCTAAATTTGCTCAATGGTCTCTGATTGGAACTGCTTTCAATAACTAGTGGTCTTCTTGGTTCATGAATAACCTGAACATTCAACTGATCGGAGAGTTCCCACCCATTTACAGCTCTGCTGTGTTTTTGGAAAGGCCCCGCAGTGGTCATTGAATCCTGAAAACAATACCCAATCGTCCTGGAGGGCATTGCACTGACTTGGCAATCTCACTTGTCACTTTTGTTGACATGACTGTGAGCTGAATGGGAACTTCCAGTGAAATCAAGTAACTCACTGTAACTGTTATTCGGTTTGAAAAAAACATTAGTAAAATAACCAAATTTTGAAATCTCTGATTTCTCCCAACACTGCTTACAATTTGAATGGCTAAATAATTTTCATTAGCTGAACTCTAGCATGCGAAATGAATTAATCTAAACCATCACAAGCAAACCTAGCCCGACTGCGTCTGGCCATACAGTACTATCGCAAGCTCTGTACTACAGAGCTTGCGATAGTACTGTACGGCCAGACGCAGTCGGGCTAAAGCAAACCGTGTGTAAAACATGTGTATGGTAATTAAAAAACCAACATTCTGTTTATAAAATCAAATTATGTTTTTTTTTTAGAGTGAAGCTGAGGGTTTGCCATGTTTGCTATGTTTAACGTACATGCAAATGTGGGAATTAAACGTATTCAAATTCTGGAAGTGATAAGAAAGTTTTGGTTCTAAACATATTTTAAGGTAAGATTAGAAACATAATTATTTCACTGGAAACATTTGGAAAAACTAAAATTTGGGATGCCATGCAATGATGCAGTTGGGACAATTATTAAACTAACAATATAATTATCAATTAATGAATGCAAAGAAAATATGATGCTTAGGGGAAAAACATCCTTAATTAAGAAACACAATTCAAGAAAAAATGGAAAATGAAAAAAATAGTTTTTAATATGCCAAACTTTCAAATTCACATATGGAAATGACAGTCGCCGTTGCAATAACATTTGCATACAACTTTGCCAGTGAATGACAATATATCTGCAACTGCCCCCAAACTTTATTTTTGTGTCAATCATCATGATCCCGATACGGGACAGAATGGGAAACTGTGCGGAGTATATTCTTCTGATGTTATCAGCTCGACAACAATGAGTGTCATGACACACCCATTCATTGCTAATGTTGTCAGCGTTGCAAACTTTTTTTCCAAACTTAAACTTCCATCATGTCCGTATCCTGTGGAAAGAAAGCCTTGCTAAACGGTGATTCTCTGCTTACCCGATTTGACTAAACTCTCTGCCAGATCACGATTCTAATCCAAGCAAAACAGCACGAAGAATGGGACATTTTATGTCTTCAATTCAGCATTCCACAGCGGGGCATTTTGGTTTCGTTTGCACTAACTAACCACCAAGTCACGGAGTCACAACACCCTAGTACAGATTTGGTATGCCCCAAGTAAAGTACCTCCTATCGAGTACGTCACAATGATACACACTCATGTTATGCATGACATGTCTGGTATACGACGAACAGACGAGTTAAATGCCTCGCCTACCTGTTCAATGTTTATGGTAGGCCATTACATATGCAAATATCCTTTGTCATTGCAAGAACATGATTGGCTCTTTCTTCCACGGGTCGTTTCCATATATGGAAATTCATAGTTTAGACGGTAACCAGAACTCTGGTGAAGGAACTATTTTGTGCTTGAAATCAGTTATTATTATCGAATTATAAAAGAATCTGAAATACCGTTTGCTCTAAAATATCTTATTCTTGTTAAAAAAGTGCATAATTGGGATGGTATTTTGTAATAATGTTTTATATTTGTAAATATTTTCCACATTGTTGTCTCGGCCCCATGGTGTAACGGTTAGCACTCGAGACTCTGAATCTCGCGATCCGAGTTCAAATCTCGGTGGGACCTCATTATTTTTGGTCTCATTTCTATTTTTTTTTTAATCTCATTTATTTTGAAGAGCATTTACTTGAATTCCTTTGAAAATGTGAAACGCTTTGCAAGTCAGTAAGTCTTTTTCTTTTCTTCATATACATTTGAGACAGTTCCTGTCCATAAAGTTTCACACAGTTTTGATTCACAATCAATTTGAATAAACTCAGACGATCACTAAAGTATAAGTTTGTTAAAGTATTCAATTAAAATATAGGTTATCTTTAGTTTATTTGTTTTCTTTATATTCATTTCACCTTTTATTGTATTGATATCAATTAAAATTAAAAACCAGAGCATATTATTTCATCAAAAGAAACGTTCTTTCCGTACACGAGTCATGTAACAGTTTAAGAAAAATCCCAATCGAAACTTAATTTTCTCGGGATTTAATTCCAAAATTAAAGTTCATCAGGATTTGCTTTATTTTTCATTTATCGGTAATTAAAGTACCAGTACCCCCCTCCCCCACAATTTTATCCTTGGGCCCCACCTACCCACCTAGCTTGATCTAGTCGCTTGAGGGCGACATTCAATACAACTTTTTCATTTCACCGGCCGGCCAGCGCCAAAGACACCACGCACCAGCATGACCTTTCATGAGTTTTTACAGGATCATGTTGGATTGTTGGTCTGCAGATTCTAACATAAAATTGTTGGATTACTGTCTGATGAGTTGAAACTGTAAGTCTTTAAATACGTATGTTAAGGGCCAGTGCTTCATGTACTTTTATCTGTTGAACCTAGTAGGCCTATATTAATTGTCATTATGTACAGCCAATTGTCAGTGATTGTAGTCCGAAAAGTTGGGCTATAATTTTGTACGAAGTGGCTATCGTTACGGCAGTCGTTGTTAAGCGCCCTCTACGATACTTTTTTGATACGCACGCAGGTATTTAATTATTTGTTTCCACACGTTTTAGCCAGCAGTGCAACAGCTCAGTCGATAGAGGGTAGGATTTTGCACCGCGAGGTTGTGGGTTCGAATCTCAGTTTTTTACTCGAATTTTTCTCCTTTTCTAACCTGAGGCTTTGGAGGATTTTTTTAAAAAGGGAAACAAAGTCCGAATTTCATAACGTTCAAATTCACTTTTTTCCTTCTAATTTTATATTTTCTTATCATGTTTTTATAAAAGTTGCAGTCTACCGTAACGATAGAAAATAGGAAATGCGTTACGGCTGCAGCCGTAACATTAGCCACTGGGAATTTTGTAAAGTCTAATGCAGTAGCGCCGTCACAACTCCAGTTGTACCACTTATGATAATTAATGTTTTTTCTTTGAATTACTGCAAGACACTTACATGACTTAGGTTCTCGTTCTCTTCTTCCCTTAAATTAAAATTATCTCAACGATAAACTCAGAGAAGAAAATAGTCAATGAAAATGAGCAGCGATGACATGGCTTCGAACCAGGGATCTTTGTATTTTTATAGATATAAATTATAATCTCTGATTGATTTGTAGAGTGCAAGTATCTACACAAATTCCAAAGGGATAAAAATATGGAGACCAGCATGACCAGCGTACAGCGTGAACAAGTGCTACAAGATGACCTGAAGCCAGTGGCCAGCAGTGACCTTCGACCTGTTACCTCTAGTAGTAACCTTGCAGCAAGCTACCAGGCTGCTGCAGATTTTACTGCAGGTGCTTTAGGTAAGATAGTGAAAATGCTATTAAAAAAATAATAAATAACTTCAGTATAATTTTAGGAAACGAAAAACGTCTAATGCTTTTTGTGAATTGTTACACCCCCCTTCATAAATCTAAATTAAGTAAACAATGTTTCTCATTATTTTGTTCACATCAAGACAAGAGGCGAAATGAAAGATTCAGTCTTAGTAAAGGAAGTGTTTTCGCTCAAACACAACTTACACATGTATTAATCAAATTGTATGTAAATAAGTCATTAATTTCCTTTTTGTTTATGGTTTTTCCTGTATGCTTACAGGTGGTGTAGCTTGTGTCTTAGTTGGCCAACCGTTTGATACAGTCAAGGTCAAGCTACAGACATACCCTGATCTGTATCCCAGTGCTCTCAGATGTTGTGGACAGATCTTCAGGAATGAGGGTATACCAGGGTTGTTCCGAGGCACTCTGCCTGCAATGGCTGCCAATGTCGGAGAAACTTCTGTTTTATTCTTATCTTATGGACTTTGTCAGAAGTTTGTATGTCGCGTGTCTGGAACAGACAAGATAGAGAATTTAACAGCCTTTCAGAATGCTTCGTCAGGGTTTGTGGCTGGATTCTTTTCGTCATTAGTTCTTTGCCCAACAGAGCTTGTTAAATGTCGTCTGCAAGCTATGACTGAAGTTATGGCAACTTCCAAGAAACATGCCCAGAGAATGTAAGTCATAATCAACCTTTGATCCACACTTACACTTCGTCGTGTCCGTGCAACAAGGTTGTATCTCCTAAAATGGTGTGTGACGTCATGTACATGAAACGTGAGCTGTCAACGTCAAAAGGTCGTATCTTGCTTAAAATAACCCGAATGTACACACAAGTCAGTGGACGTCGTGATACGCAAGATACGACCTTGTTGCACGGAGCGTATTCACGCGAAATACGACTTTGTTGTAGAATCGATTTACAACCTTGTTGCACTAACACAACGACTTACACTTACAGTTTGATAGGAATTAATTAGGCGCCGGCCTTTAAAAAACCTGTATCTTGCCAATGTCTGTCAATTTTTGTTTTGAAGGAGTTTACAGTCTTTGCTTCTATGGTGTATTGTGGAAGAGCATATTCCAGGTGTTAACTAATCATTGCGTAAAGAAATCTTGTCTGCATCTTAGATATCTGGGCTTGAAGAGCTTCTTACTGTGTCCTCTTGTGTCAGTTGTTGCTAAAGTGAAGAGCCTAGTCTGGTATACCCTTTCAAAACCATTCAGTATTTTGTTTCATTGAGGTCTCCTCGAGTCTTCTCTGTTTAAGGCTGTAAAGCTTCTGGAGTCTATCTTGGTAAGAGGGATGTCAAAGTCCTGGAACTAGTTTGTTTCTTTCTTTGTTGTTTTTCAAGTGTTGTGAATGATATCTTTCTTCATGCAAGGATTCCAAGCTTGGACGGAGAGCCACTTCATAGACCATTATTGTAGCTTATCAATGCCCTTTTAAAGTCTTGATGCATCTTCTGGTTTGTCTGCTGCTGTGATATTTTTTTGTATCATCTGGAAACATCTGGATGTTAAAGTTGACCAGGTCTGGGTCATTTATGTGCAAGATGATGAGCAGAGGCCCTTATACCGATGCCTGGGGACATCACGTCTGCTTGGGACAAATGTGGGATGAAGTTGCATTTCTCACAGTGACTGCTTGTGTTCTCCCCATAAGGAATTCCTGTATCCAGTGAATAACCTTTATTTGCTGTGCATCCATATACTTTCAGCTTGTTTAACAGTCTCCTGTGTGGTACGGAATCAAAGGCTTCTAATCAAAGGCATAATCTACATTTATCCACTCCTTCTCCTTGATCCAGACTCTTTGTGACTTCCTCCAGTGTCTCCAATAAATTAGTTAGGCAGGACTTCTCCTTTGTGAAGCCATGTTGATTGTCAGAAAATGTTCCATGTTCATCAAGGTGTTGTTGCAACCTGTCTTTAATGAGTGTTTCCATTATCTTGCATGATATGCATGTAAGACTCACTGTCTGTAGTTCCGGCTTTTGTTTTGGATCCCTTTTTGAAAATGGATGTCACTTTGGCTGTCACTGCATTCCTTCAAGATCTTTGGGTGGATATCATCTGGGCCTGGACATTTGTCAGGTTTGAGTTTGTCTAATTGTTCCTTGACATCTTCCCGGGTAAACATAACATTGTCAAGCTACTCATGCTGTTTAACACTGGTGCCTCACCAGATTGGAAGAAATGGCTAATTAAGCACTTCAGTTGCCTCTTGATCTGTTTGCATCGAACTACCATCCTCCTCCAACTGCGCTACACCAACTTTCACTTTCTGGTTTTGTCTTTCATTACTGTAGAATGAAATGCCTCATATATGTTTCTTATTATTGTGGTTCTAATTTCAAAATGATTTTTTTTTTGTTTCTAGTCTTCCAAAAAAAACCTCCATGGTATCAATAGTGAACTGATAGCAAGAATGTGATAGATTGGAGTGTGTAAACTTAAGTTTATATTAAGTGCTAAATATATTGATATTTGTAGCACAGCAAAAAGTTCTTGTGACTTCTTGTCAGTACGGTATAGCCAGTGAGAATGCCTTTGAGAAAAGAATGGAAACAATGCAACAATTGCCACACTTTTTTAATTGCCCTAATTACATTCTGTTCATTCTTTCCACCCTGTTTTTCTTTTAGAGGACCTTGGCAAATCACCAAGAACATCATCAGAAATGACGGCGTATTAGGACTTTTCCAAGGTCTTACAAGTACCTGGTTACGGGAGATGCCTGGCTATTTCTTTTTCTTCGGTGCTTATGAAATATCAAGAACGCTGCTGACTCCTGCAGGAACAAGCAGGGATGATTTAAGTAGGTGCAGAATACATCATTATATATTAAATCATTTTCATAGCGCCCTCTTTTGAAACTAGCAAAACAGTTGCAGGCGTGTCAAGTGTTCTTATGCTCAGTGTCTTAGCATCGTCTCAAATCAACGCTCAGAAGGTTCCCATTACAATTAGAATGTACTTTCATAACGCTTATTAGCTCCTGGTAAAGAGGAAAAAACAAACATTAGGCCTACCGTAGTTTATGAATCTCCAAGCAAAATGGCTGGATAGCATGTAACGGTTTCTGCCGGCCAGTGCGCCAATGACGGTGACGGCACAGTAGCCTTGTTTCAATGCAGCTTTAGTATCAAAGAGAAATATGCACTAAATAAACTGCATCGAGCACTCATCAGTCACCTGCACATGTATAAACTACCTATGAATGAACGGCACCAGACTTGAGCTGTAGTGCTGTACATGCAGACTGCCCGCAGTAAAAGGGGACGTCTTGCTTCAAGGCTATCCGGTTCGTTAGTGTGACGTCACCTCCAGCACCGTCTGCACCGTTTGGAACCGGAAGTTAACGCAGTTCGAGCGTTTGCAGCCAATGGCGCAAGTAATCAGTGGTGCGTGCGCGTGTATGATGTTTTTACTGACGAGCCGGATAGGGTTCTCAGTATTGCACGCTGAGCGCAGACTTGTAAACTTAAACGGCATTGGCTGAATACATGTCAATTCATTGTCACTGACCAGTCAGCTTGCTCAAACAAAACACGGCGGTCTTTACAAAACGTGGTCTAAGCTTTGCAAAACTTCGCAAAAGAGTTGTGGATTGCTTTTAATAGTTTAAAGGGAGCTTATTTTTTGAAATTTTATTCAATCAATTGTGGTCGTCATGGGTGATTCCAGTGCACAGATTAAGTACATTTGAACAGTGGGAGGGTGCAGTGAGATGAAAGCGGGAAGGACATGGTTGTTGAAGTAAGTGGAGTAGCTTTCCCTGTGGACAGATATGCGACATGTTAAGTGTTTTGGCACTCGGCAAAAGCACTCCTAGAAAAATCCAGGCGTGCTTTTTTCCACACACCTGTGATTTTAACTCATTCCCCCTCCCCCTGTTGCACGTAAGTGTCTCTTTTTTTCAATTGCAGGTCCATTTCGTCTGATGATATGTGGTGGTATGGCTGGTGCAGGTTTATGGACAGCCATTTATCCTGTAGATCTGGTCAAATCTAGAATACAAGTCAGGTCCCTTACTGAAAAGATGCCAGGCTTTCTCTCAGTTACCATGGATATCATCCGAAAAGAAGGTAAACAAACATTCATTTATTTAATTTGGAAATTAAATGAATAAGAAGAGCCAAACAATAATGTTATGGTATAATTTTGCCCTTAGGAGCAATTGTTTTGCTTTATCTGAGGCATGCTTGTGGTGTTATGCTGTGAAATATAAATTGGCACACAAGGACAGCCAGTAACAAATAAGTGATACTTGATGAAAAGACATACACAACATTCTTGATTCCGTCAAATTTGTTGCATTTTTAGCAGATTTGGGAGGAGTAGGGTAAAAATAAATACAATGCTTGGCTTTCAGTTTTTCTTTGTGTTTTATTTCACTTAACACCTGTAGGTTTGAGGAAGCTATATTCTGGTCTAACTCCCTGTGTTCTGCGTTCATTCCCTGCTTGTGCTGCATTGTTCTTCACCTACGAATGGAGTAAGAAGCAGATGATGCTACACAGACCAAACTGGGCTTTGTGATGTCATCAATTATATTATCCTGGACAAGGTATTAATGTAGGTAATAATAAATGAAATAACCTATAGCAATATCATGCAAAGTCAATGATTCATTCTTTAAGTGAAATATTCAATGAAAGATTAATAACAAGTTATATTTTAACTTTTTGGCTTTTAAGGATTTGGTTAAATGTTGTGTTTAAATGCCAATTTTTTACCAGTATTACCTTCTGAGAAATTGTATTTCTCATGTTTTCAGGATATTTTTATCCACGTGTCACACTGATCATAATATTTTAGTAGTGAAGTGTTCTTTTTTGCACTGAACCTTTATTTTGTTTTTGTTTTTATCAATCACCTTTGACATTGTTTTGTGTGCTTAGGGGTACTGCATTTATGGGGGGGGGGTGTTTTTATCCTAACAATTAGTGTAAATTGTAAGCAAACATCAGCACAAAGTTTAAGAAAATTTGCCAATCTAATATCAAAAATGGTTATCTACTTATAATCAGAGCAAGTAAATTGACTAAGAATAAAAGTATACTCAAAATATCAAATATAATAATATATAAAAACAAGTATATTTTCCTACACACAGCCCAGGTTTTTTTTTAATTTAGCCTAATTGAATCCTCCAGGCTTCAGTACTGTTTAGTCACTTATTCCAACAACATATTTTACCTGGATTTACCACCTTTTGTGAAAACAATCTCTGTAATGAGAATGTAACTTCAGCCAATAAACCTCATATATCAAAGCATAGAGAAATGTGTTAATATAAAGGGATAATGTGCTCTACATTTCCTGAAAAGGTGCAATCCCTTTCCCCCAAAATAAGCAGAATCCAATAGTACCTTGCTCGCTTTTTTATACATTATTTGTGTCAAATAATGTATAAAGTTTGAGAGAAAGGTTGATAATTGGATATTTTTTGTTTAATATCCTGTAGGTACATCTTTTGTTCTAAGATTTGTTTAACTTCATTGTTTAACTTGTGACAAATGCGTTACATTGGTGATTTAAACACAAGAAATAACCAGATCAGAATGCATGAATTATATCTGCACTTTATATTGAAGTTACTCTTTCAACTGTTCCGCCATCTCTGGGCCTTGATCTTTTTAGGAAAGTCAAACTTCCCAATCAACTGACCGATTCAAACTGAGGAGGAGAACTATGTACTTCTTTTTGAAGGGGTAATTAAATTGTTCAGGTAGTGATATGAAGATAATATCAATCCGGCTACATTGGGTTTTCCGTCTGTGTTTCATTTATGTTGTATTTTTTATTGATTTTTGTTTATCATTTAAGCACCATGTGTATCACATGGGATAGCCAACAGAACCCTTCCCTCCCTAAAAAATGGGTTTGATGTACATCCTAAGGTGTACCCAGAATTGCCTTTGATGTTGCATCTTTGTATACATGTATATGCAGATGATTCAGTGCATGTGTGAGTTGTGGTACAATCTTGAGTTCAAAGTACACTCATTGTTACTAGTCTCCCATCTGACTGATAGTTAATAGTAACAGGATTATTATTCCATAAGTCAACCTAGTAACAACTATATCTTTGGTTGTTACTATGCATGATCATCTTTGCTATCAATTTTAATCTCTTCATAGATCAGTGTTGCTGCTTCCCCTTCTGATACGACTGGACTCGAAGAAGAATTAAAAAACTAATTTCAAAAGTTTTTGTTTGATTTCTGTACACAAAAAACACTTGTCTTAGTGACTATTTACATATGGAACAGATTCCAGAATGTTTTCAATTTGATCTTGAGAACAAAATTTGAAATGTAGCCACAGTAGATCACTAAACAAATACATGAGGATTAACCTCATGCACCTGCATGAGCTCAAAGTACAAACTGAAGGTTTGTTCAGTTTGTACTTTGAGCTCATGCAGGTGCTTGTGGTGACTCACATAATATATTTTCACGCAGAACCTTACTTAATGGACAACAACAAAAACAGTCTAGATTTCTCTCAGTTTTGACTTGATTCCATTAGTGACAACAAAATGGATTACGAAATGTTAGGATGTCTTCAGGACATGTTCAGGCGTCAAGCCAAGATGTTGCCTGATTCAAATGCCATAGTAACAGATGATGGCCAGACAATGACATACAAAGAGTTGGATGAAGTGACTGATGTCTTAGCAGCACATCTGCATGGGAAGGGTGTGGTTGGCGATTCTATTGTTGGGATATATCTGGAGAAATGTCTCGAGTATCCCATCGCTTATATTGCGATCCTAAAAGCAGGTGAGTTCAGTCCAAATAAATGTGGTGGTTAGTGATTATAATGCCATAGAATAGGCTTATTGTCATTGTATTAGCTTTCTCATCCCATTCCCACACCTCTCCTCCCCGTCCCATTAAGTCTACCCTCCCCCTCCCCCCTATAAAATAGTTCATGTTCCTTTTTGGGGAGGGGCTGATAAATGTATATTTTGGGAAACAATTACATAAGTTATATTCCTATAAATATTTGAATATGGGTAAAAATCAGGTCCTCAAAAAGTGTTCATTTTCCACTCAATCATTTAATTTTAGAGCAACGCCGACCTCTTCACTACTTACAAACGCAGTAGTTTACACTGGACTGCTAGAAATTAAGGCTAATGATATTGTGATTATTATGTAATTTAAAGAACAGTTTAGACAGTTTATTTGTCTGTTTACTACGAAAAGTTCTTGGTATAATTTCTGATGATCTCCTAAACAAACTTTAGCATTTTGTGTTTTACTCCAGGTGGTGCCTACCTACCTCTAGACATTTCTTATCCTCAGCAGTTACTTGATGACGTCTTACAAGATGCAAAACCAGTCTCAGTCATCACCTTCACAGATTTAGTCCCAAGACTCAAAGGTCAGTGGTGTCATTGTTTCTTGAAAGCAGTCTCCTTTAATTATAGAAGCTCACTGGATATACACTACACTACAGCTGCAATCAGATTTTGCCTTATTTACATTGACAGGAGCTCATGATGTGACAGTTCTTGATGCAAATTGGTCCATCAGAATGAAGGACGAGAACATAAAGCGAGGTCTACATGTGTCTATGTGCCCTCAAGTCACTCAGGATAACTTAGCATTTGTGGCTTACTCATCTGGTACAACAGGAAAACCAAAAGGTAAATTAAGGCTGTGTCTGAATTGCTTGGCTACGGCTAGCAGTAACAGGTGTCTATGGAAAAGTGGATTCAGCCGCTTCCATTGGCTAGTGTATTAATGCAAGCCATATATAGCAAATATATGGCACATTTGAGCTTTCAGCATTTAAAGTAAACGTTTACACCCCCTGTCTTGAGCACTGATGATGTGTCTGATGTCATTTGCCAGGTATCATGTGTGTACATCGAGCTGCAGTGTTCTCATATCATTGGCGGCATATCAACTACCCATTCCAACAAGGTGACCGCATCGCTTGCAATGTCTTCTTTGTCTGGGAGATGCTGAGACCATTACTGAAAGGTAATCATTGTGCATAATCATCATTGCCACCATCATCATCACCACATGGTGACAGTGTTGGTGATGATGACGATGACGATCACTATTATCATCATTAGCTATTATCACGCTCATCCAATGAATTAACTGGTGGGGGATATGAGGGCACCCCCTCCCCCTTCAGGCCCATCCCCATCCCCCCGTCTTCCCCGTCTCCTAAGAATTTGATGGCAAAACCCTTTGTGTTGCTTAAAGTTAATTGAGTGCCCCTCTCCAGAAATGGGGACCCCCAAGTCCCCTCCCCCTGCAAGTAGAACCCTAATTCTTTACTTTTGAGGGAAATATTCATCCAAAATGTATCATTCTATCATTAAAAACCCTAAATTCTTCTATTTAGGGTTTCCTCTCTACATCATCCCTGATGACGTCATATACGACCCTGCCTTACTCTTGTCGTTTCTTGAGAGGCATTCTATCACACGGATGTTGTTTACTCCATCACTTCTGGCTACAGTCTTAGATACTGACAATGTGGACATTGCAACGTGCCTTGGATCATTCAGGTGAACACTTTCCCATTAAGTAAGAACACTTAGATGCTGCAGATTTGTACTAACAGTAAAACAATGTGGGAGATTGCTAGAAATGAATCAAGTAAGGGTTATGTGTTAGTTAAACATTTTCAAGTGGAAGAAGTTGTATTCAGAATAATATTGAAGAGCTGAATTCCGATTGTTGTTTTTCCAACATGTGTTTTATTCCAAGCTGCCCCTATTTGTGAAACATCAAGCAGCTAGTTTTTAAACTCACTGAATTTGTTTGAGATGGTCTCATCTAATTTAAATTTGCTGTTTGTCATGTTTCACTTTGTTGTATTTCAGATTGATTGTTCTATGTGGTGAGGTGGTGACAGTAGGCCTCATGGCAAGAATTGCTGAGATTCTACCTGATGTGACTGTCATGAATTTATACAGTGTGTCTGAGACGCATGATGTCGCTGCAACGAACCTCACTCTAGAGATGAAAAATCTCCTGGTAAGATGAAACGCTGTTCAAACATTACTTCCACTTGCAAGCTTTTCTCTTATCTTCCTGTTGACCATGTGGGATGGACCCTGTCTGCCTGTCAATCAACTGTTACACTTGAGTTTGTTCACTTTAACCAGGGTTCGCCCTTAACTCTTTTTTTTTTCAACAGCCAGTCAGACTAGAGAAACAGACTCGTATCTAGTCCAGGGGCCTTTTCACTAGTCTACAATAGATGTTTTTATTTTTGCACCACAACGTAATAAACAACAATGTTATTTACAATAGTTTTGACTCACCTGCCGGACTACTTAGGGAATGGTTTTGACTAGTCTGCCATTGTTATTACTCGCATTTGGTGAGTGGACTACTGCTTAGGTTGAACCCTGCTATAACCGCCTTATCTTTGTTAAACTCAGACTCAAGCTATTACCCTGAGAAATGTACACAAACAAAGCTAGGCAGGGCTAGGGCCAAATCCAAAACTGTCCATTTTGTCCAGAATTACTAAGATCTCGGGAAATTACTGCATTTTAGACTTGTTTTGTAACATTTGTTTGATTGTGGGATTAACTTGATAAGCATCTTGAAGTACAGAAATTGGCAGTTAATTATTTGATGTTGATCTCTCAAGGCATCTGGCAGTCCAGAGAAGACACAGAAGTTTTGTCCCGCTGGCAGGTTACTTCCAGGTGCACATGTTGTCATCCTGAATGATGAGATGGAATTACAACCAGTAGGATCATCAGGAGAGGTAGGCATTCAATCTCAACCAATCCATCATATTTGGTTTGTCAAAATTATCTTCGAAAATTGTCTGTTAGAAATGATCTAGGCTAGCCTTGTCAAGATGGACCCAAAAAGTCTCGGTTTGGGAATTGTTTTTTTATACTCAGTGTCTTAGGCAGTGTGTCGGTCCATAGCTAGGGGCAGTCAGTCAGTATGGTCGGGGAGTCAGTCAGTAAGTCAGTCAGTCCATAGGGGGGAGGGAGCCAGTCAGTGGCTCAGTTAGTCAGAGAACAATAGGCTGGCCTTGCTAGTCCAGCAAAAAATATCAAATATAGATAATTTTATGCAACTTTATCACGTTGGCAGAAAATAATGTTTTTCTCAAACTCATGATAGCACATCATAACAGGGTTAACAGCTAACGTAACTGCAGTCTTCCTTCATTTTTGTTTAGCTAAGCTGATGATAAGCTACCGCCCCTTTTCATTTTTTATTAACATAGATCTATGTAGGAGGTCCTGGTCTTGCTCGCGGTTATCTGAATCGGCCAGAGATGAATGCCAAACGTTTTATATCTCGTCCAGAGAGTGTTCCAGAATACGCTGGTGACCGGTTGTATAGATCTGGTGACTGGGGATACATGTTATCTGATGGTCACTTGGAAATATGTGGACGATGTGATACGATGGTCAAGATTAGAGGTTACAGTATAGAAATACAGGTGAGAATTTAGAGTAAGACCATCTGTACTTCCTATTGCAACTGAGCAACAATAATGTGCACCTATAAGCCAAAGAGCACTTTAACAGATTAATGAAGAGGAAGTACAGGTGGTATGAGCACCTAAAGTGCTGCACTTTGTTTACTGCGAACTCCATGTAACTTTCTTGCAATATATTAATGCAACTTTCTACCTCATCCAGCACAGACCCAAAGGGTATACTTAATTTACCAAGTCTTGGAAATCCAAAATGATCCCGCCCTCTCACAGATGACTGCATATTACTTCCCGCTTTTTGACATATCTTTCAGGCAGTAGAAGCAGCTCTGTTAGACCTCCCAATGGTCAGTGCATGTACAGTGTTAGCTAAAGGAGCAGAAGGAGATGACAAATACCTAGTGGCTTACATCGTCCAATCAGAAGCAACCAGCAAGAAGGATATACGCTCAGCACTCAAGACAATAATACCTAGTTACATGGTTCCTGCATACATTGTGTTTCTTACAAGGTATGTAAGGGAAAATAAATGGATTTTACTATTTTACATACGAAAACAAATGGATTTGTACAAACACGATGTAGGTACTGTTCAAGGTCCATTATGATGGAGTTTGTTCTCAATTAAATTATAAACTAAAATTTGAAGCAGCAACTTGTTGGTAAATGTTCTGTTGTAGTATGCCACTTCTACCCGCCTCTGGCAAATTAGACAAGAAAGCTCTTCCAGACTTCAATCCTGAGACAGCAGACTTTGCTCCAGTCAACGGTGAGCAAGGAAAACCATGTACGGAGACAGAGAAGACAGTGTCTGGTATGTGGAGTGATCTACTGAGAATCTCTAATGTAGATGTACAAGAAAGCTTCTTTGATCTCGGAGGGTAAGTTCTTCAAGTTGTCACAAATGAGTTATTAGTCGGTAATTTGTTGATAACATAATTAAGTGGCCTTTTATCTGTAGTGATAGACTATTGTTTCTCAACTGAAGTTTCCTGGTGTGATGTCACCCAACATAACAATTATAGCAGACCACTTTATATCTATTTACCCAACCAATACAAGCATTAGTTCTTTTGTTTTTCTCTTGTCATTCTTTGCTGGCAGCAAGGCTTTGAATATTGACTACTGTTTCTTCCAAACTCAATTTTCCTTGCCTGATTTATCTGTTATCTATTTAACCAACCAACTTGAAAAATTTGTTTTTTGTTTTCTCTTCAGTCATTCTTTGCTAGCAGCAAGGCTTCTGAACCAGATCAAAGATGGTTTTGGGGTAGAGATGACTGTTCGTGAATTGTTCATACACTCCACAGTGGCTCAGATGTCAACACTGATTGATTCCAAGATTGTAGGAGACAACGTGGACCAAAGGTAAGGATAGATGCCAGATGAGAGTTCTAAAAACTATACAAAAAATGCTTCAATTTAAACTGCCTGGAATGGCCTGAAATGTACAGGTAATAAGTAACGAAGGCATTTTGATCGTAGAACCTTCAGCCTCTAAGAAAAACTCTGTTATGGGTTTGAAATGTTTAGTTCTCTGTAAATTAAAATTCAAAACTAACAAGTGACCAGTTCATTTTCCATCCATTGTTTTATAATTGATGGAATGTTACAGTTTACATCACAACATTAATCTTCATGAAGAAGTTGAACAACATGATCAAGGCATCGTCAGCATTGATATGCAATTACGTGCCTTTTGGCGCTCCATACATTATGGAGATCGATGGAATGCTGGCCGGGTGTTACTGACAGGAGCAACTGGGTTTCTGGGTGCGTTCATATTGAGGGATCTTCTCATCAAGACAGAGGTAAGCATTTAAGGATGAGCAGTTTATTTCCTAATTAACTGAAGCCTAAACTTAATCTGTTAATTATTTTATTACTATCAATGATATTCTTCATTGTCTTGAACAGAACCACATTTATTGTCTAGTGAAAGAACTACCAGACTTGTCAGGGAAGGACCGTTTACTAGCAACGATGAGACAATACAACATGCTTCCTGAGGATGATAGTCATGATGATGCAAGAGAAGGCACACCTGATGGGAGTGACTTATTGGCTAAGTTTGACAAGAGAGTCACAGCAATCACAGGTAAATTAAATAATTCCAATGATGTAAACCAGACTCGCTGTATTTAATACAGATTGCATCACCACGTACAAAACAAGCCTTTTGCTTTTATCTTCAAGCAGATATCTAACAGGGGTAGCTGAAACTTTTAGAGGTCAACTTTCCAAGAATTGTTGCTAAGATAACAATTTGTTTTCATTTTCAGGTGATGTGTCTCTGATTCGACTTGGCATGATGGAGGAAGATTACACATACCTAACATTTGAGGTAACAGCCTGTAACTTCCATTTGGCGCTTGACCATATTTTATGTTAGGTAATGTTTCTCTGAAGTTAGGTTATCTTTTTTTTTATTTGTGTGTGTGTTCCCCATCACTTGTAAAACTCAATGTCAGTGATACACAGTTTTTCTCTAAACTTATTTTTATCACTCACAGATTGACAGTGTTATTCACGCAGCTGCCTATGTAAATTTGGTCTATCCATATGAGGCATTACGTGGAGCTAACGTCATTGGCACACAGAACATAGTTCTCTTCTCATGCACCAATAAGATCAAGCCTCTGCATTATGTCAGGTAAGCAATTATAATCAAAGAATTGCATCAATTAGATTCAACTTGCCTGGCACGCGATGAATGGAGTTACATTTGCAGCTTCTGATTTATCACTGATGAGTTAACCTGATGCTTTGCTGGTGCCTGTATCAGTGGTGTATCCAGCTTTATATGTCCGGGGGAAACCTCACTTGTACAGCCGCGCGGAACTCTAGACATATTTTTTCCCCGGATACTTGGCCTCCATAAAATCAAGGGGGGGGGGGGGGGCGGGGATCTGTACCCGTCTTTCAAAGGGGGCACTCTTCAAAGCTGACCATTATGCATACTGGAAAATATATGCCAATTTGCACGGCATATTGTATGTTTTTGGAGCTTGTTTTTTTTTTTTTTGTGTCACAACTCTCACCATTTATGGAAATGTAGTTAATGAAAAAAATGTCTTTCAAAAAAGTCAGCCAGGTGTTTGGTGGGGTGCTAATATGCCCCTGCCCCCCCCCCCCCCTTGTATACTCCACTGGCCTGTATATAAACTGTTGTAGCAGGCTGCATTTGTTATAGCAATATTCTTTTTCAGAGGGAGGAGCATGGGATGTTCACATCTCAACATTATTTTTCAAAGTTATCTCTGATTAAATTTTTTTCTATTATTTCTACACAGCACCAACTCGGTATTTCCAGTAGGTCTTAAGAATTGTTGTGAGGATTCTGACATGTCCACATTTGGCGACCAACTCACAGATGGTTACAGTCAGAGTAAATGGGTTGCTGAGCAGTTAGTCCAGAGAGCCCAGTCACGCGGCCTTCCTGCAGTCATCTACCGACCAGGTACATGTAGTTTGTGGAAAAAATGACCTCAGCCTAAATTTGGTTTTTATTTGATTTCTTCTTTTCTTTTGAAAACTACATTTTCACATGAGCAATGAATAGTAACTGTAGATAATGGGACACACCCATCAACTTTAATTCTTTTTCTTTTGATAAGTTGGTCAACTCTCCCTTACCTGTTCCTTATAATTAATTGGTTACATTCTTGCACTACAGGTAACCTATCTGGAGACTCTGTGACAGGTGCATGGAATCCCTCAGACACCAATCTGCTGACACTACAGGGTTGCATCCGTACTCTCTCTGCTCCTGATATCAAATGGTTGATTGAAATGACACCAGTAGACTTCGCCAGTGAATTTATTGTCAAAGCCTGCCAGAATGTCATGCTAGTTGTAGGGAAGGTCTACCATCTCGTGCACTCAGCACCACTCAAATGCAGGTATGTCCATAAAACTTGTTTTTACTTTGCTTTGTAAATTCTTCATCTCCTCCTTTGTTCAGCCGTAAATCCAGGAGCACCCACATTGGAGTTACTGGGGTCCATTTTGCAAGGGCACTCTTATAAGGTACTTTCATTGAGTTGGAACTCAATAGGCATTTAAAAATTAAAAAGCAATCATTTTTGCCTTCCCCCAAATTCTAAGTGGGCCAGGCACACTAGGGGGAGCCAGGTCCTCAAATGGTAAGGGCTGCCTCGATTCCCCCCCCCCCCCCCCCCCCATCTTGCTATTGGTACATGGTCATCACAAGATGATATGTCACACATTTATTCGACAGGACTTTGTTTGAGTGGATAGCAGATTTGGGCTACCCATTGCGACTGATGCCCTTTCATGAATGGTGCAATGAGTTGAAGCAACTTCATCATGGAGTGAATAAGGAGGATTCAGTGTTGGCTGACAAACTGGACAACATTGTCAAGTAAGAATAAAACCAAAGTACAACTTTCAAGTTTTACTTCATTCTTTTATGGCTGACTGCTCTCTCTCTCTGCATCTGTAAAATATTGTGCAAACTCCTTGATAGCTAGGATATCCCGCACAGGGCACAGATGCGGTACTAGCTAGCAGCATATGAATTAAGAGCCCCGTTTATGAGTGCGAGAAGATTTCTGTTGGATTTTAGATTTGAAGACAGTTAGACTTTGCGAGTCCCTAATATCTATCGATAGAGTGTTCCATTGGGCTACAGTTCTTGGCAAGAAGGAAAACTTATAGCAATCCTTATTTGTTTGAAGATGAGAGAATGATAGGCCTGAATTTTGTCCAGTGAATCTTTTTAGGCTGGTGTTGATGGAGCACTTGTTTACATTGATGGAGGCAAGTTGATGGCAAGTTGATAGTGTGCTTTGTGCAAGAGGATCAGTCGAGCACTAAGCCTTCTTTCTTCCAGTCATATCCATGTAAGGTCTTGAACCACTGAAGAAACCCTGCTATTTCAACTAAAATCTCTTTTCACAAATCTGGCAGCCTGATTTTGAATAGCTTCCAAAGCATCAATGTAAATTTGGTGATGAAGATTCAAGATGGTCTAACTGTGGTCTGACCAGAGTCTTGTATGCCGTAGCTTTCGCTCCTTGGTTGCAATGATAACAATTATGTCGTAGAAGACCTAGGGTCTTCTAATGTGTCCTGAAATGACACATTATGATATCTGTCTATGCAAAAGAGCAAGGTGGGGGTTGGGGGTAAACTTCCCAACTCCCCCATAGATATCTTCCATAACTCAGCAGCAAAAGATCCAGGAAGAAAATCAGTAACCACCTTTTTTGTGTCAAATTGTCTTTTTTACAGGAATGAATCGTTCTTCATGGATTACACCTCCTTCCATAGAGCCAATCTTGAAACTTTGCTCGCTACTCTACAAATGTCTTATCCTCCTTTGGATAAAAGACTTATTCGTGGTTATCTCCAACAGCTGTTTGTCAAGAAGATTTTGATGCCTCCAATGTCTTTGAAGTTCAGTTGTAAGAAATTATTTTCTGTATTGCAAAATGAATAGAGGCAGCAACATGTGAATTGTTTAAAAAAAAAAACATTCATTGGGAGTGGGGTTCTAATTACTCGGGTGACGCAGTTTTAAGTGAACGAAAAAGGACAGTTTTCTGCTTTATTTCGACCATAGTTAGAAATAAAACCTAACAATTAGCAAGGCTGGAAGTATGATGTATGATGCATTAATCATCAGTGCAAAAAAGGTGTCATGACTGAAGAACACAAGCTAAGTTTGTGTTATCTTTAAACAGCCAGACCCCTGGAGGGCAAGGTGGTTGTCATCACTGGAGGTTCATCAGGAATCGGTCTGGGTATTGCTAAGTGCTTAGCGCAAGCAGGTGCATCAGTTGCATTAGCAGCAAGACATGAAGAGAAACTAGAACAAGCAAGACTCAAGATTGCAGAGATTGGAGGAAAAGTCCTGGCGGTCAAAACAGATGTCTGTATACGACAACAGGTAAAGCTTACCCGAGCTACTTGTGATGTATCACAAGTCATCACAAGTCATCACAAGTCATCACAAGTAATCACAGGTCAATCACAAGTCAATCACAAGTCATCACAAGTCAATCACAAGTTATCACAAGTCAATCACAAGTCAATCACAAGTCAATCACAAGTCATCACAAGTCATCACAAGTCAATCCCAAGTCATCACAAGTCATCACAAGTCATCCAGTCCCAAGTTAAATACCCACAAGTGTGAATTAAACGAATTAATGGAATAAAAAGATGAATTATAACAAAGGTATTCCTTTCACTTGTGAATTGACTTGTGATGTACTTTGGAGCAGTCAGAGAAGTATCTCTACTATAACACTTATAATTTCATACATTTTCCAAACTGAAGTTGTAAAGTCAACATCTATTATAGTCATTGACTACACTTATAAATATCACTTATATATTTAATAACATTTCAAAGGTGTTGAATATTAAAGGTTAGCAAGTCGTTTTCACCATTTCCTCACTATGGTATTTTGTTAAGAGCATCACTCGTATTGCTCTTTTGGTCTTCTTGAATGACGGTAGCAAAATGAGTAAAATGTTCCTTTTTAATGATTCTCCTTTTGTGACAGGTGAAAGATCTGGTTGCTAAGACAGAGGCTGAGCTAGGCCCAGTGGATATTCTTGTTAACAATGCAGGGATCATGCACTTCACTTTGATGAAGAATTTATTAGAAGATTCTTGGGAGAGAATGGTAGATGTAAACTGCAAGGTGAATATGAAGACATAACGTCAACAATGAGATCAAAAAATAAACTGTACTATGTAAATTGGCAAGAAATGAGATATATAGAAAAGAATTTGTCTTATTTTCCAGGGAGTTCTGAATGGCATTGGTGCCGTTCTGTCAGGAATGATAGCAAGGGGCAAAGGTCACATTGTGAATACGTCATCAGATGCAGGCAGAGCCGTAAGTTACTTTTTAATTATCAAAATTTTGAAGTTGATAATTTCAAACATCTTTTGCCTTTGAGAAAGGTCTTAATTCACAGCTTCGCAACAAAACAATAGGCCATCTAATTTTGTTGATTTGCAAAGTTCAGGTCAAATTAGGCAATATGCTATGCGCAGCAGTTTAATTCATTTTCATGATTTCAAACAAGTCAGATAAAATAAGACTTACTTTGTTTCTGTTGTATCTTTTAAAGGCATTTGCTGGTCTGGCTGTCTACAGTGGGTCCAAATTCTTTGTGGAAGGATTGACGTCATCTTTGAGGAAGGAACTGGTTGGAACCGGCATACGAGTGACTAACATACAGCCCGGTGACGTCACGTCTGCCATCGCTGATCACATCATTGACAAGGAAGTGAGTAATTCAAGAATAAAGAAATATGTGATTGCTGAAAAGACTAATTATTGTGTTTTCATACACTGACGTTTTACTTTTTGCTCGCAAATGAATGTTGCAAAATGATGCCACGTAAGCGGTTTTGTACAAAGTCTATTGAGAGTCAATGAAGTATTTCCTAACAAAATTGAAATCAAGTAAAACTTTCATGCTCGATAAAATTGGAAATGTTTCTCTGTCCCAGATGCATGTCTTTTCATCATTTTTGCAATGCCTAACCTTTATTAAGATGATATATGAAGAAAAAGCGGCGTCAGGTTGCAAGATTCCTTCCAATCCAGTAGCTAGAACGAATATCCTTCATTTTCCTCAGCTCTGATCAGGTAGTCTGAGAGAAATCCACTGTTGGGAGTTATGTGATTTATCAGGGTCAGGCTGCTCTGTAATTTTTTTTTTTTTGTGTTTTTAGGCCGTAGATCAATATGCCAATATTGATGTGGATAAGTTTCTATCGCCAGATGACATAGGCAGAGCAGTTCTGTATGCTGTGACTCAACCAGAAGGTGTGGCAGTTAACGAGATACTCATTGAACCTACAGACTTCCCAGCAGTCTGAGTTATGTCAACAATTATTCAATTATTTTAAATGTCACAAGTTGATCAAATCTGTGCCTTTCAATGTAATTAGGCAGAAGATTAACTTCAAGAAAAGACAGAAAAGTTTTATACAAATTTTTCATCAGCATGTTACATTCCTTTCCACAAACCATCATGAAAAAGTAAAGTTGTGCTATATAAAAATCCTGACTTGAAAATTTAAAATGCACAATTTTAACAGTGTGTGATCTTCTATAGTCTGCAGGTTGTTTTATTGGGTCAAAGTAAGTTTTGTCAGTTTTTTTCGATGTAGTTATTAATTTTTTATAGTTTCCCTTTGCTGGGTGGTGGGAAATCTTACAAGCATTTGGTTGACATTGGAAAACATCAAAAACATTTGATAAGATAAGCATCTGTGACAGTTTATATCCTTCTAATAATTAATTGCTATCATCATTCAGAGCAGTTTGTTTTATATCAAAATGTGTGGGATTATTGTTCTCTCTTGCATGATAGAATATTTTGGAGATCTGGCAAAAATTAAACAATTTACATTGTACCTCACAATTAATATGTGCACCAGTCAGTGGCGTCACCAGACTTTTCAGTGTGGGGGGGGGGGGGGGGGGGGGGGGGCACAGGGGGGCACCAGCATTTGATGGGGGGGGGGGGGGCACTTAGGTGGATACGGATCGCCGTCCTGGGGAGGGAAAATGTTCGCATACGGAGGATGGGCTAGATGCAAATGGTGCCACATTTGATGCTAAATTCGATCTGAAGATATCTCAAGAAATTGCTATTTTTGAGGTAATGATTTTAACAGCGTGCAGAATTTTGCAGAAGATAGGGGGGCACCAGCATTTGATGGGGGGGGGGGGGCACTCGGTGGGCAGGGGGGGCACGTGCCCCCCCCCCCCCCCCCCCCCCCCCCCCCCCCCCCCCCCCCCTTGGCGACGCCACTGGCACCAGTGTATGCATTGAAGTGAAGCTTGATTAAGTGACTTTTTCAATTGTTCCATTGAAATTAAAAACAGATAAAAGAGCAATCCATTAAAGGGCTCATACAATGTAAATTGTTTTATGCAGTCCTTCAACATGCACCTTTATTTCATATTTAAGCCTGTTTTTTATCTTTGATTTCAAGCCATTTTCAAGGACATTTTGGTGCCTTTTTGGATGTGTTATGCAAATATCCATATTCATGAGCAAAAGTGTGATGTCATTTCAGGCAGAAATCCCATTGTTACAATTATTTCAGCACTAAAAGCTGACTAATTTTGGATATTTTGCTGTCGTAAAGTCCGTTCTTTGCTTGTATTTCTTAAAGTTCGTTCTTTGCTTTGTCAATTCCTTGTTGTATCAGTACATGGCGCGATGATGGCGGTAATAATAGCCAGTAGGCAAACTTTTCTCACAGATGTTTTCAACGAGCAAAGTTTTGGGTTCACAATTTGAACTTAAAACACCGAAATTGAACAGTGTCTTCCTGAAATGACATCACAGTAGCAGCGCCCTCGGTTGTCCAGGAAAGCATGGACATTTTTATATTTCAAGAAGTTCACTTTTCAATAAAATTCCTCGGAAAGGGATGTAAAATAGTTTTCATACATTTTAAGAGGAGTAGAAAGTTACACAAAGATATTCCTAAGAAAAGTTCATTTCTTGGACCCTCTGCTATGCCCACTGCGCATTTGATCCTCTCCAATCCAGTGGCTTTACAAGTGTTCGTCTGGGGCGCATATTCCAAACGATGGGCTTTGGCTTCGTCCGCGGCTAGTAAGGAGAGTTTAGCCCCCCCCCCCCCCCCCCCCAACTTCGGGGACTCCATCTACCGTGACATTTTGGTGCCCGTCATTCCTCACGAACAATCGGTTGATATGAAGACAAAAGTTGGAATATTTTGGTTTGGTTTGCCTTTCAGTGATTCAGAAGTCGAAGGCAAAGCCGAAGGCGAAGACAATCGAAGCCAAAGGTTTCGAAAACCCCATATAGCAATTATGCCACCAATTTTTGTACCAATAAAAAGCCTGAAGCTTTACTAAAAAACCACTACCCTTACCCTCTTTCCAAAATGTATTTTCTGGATGTTTCAGACCAAATCCAACATTTTTAATTAGTCACTTTTTTGGGCCAAAAAACACACACCCGAATTAACTTGAAAAGTACGTGGCATCTCTGATAAAGTCGGATATTAATCAGGGCCGCTGTGATTGGTCAAACTCAAAACACAATGGAATGGGGCTTAATATATCGGCCTATCAAGATTGAGTTAAAAAGTCAATAGGTTATATGACTTTCACTTTGAAATAGACAATATAATAAGATTTTTTTTTAAATCATCATCATTCCCTTCCTGCACATTTGTATGATTTTGAGATCATCCCCCATCACGTTTTAGGCTATAACGCAGGTCACAATTAATGTAAGAATGAAAACCTATAGGCTTTGTCCACCAGTTCGTAACAATCGGACATAGACAATTTGACGGGCCTGATTCTGCACCCCCCCCCCAAAAAAAATCCTGGATCCGCCCCTGATGAAGCTCACGGTGTGCTGTGCAGTTCTGCATTGAGGGTACTTGTATTATCGTGAATAATAGTGTTAATTCTCACTGAACATGCCATATGTACCAGACGATCAAAGTTCCTTTACTTTGCAGTGCGTGGCAATTGTCACGTGGGTGCAGTGTCGTGACCCGCGAACCCTGAGCTGCAGAATAAATGGGTGCAGTGAACTAATTCAAGTAAAACGGATACCGTTTGGCTTTAAAAAAAAAATAGAAAATAAAAAACCGGTGGAATTGTGTAAATGTAGCCAAGGATCAACTCCCTGGTTTTGGGGCTTCCATCTGAGGGCAGGCTTGATAAAATTACGGTTTAAAAATGGGTCCTATATATGCCTGAGAAAGTGGAAAGATGCCACTTGTAAAACGGCTGCATGCGGGCTTGGGAATGATTATCACGAGGTGATTTTGTTTCGGTGTGAATACATGTATTTAAAAATGTAATCGGCTAGTCTACCCCAAATTGAAAAGAAATAAAAGGTGAAGTACAAGACAATTTAATTTTTGTTTGAGAAACCCCAGTGATGTCGGCTTGCATGTTATTTGGCCCTGAACCTTGTTGAATGTACAATTTTGAATTAATTGGTTCAGTGCACCAGAAAGTGGTTGTGAATGGTGATGTGGACGGTCGCCGGCCTTGAGCGGGTTGAAACTGACTTGCCGTGTGCAGTGGGCGAGGTCATGCAGTGTAGTACAGGTACTACTACTACATGTACATAGTACTACATCTACTGTACATGTAGTGTGCACGTGTACATGTACATGTACGTGTTCATCAATATTGCATTGTTTTCCAGAGATCGGAGAGCCAATTTAACCACAAAGCGACATGGGTAAGCTATTATTGGTATTTTGCATGTCACCTTGTCATTATAATCACATGCAATGCAATCATGTTTTGTAGTTGCATGAAGACCCATTTCTCAGTGTCTACATGCACGCAAGCTCTCTGTTGCTTGCATGTTCTATGGAGTATGCAGCCCCATAAATGTGGCCAATTTACTGGATTACCTCCGTAAATAAAGGTGAAAATCAAATTTAGATTTTCACACAGGCTTAGTTTGTTGCACTCGATGCCATTGTCACATAAATAGGCTAATCAGAAAGTGCTGCCTTTTTCAGATGTCTATTTTTTGTGAAATTTCCAGATTGGTTTGCACGTTTGTGTATCAAAATTGTAACATGACATTTCACACAAATTAGACATTTGAAAAAGGCAGCACTTTCTGATTATCCTATCAAGAGGGTGAGTATGCTTCCAAAGTCAAAAACCCTACAAACTAATTAAGCCTAAATGTGAAAATCAAAATTTGACAAAGTTCGACATGGCACGTTTTTGTATGGTGGAAGTGTGGCCTTTATTTACGGAGGTATGCATGTGGGTAGTGTATTATTACAACACACGTACCAAAACGCATCCACTTCCGCAGACTGGATGGTCGACGTGCCCCCGTGCCACAAATTTAGCAGAGTTCAACCATCCCCCCCCCCCCCCCCATCTTCCCCTGTCCTATCCCCTCAAGGCTCATTGGGGGAGGGGGTTGAAACAGTTTTGAGTGCATGGAATTGCTCATTGAGATAATCACCTGCATGCAAAAAATAGCCCTGCATTTTGCCTCATGTCCCCCAGACCACTGCCCAGATAGACCAAACCTCCGTTCTAGTTAGGTGTTGATTGTTACTGTAAGAATTTACTTTTTTTATTCTCGGCAATTTCAGCAAATTCTTCTCCAGAACTGTTTGTCAAAATGAAAACATGAACTTCAATTGTCAAAGCATTGAATGCACAACCCACTGAAGATGTGGTTTTTTTTTGTAATTACGCCATGACGACATCATGGGTCACGTGACATTTAGTTTAAAATCAACCGTGATAGACCAGAACTTGAATTTTGCGGGATTCGACATGATAATACACGCTCTTTATTTTATTTTGTGCGCATCAAATCACGTGTCCCTTCCTTCCGGTCGAAACCGGAAGTGCCTAATAATTTGAAAATTGAAAAAGATTTCAACTTTCTTTCAACGATGTTAGTGTCCGGCTGGGTTGAACTTTCTAAAAAAGTAATCGTTGACGCCATGAAATTTAGGAGCGCCCTCTAGTGGCAGGTTAAACAATTCCAAAACGCAGTTCAGTTGATGTTTGTGGCGAAATTTGCATTTATCGCTTCAAAATTAATATATATGATGACCTTTATGCAGACAAGACCTGTGCGCGAAAAAAAGATTACGTCATCAGACCGGAAGTTACAACATTACTACAAAATTAACCGTGAGAGATATAACCGAGATGTGGCTATATAGTACAGTTAACATAGCCCTTGAGCTTTCTGGTAATGACGTCACAATGACGTCATCAAGTATCATATTACAAGAAAATAAGGAGTCCTTTCCTTTGAAAATCAATAAAAAGCTGGTCAAGACCCATTTATTCCACCAATAATCAATTTATTGTCTATACTACCTGTTTTATTATTTAAGTTAAATTATTTATTTACTTTAATTGTTCATTATTTGTAAGCGCTGTGATTCTCAGTTTACTAAAAGCGCTCTTCCATGCCGATTATTATTATATTACCAAGTTAATGTTATTACTATTATTATTATTATTACTATTATACGTGTAATGGTACCATGGGATGGGAGGCATCGGTCACTAGGGAGACATGAAACACAGCCCCATTTTCTAATTAGTAAACTACCGAAATTCGTGCAAAAAAGGACAAGGGAATATTGCACAATATTGCACAATTCTATGGGGATGTCTCCCAAATGTCCAATCCAGGGTAATATATATTATATTAAAAAAAACAAATAAACTGATTATGTAATCAATTTTGTCAGTGACTCATGAAGCCAACTGTTTTAACCAATGAACAGCCAGACCCCTGGAGGGCAAGGTGGTTGTCATCACTGGAGGTTCATCAGGAATCGGTCTGGCTATTGCTAAGTGCTTAGCACAAGCAGGTGCATCAGTTGCATTAGCAGCAAGACATGAAGAGAAACTAGAACAAGCAAGACTCAAGATTGCAGAGATTGGAGGAAAAGTCCTGGCGGTCAAAACAGATGTCTGCGTAAGACAACAGGTAAAGAGAATGCATGAGTTATGGGGGTAGCACGTACCACATTTAAAGATGTTTAACTTTTGGACATGGGCTAAACTTTCATTAGTTCTTTCATAAAAAATTATTGATTTTGACAGGTGAAAGATCTGATCGCTAAGACGGAAGCCGAGCTAGGACCAGTTGATATTCTTGTCAACAATGCAGGCATTGGTTACTACACAATGATGAGGAACTTAAAAGAAGACGAATGGGAGAAGACGGTGGATGTCAACTGCAAGGTGTTAGATTGCATTAATGTCTCCATAAAGCAGGATCTTATTCAACATTTATAAAAAAAAAAAACACCCAATAAACCAATCCAACTTATTTGTGGATAAGTAATCTGGGATCTCCTATAGCCGGCGAGTGCAACCGCAATGATGATCAGCCACCTTTTTGTTTATATTATATGAAACCATTAAAACTAATGTATTATGTTTCATGACCTGCTAACTGTGTAATTTTGATTCCAGGGAGTTCTGAATGGCATTGGTGCCGTTCTGTCAGGAATGATAGCAAGGGGCAAAGGTCATATTGTGAATATGTCATCGGACTCGGGAAGAGCCGTAAGTAACGCTTGAACTGCATTCTCAGAAACCTGGAATTACTAGAATTATTCACAAAAAACTTTCTCTATAAAATTGATGTCAACTCGTTGAATCTAGTAACCACGACCAGTTTGTTTTATCCTTTTGCAGACTTGCCCAGGTCTGGCTGTCTATGCTGGAACCAAGTACTTTGTAGAAGGAATGACGTCATCGATGAGGAAGGAACTGGTTGGAACCGGCATACGAGTGACTAACATACAGCCCGGTGACGTCACAACTTCATTCAATGAAAATAAGATGATTGATCAAGAGGTATAGGACTCATATTGTAAAGTAATATTCATTATATTGTCATTATAATAAAATTACAAATATAAAGATTTTGTATGACCTTGATTCAGTCATGAATGTAATATGTTTGGTCATACGTCTATTTTATCTTCCTTGGTTTTTTTGTTGGTCATAGATTTGTATCATGTTAACTTTTTTTTTCTTTTATAGGTTAAATTTCAAATATTGTCCTGTTTGTTTTATAGTGTACATGATTACTTTACTTTTTTATCTTTAACTGATAACTTTAACTTTTTATTTTATTTTATACGGGAAGTGGTTCAAGATGGGCTGTACACGGTCTTTTCCACAACCCATGACTTTGTCAAAAATTTATAATAATAATGATTTGAAGCATATTCAAAGTTAGCAAGCGATGTTAAAATCATTTTCAGTCATGGGTAATGATTGATTGATTGATTTGTCGTCTACTGTTTTCTTTCTACAGGCACTGGACAAGTATTTCAACTCTGAGTTGGACAAGTATCTGTCTCCAGATGACATAGGCAGAGCAGTTGTGTATGCTGTGAGTCAACCAGACGGTGTGGCAGTTAACGAGATACTCATTGAACCTACAGACTTCCCACTAGTTTGAATCAAAAATCTCGCTCGATTTGGTTAATACGGGCAGTTCTTCCGAGTATAGTGGTTATGGGTAATTATATGTAAAGATAAACGATCAATTTTGAAATCGTATATTTCAAACCTAAGCATTTATCTCGTTCCTATTCATTCCAGAGAAAATTAGCTTTTTATTAAGTAAATAAAAGGCACCTTCATGTGTATGTAATTCATATTATTAAATGTTGAATTAATTTTATTTTGACACCTAGATAAAATTTTGCAGCATTTTAATAAAAATGTAAGGTCAGCCCCTAATTTAACTGAATTTTTGAGAAAGACCAAATTTTTGCAGAATTTCAATAAAAATGCAAGGTTAATCTAAATTTCTGAGAAAAGATCAATTTTTTGCAGAATTTCAATAAAAATGCAAGACTAACCCCCTACTTATCAACATTTTGAGAAAAGATCACATTTTCAGAATTCCAATAAAAATGCAAGGCTAACTCCTTACTAATCTGAATTTTTGAGAAAAGATCAGATTTTGCAAAATTTCAATAAAAATGCAAGGCTAACCCGTTGCTCATCTGAATTTTTGTGAAAAGATCAAATTTTTAAGAATTTCAATAAAAATGCAAGGTTAATCTGAATTTCTAAGAAAGATTATTTTTTTGCAGAATTTCAATAATATTGGAAGGCTAACTCCTTACTAATCTGAATTTTTGAGAAAAGATCAAATTTTGCAGAATTTCAATAAAAATGCAAGGCTAACCCCTTGCTGATCTGAATTTTGAGGAAAAAAAATCAAATTTTCCAGAATTTTAATAAAGATGCAAGGTTATCTGAGTTCTTGATAATTTTTTTTTTTCATAATTTCAATAAAAATGCAAGGCTAACTCCTTACTAATCTGAATTTTTGAGAAAAGATCAGATTTTGCAAAATTTCAATAAAAATGCAAGGCTAACCCGTTGCTCATCTGAATTTTTGTGAAAAGATCAAATTTTTAAGAATTTCAATAAAAATGCAAGGTTAATCTGAATTTCTATGAAAGATCATTTTTTTGCAGAATTTCAATAATATTGGAAGGCTAACTCCTTACTAATCTGAATTTTTGAGAAAAGATCAAATTTTGCAGAATTTCAATAAAAATGCAAGGCTAACCCCTTACTGATCTGAATTTGAGGAAAAAAAATCAAATTTTCCAGAATTTTAATAAAAATGCAAGGTTATCTGAGTTCTTGATAATTTTTTTTTTTCATAATTTCAATTAAAATGCAAGGTTAGCCCCCTTGTTTATTTGACTTTGTAGGAAAAAATCAAATTTTCCAGAATTTCAATAAATATGCAAGGTTAATCTGAATTTCTAAGAAAGATAATTTTGTTGCAGAATTTCCATCAAAATGCAAGGTTAACACCTTGCTAATCTGAATTTTCGAGAAAGATCAAATGTTTGCAGAATTTCAATAAAAATGCAAGGCTAACCCCTTACTATTCTGAATTTTTGAGAAAGATCACATTTTGCAGAATTGCAATAAAAATGCAAGGCTAACCCCTTGCTAATTTGAATTTTTGAGAAAGATCACATTTTGCAGAATTGCAATCAAAATTCAAGGTTAGCCCCTTGTTTATCTGAATTTTTGAGAAAGATCCAATTTTTGCAGAATTTCAGTCAAAATGCAAGGCTAACCCCTTACTTTTCTTACTTTTGAGAAAGATCAAAATTTACAGAATTTCAATAAAAATGCAAGGTTAACACCTTGCTAATCTGAATTTTTGAGAAAAGAAAGAAAGATTAAATTTTCCAGGATTTCAATAAAAATGCAAGGTTAACCCCTTACTAATCTGAATTTTTGAGAAAAGATCAGATTTTGCAAAATTTCAATAAAAATGCAAGGCTAACCCCTAAATAATCTGTATTTTGAGAAAAGATCAAAATTTCAAGAATTTCAATGAAAATGCAAGGCTAACCCCTTGCTCATCTGAATTTTTGTGAAAAGATCAAATTATTCAGAATTTCCATAAAAATGCAAGGTTAATCTGAATTTTTAAGAAAGATCACGTTCTTGCAGAATTTCAATAATATTGGAAGGCTAACTCCTTACTAATCTGAATTTTGAGAAAAGATCCAATTTTCCAGAATTTCAATAAAAATGCCAAGTTAACCCCTTGTTTATCTGAATTTTTGAGAAAGATCCAATTTTTGCAGAATTTCTATTAAAATGCAAGGCTTACCCGTTACTAATGTGAATTTTGAGAAAATATCAAATTTTCCAGAATTTCAATAAAAATGCAAGGTTATCTGAATTTTTGAGAATTTGTTTTTTTTCATAATTCAATCAAAATGCAAGGTTAGCCCCTTGTTTATCTGAATTTTGAGAAAAGATCAAATTTCCAGAATTTCAATAAAAATGCAAGGTTAATCTGAACTTCTGAGAAAGATAATTTTTTGCAGAATTTCCATCAAAATGCAAGGTTAACACCTTGCTAATCTGAATTTTTGAGAAAGATCAAATTTTTGCAGAATTTCAATAAAAATGCAAGGCTAACCCCTTACTGATCTGAATTTTGAGAACAGATCAAATTTTCCAGAATTTCAATAAAAATGCAAGGTTAACCCCTTTCTAATCTGAATTTTTGAGAAAGATCACATTTTGCAGAATTTCAATAAAATTGCAAGGCTAACCCCTTTCTAATCTGAATTTTTGAGAAAGATCACATTCTTAGAATTTCAGTAAAAACGCAAGGCTAACCCTTTAGTCATCTGAATTTCTGAGAAAGATTAAATTTTTGCAGAATTGCAATCAAAATTCAAGGTTAGCCCCTTGTTTATCTGAATTTTTGAGAAAGATCCAATATTTGCAGAATTTCAATAAAAATGCAAGGCTAACCCCTTACGTATCTGGATTATGAGAAAAGATCAAATTTTTGCACAATTTCAATAAAAATGCAAGGTTAAGCAGAACTTCTGAGAAAGATCAAATTTGTTGCTGAATTTCAATCAAAATGCAAGGCTAACCCCTTACTTTTCTTAATTTTAGAAAGATCAAAATTTGCAGAATTTCAGTAAAAATACAAGGTTTACACCTTACTAATCTGAATTTTGAGAAAAGATCAAATTTTGTAGAATTTCAATAAAAATGCAAGGTTAACCCCTTAGTCATCTGAATTTCTGAGAAATATTAATTTTTTGCAGAATTTCAATCAAAATTCAAGGTTAGACCCTTGTTTATCTGAAATTTTGGGAAAGATCAATATTTTGCAGAATTTCAATAAAAATGCGAGGCTAACTCCTTCTTAATCTGAATTTTGGAGAAAAGATCACATTTTGTAGAATTTCAATAAAACTACATGTATAAGGCTAACTCCTTACTTATCAGAATATTTGAGAAAAGATAAATTTTTGTAGAATTTCAATACAAATGCAAGGTTAACGCCTTGCTAATCTGAATTTTTGAGAAATATAATTTTTTGCATAATTTTAATTAAAAAAAAGGAAACATATATAGGGTTTGGCACAATGTGGGTTTTTTTTTGGGGGGGGACTAAGGAATTTGATGGGTTTAAACTCATCGTCAATGAAAAAGCCTCAAGGTATCATATTTTAAACTTCAAAACAAGGTTTATTCTGATCAATTAAACATTTGTTATCAAGTATCTTTTGTTTAATTTAATGCAAACCAGTTTTACTTACATTTTCAACTGTCAACGTTTTTAACCTCAACAACAAGTGCATGGTGCTTCTGTCGATTGTTTTCAACCTGATATTTTCATGGCAAACACGTTGGAATTTTTGGTCGTGAGCTATTTCGCATATTTAATATTGGCTGAACTAGGAGCTTCTTAAGTAAATTGATTCATTCAAATCCGTTTTCTATCTTTTATCAGAAAAATGAACCCTTAGAGTAGAAATATCAGTAAATTGTACAATACTTTTCATAGCAATCTGAGTGACAATGCATATCATGCCAATGTTTGTTCTATTATAAAACATTTTAAGATATGTATACCAATCCCCACCAAAACCAAAACTCATGATACATTAGGCCCTATACAAATGTATACATGTACTATCAATTCCAACATTATAATGGTTTAATATGTGAATATTTGGGATACATGTTTACCGTAGATTACACCTTTAACAAAAAGAAAACCAGTGTCTTGAGGAGAAAAGGTAGCATTTAGATATAACTCTGAAATCTAAAAATTAAATTAAGTGATGACTTTTTAGCATTGGATAATTTACGGGATTTTCAATAAGACAATGCAATAAAATCACACATTTCTAAGAAGCAGATAAAAGTTTCAACTTTAAATTAGGAGTGTCCTACTCCTGTATATTCCTGTGAAATAAGAACATTTAAATTTGGAAAACCAAACAGACTGCAGAGCTGCGTAAAAAAATAGGGTTTTTCCAGATTTGATTTGCTCGGGTCAAATTAAATAGAAATAGAATTTCTAGCAGAGCATAGACGCACTGACTATATATGAATAGAAAAACAATACATAATACCGTGTATACAAAAATGTGACCAAAATGTGACCCGACCCTTGCAGAAAAAGGAAGAAGAGGCTGCATGAGTTCATTGAAAGGTAAAAATTCAATTCATTTCAATTCACTTTATTTTCCACTTAATGTATACGATAAGATCGCCCCAGAGGTACAGGATGACGATAAAAACGCGCGTACCTCTAGAGGCGATACGATAAGATCGCCCCCAGAGGAATAGAATGGCGATAGAAACGCGCGTACCTCTAGGGGCTACCATAATTATAATAAGATCGCCCCCAGAGGTACAAAATTCCGATAGAAACGCGCGTACCTCTGGGGGCGATACGATAAGATCGCCCCAGAGGTATAGAATGGAGATAGAAACGCGCGTACCGCTAGATGCGACCATAATTTCAAAAAGATCGCCCCCAGAAGTACAGAATGGAGATAGAAACGCGCATACAATAAGATCGCCCCTAGAGGTACAGAATGACGATAGAAACGCGCGTACCTCTAGGGGCGACCATTATTACAATTAAGATCGTCCCCAGAGGTACAGAATGGAGATAGAAACGCGCGTACTGCTAGAGGCGACCATAATTACAATAAGATCGCCCCTAGAGGTACAGAAGGGAGATAGAAACGCGCGTACTGCTAGAGGCGACCATAATTACAATAAGATCGCCCCTAGAGGTACAGAAGGGAGATAGAAACGCGCGTACCGCTAGAGGCGACCATAATTACAATAAGATCGCCCCTAGAGATACAGAATGGCGATAGAAACGCGCGTACCGCTAGAGGCGACTATAAATACGATAAGATCGCCCCTAGAGATACAGAATGGCGATAGAAACGCGCGTACCTCTGGAGCGACCAAGAAACGCGCGTACCGCTAGAGGCGTCCATAATTACAATAAGATCGCCCCTAGAGATACAGAATGGCGATAGAAACGCGCGTACCGCTAGAGGCGACTATAAATACGATAAGATCGCCCCTAGAGGTACAGAATGGAGATAGAAACGCGCGTACCTCTGGGGCGACCATAAATAGATAATTTAAAAAAAGAAATAAAAAATCTCAATATTAAAAAACAAAAGAAATACAAAATCTCAATATTAAATCCAGGGATGACCTTTTCGCAGTGGATCGTGTAATTTGCTTTCCAATGAGACAACGCAACATATAAAAAAATAAGAAACAGATGACTGTGATGTATTGTATAATAGTTGTCTTTTGCTTGTTGTGTAGAGAGCCCTCTATATAGTGATTGGGTTCGTTTCTGGGTAATCCCGGGCCTGTCTTTTTATATACATGTTAATGTCTGTTTTATTGTTTGCCCGATAATGAAAAAAAAACCAAATAAATAAATAAAGAATTAAATAAAAAGTGTTTAACTCCGAATAAGAAGCGCCTGCTCCTACTAATAGGCATATGGGAAAAAAGAACATTTTTGGAAAACAAATAAACTGCAGAGCTAAAGAAAAATATTCTTAAAGAAAAACACAATTTATTTTTTAGCTAGGGCCAAATCTTTTAAAGTTAAATTCCAGCAGAGCACAGACACACTAACTTAACGGTGGTAAAAAAAACATACAGCATAATTATTATGGGTATATGTATAAAAAAATTTAAAAAAAAATTAAAAAGGAAGGAGATGCTATATAGGAGTTCATTAAATGGACGTTTCATGGTAGATAAGCCCCATTTGGATTCCTTCTGTTAACTGAGGATGGATCGTCAAATAAGATGGTGGAGGGGCTGTGGCTACGGCTTGCTGACCTGGTAGGATTCCATTTGGATACTCAGCTGTTGTCTCCATTGGCTGATTGGAACCAGTTGGCTGGTATCCAGCTCGCATACGATGCTTGTTGGAAGCTGGTCCCCATTCAGAACTTGGCCGTATGGCAAGCAGCATACCCTAGAAGTAAAATGTCAAGTTCAGTTCACAAGAAATTCTATTTGTATTTCCAAATCAGTGTTTGAACTCTGCATCGTCTCTCTATTGTTTTCAGGGGGAAACAGCCACGTCTGTAAATGGTTGTTAAGAATCCACAACATTAAGTTTTTGTAATATTTAAGAAGTTTTGAATTTTTGCATATCAACAAAGGCAACTGGTAGTAAAGATATCATCGATGTATGCATAGACAGGATTAGACTCCATTACGCAGGTGTCAGAAGATATGAGTAATGCATCTATCGATTGCCCCCCCCCCCCCCCATCCATCTCGGGCTGCCCCACCAACCAAAGATGTGGAAGACTGTCACTTTTGAAGTGACAACATCCCCACTACTGAGGCAACATTTCAGTGACAAACTCCACCATGCATGGGTGGGGTGCCCTTAACTGGCTGCCCAGCTGTCCATCTAGTGCATCAATGGTAAACACGTGTTTTGGGGTGACCCGGACATCTCCACCCTTGGGCTTAACAAATATGACCAATTAAACCCCGACATAACACGGCACGACAGTGGAGAGGGGGAGCAAAAGTGACTGACCTGAACAGTGAATCCTTTGGAGCTTCTGAGGAGATAAAAGACGGCATATCCAGGAATTGAGATGACACCAGCAATGACCATCAACCAACCCAGAGCCTCACCGCCAGGTGAGTAGACATAATCAGCATACTCCAGAGTTGTATATGTCACACAGAACGAGATGAAAATCAGCTGGGGAATAAAAAAAGACATAAACCAAGCTTTTCATATCAATCATGTATCATTTACACATTTGAACCAACTATATCTTGTTATCGTTCAAATTATGGACAAATCTGCTTTAAATGCCATGAGGTGTAAATGATGAAGGTGAAGGCGAAGGTAATTATCAGCATCAAGACTCCAACCGGTCTTAAACAGTAGGGTCTTTTAGTTTTTCAATAAATGGAAATTGTAATCTTAGAAAATCCTGCTATTAAAGACGAAAACATGGCTGCTCTGACTAACTATGAATAAACTAAGGGATAAGTGATGTAAAGCGCTTTGATCTTAAAAGTGCAATATAAGAACCCGTTATTGTTGTAATTGATCATTAAGCAATTACAGAAATGCAGGTACAATTGTTAATGAACAGAAAAATGAAGCAAATCATCACTGATCAGGAAGTGATCAGTAAGACTGATCCGAAAAACGAGGACAGTGTATACATAGTTGCAAAAAATTACTTACAAAAATGATGACCGGAGTAAGAAACATGAGACAGATCTTCCAGTATAATCCCATTCCTGATGGAACCATGACAGTCATGTCACGTACGAACCTGTTAAAACCTTCGGTGGGAACAACAACAAACATAACATTCAAATGGAACCTTCAATTGTGCTTCTGGAGAAAAGTGTGTGCACAAATTATCGACTGATTAATGACTAGAATACAAACCATAGACATAGCTGATGACGAGGCATTCAGTAAAAGCAATGATCAGAAGAGAGAATCCAGCACAGTATTCATCCATTAACGTCAACAGGTATATGCCACCCTAGGGAATGAAGACATACAGTCAGACATATAGTGATACACTACACAGCAGAACATCGTGTCAACATTACAGTGTAGTTTAGTGGAGGCTATCTGTAGTTGCACATCATATAAGTGTCTTTAAAAATATTGAAATTAGCGTAAACAAGACTAGTTTTTTTTATAACACTTTTGCCTACAATTGACTTACTCCAGTTGTCATAGGAAGTCCCAGCAGAAAGAAGACAAAGCAGAAGGAGAAAGTGATTGCTATCTTCCATCTGTAGATGTCTTTGAAGTAATACTTCAGCTCATCACAGAAGGCTGTGATGAGTGTCTCCATTGTAACAAACTGTGGCGTCAATAATAAACAAAACAAGATTATGGGTAAAATACATTTCCTGGATGTTCTCAAATGAACAATAAATAAAAACCACAATTACTTTAGATGTACATTGAAATGCTTATTATCCATGATTTTCATATGTAACAGCCAGATGTGTATTTGAAAGATTAATCACTATAGACAAGTACAAGGTTAAAACAGGTGATTATGGGGGGGGGGGGGTGTTATTGGTAAGCAACTTGAAAATGTGAGGACATACAACTAACTTATTGGTTTGTATAAAAGTTGCTAAATAGGACAGTGTAATGAATTACCTCACTGTCCAGACCCAGGGTGAATAACATGAAGAAGAATAGAATGGACCAGAACGGAGCGCCTGGCATTCTGGCTAAGGCCTCTGGGTAAGCAACAAAGGCAAGACCAGGACCTGTCATGGTATAAGGAAAGGTGACAATTAATGTTGTTTGGAATCAAAACAGAGGGCAATATTTTCCTGATATATTTGGTGGAGGTTAATTTCCTGGGTTGAATTAAAGGCGTCATTCTAAAGCAATTGGTGATGGATATTTATTCAAATACCAATATAGGCAAACAACAATTTCAAACTTCTCATGAAACTTCTCATGAAATATAATTGATAAAAAAAGATGTTATGAATAAAACAGGGATTTCAAGTTTGAGTGACACCTTGGTGAAAAATAAATGGATTTAAAAATAACTTGAAAATAGCAACTGTGGTCACACAAGACAAAAAAAGACAAGAGAATGACAAAGATCCCATTATGAGTAAAGTCTAAGACAAAATGACTTAGCGAAGAAAAGCATTTTTACTATACTTACCAGTATCAGCAACAACTTCAATTGGCAGACCGGAATCATGTGACATGAATCCGATCACTGAAAATATCACAAAACCTGCAAAGACGCTGGTGCCACAGTTGATGAGCGCAATGATGATGCCATCACTGAACAAGCAAATATCAAAGAAAAAATGTCCAAGTTACAATGTTCAATAGTGAACTGGTTAAAAGGAAAATTTCTAATAAAATACTGTAATGTTCTGCAATGAATTATAGGGACATGGTTTGGGATGTTAAAATTTGTTGTGACCATCGTTTCGATTTCAATTTAATCTCTGAGACAGAACCAGTAAAACATATCATACCGTTTGAAGTTGTTGTCAAATTTATTGTAGCTGGCAAGTGTGTGAAGACCTCCCCATGCTGGGCCAAGGGAATAGAAGATTTGAACAGCAGCATCCTTCCAGACCTGTCAGAAAGACAAAAACAAAGATTGTCAGATATAAGACAGGTAGATTTAAGACAGGTGGATGTGATTGGCTGTGGGATCTTTCCATTTATAAGATGATTTCTGCACATACCTTGGCATTCAGGATTTTGTTAAACTCTGGCTTGATGTAGAAAGTCACTCCTTTCAGAGATCCTGGCAGAGTTGCTCCACGGATCAGTAAAATGAAGAGAACCACGTAAGGGAAAGTAGCTGTGAAATACACGACCTGATTTTATAAAAGTAAGACTAGTTTAGTATTACCAACCGACATTCCGTTAATGATATATACAAGATAACTGTAAACAAATTCTTTGAAACTTCACTCTTTCGTCAAATATTTGCTCAACAATCAATTTTAATTTTGTTTGTAGTATCAATTAGCATTGTGTAAACATTCTCTCTTCCACACAAGTATTTTTTCAGCCTGAAATCACCTTGCCAGACGACTTGACACCTTTAATGATACACAAGAAGACAACAGTCCAGGCTAAGAGAAGACAAAGAGCCAACTGCCAGCGTACGGGACCCATATGCTCCAGACCGTCACTCCGTCCAAGACACTGGTAGCTGATAGGTAGGAAACACAGAAAAATAGTATTACATATGAGATGAACAATTATGGATATGGGCATATTCTACAAAGCTCGACAGATTCCAACAACTTGTCACTGAGAGCTTGTGAATTTAAGTCATTTTTTGCATGGATTTTATCTTTAGATTTTCACTGGATCTGTCCTTCATATCTCAAGTATATCTGCCTGGTCCTTCAAGAAAAATTATCAAAACATTCACATTAAGTCGTCACAAGTTGATGGTTCATCCGATCTTTTAACCTTCTCCTTCCAAACTATGTTTAGAAATGTGTCTGTTGGCTTCCCACATGGGTATAATGTAAGACATGCAAAACATCAAGACTTTTTCACACAATTTGGCTTACTCCCAATACTCGAGTGATGGCCGAGTTGATGTGTTGAGATATTCAGTCATATTTGTTCCATTAGCTTTACTGACTGTGCAGTTGGGTGTGTTCCATGTTCGGTTGCAATCACTCCATGGCAGAACGCTCGTGAAGGAGGAGAAGAAATAGAAGACCGTATATGTGATGACCACGTTGTAGTAGATAGCCACCATGGCAGATAAGATACACATGGAGTACCCTAACCCTATAAACATTAGGAACAAATCAATACAATTCAATTAACTGATATTTGATGAGCTGAATAATTTAATTTCTTTTAGAATGAGTCATTTTAATGTTAATGTTTGACCATAAAATATTATTTGATGCAGAATATAAACGACGAAACTCAAAATAAGAAACGTTTTTCTTGTCATGGAACAGTTTGCTTCAAATTGCCAACATTTCTTACAAATTGTTGTTCAATAATGTATTGCAAGGAATGAGAATCAAATTTCACCCATAGTGACCCATGCATGGTTATTATCTGTTGATAGACCAAAAAGTTTTATTCTCAGACAGTAAAATAAAAAAAATCTGCCTCAGTTATACCCATAACTGTTTGGGGTTTAATCAGTTCAGTAAACATAAGAAAATAGTTCAGTTCTTTGAATTGATGCATTAAACAATGCAGTTATGCACACACAGTCAAGAATGATGAGATTTCTGTTTGTGTTACGATATGTATGATGACGATATTCATGTTATGATAGCTTGGCGATGGTTCGATACTTTCTATGTACCTCCCAGATCATGTACATTTACTTATGTTCCTGAATTGTGTTCTTTATAATACGTTTATAAGCAGTAAAACTTCTAACCCTAACCCCCACTTGCTCTAGCTCTTCGATTAATACTACGCATATGCAGACACTTTTCGACCTTCGACCCTTGATGTGCTACGGCTGCTTTCAAAATCCCAAGGTGGTTCATAAAATAAGTGCAAATCGAAAGTGTTGCAAACGCATCACTCGTGGCGAAGGGTGATATTTAAAAAAAAAAAAAAAAAAAAAAAAAAACAGTGTATAATTGTGTTTTCTTTAAAAGATGATAAAAGCAGACTACTACAGAACTAACAGTGGTGAAGTCGATTCAACAACCGCTAAAAACTATGCCACGGGCATCTATAATAATTCTTTACAATTTCATTTCATGCTATTATTGTTATGGAAATCATGCGTGATGGTTCAGCTCCCATGTAGGTGAGCTTGTTTTGTTAAAGCCCTCCCACACGACACGGATGTACTTTATGAATTCCATGCACCTTATGCATGATTAATGATATGAAAATTCAATCAAAACAGGCATTGACATTATTTCCTCGCTTTTATGTTTAACCATGGCGGTCAAGGACTAAACGTCTTTTTCTGGATTCAGGCCTATATACTTGTACAGATTTTTCACTTGATTTTGGTAGGCTATGTAGGCAAATTTAGGTTTCCGAGATGAGCGCTTAATACAAAGTTTATACTACAAAGTCCTTGTCAGGTTTTTCCCATAGACCTAGAAAAAATCAAATAATTTTCCAAATGAAAAAGTTTTGGAATTGTACGAATACCTTTGAATAAGGGCGAGATGGTCCAGACGGAGATACAGCCTCTACTAGCGAACTGGCCAAAACCCAACTCCGTCACGAACATCGGTAGTCCGGCAGCGAATAACATGAAGACATACGGTACCAGGAAAGCACCTGCAAAGCATCAAAGATGGAGAAATTAATCACAAACGGCTTCACATTAATGTTGTGATAAAGATACAAACTCTCACCACCAATTGTTTTCAGAACCACTACTTTCAAACTAAAGCGATATTTTTCCATGGTGTATCTGCAAGTTAATGCAAAGCTTCAAATAACACTAATCGCAAAGATAGGGTGTTTAAAAGCATACAGGGTGAGTAAAAAACCGGAACCGAAACCCCCAAAATTAGATTTCATATTAAAAAAAAATGTATAGCACCAAAAATAATAATGACTGGAAAGCCAATTTCATAGGCTACTTTTAGATGAAAATAATTACTGAAATTGCCATATACGTTCAAAGAATATTACCATTTAAACACAATGGCTCTAAAACCTCTTTCGTCCAAAAAATGCGATTTCAAGAATCGTCGTCACAATTGTCTTCAAACATCACTAGCGATAAAAACCTCAGTTTAAAAGTAAAAAATATTCAACAAAGTCCTTTAGAAGGCCCGTCTTTTAAAAAAGTGGATTTTATAAATCATTTCGTTTGCCCACCAGGATTGATAATAAAGACATTGTGTACTACAGTTGTTGACAGCTGTTGAAACATCTATTCTATGTCTTTTTCTTTGTTGTTCCTAACAGTCAGAATACACAAGAAATTGGGGTTTTTTTGGACGAAAGAGGTTTTAGGGTCATTGCGTCTAAATGGTGATATTCTTTGAAAGGATTGAGCAATTTCAGTAATTTTTGCATCGAAAAGTAGCTTATGAAATTGGCTTTCCAGTCATTATTATTATTTTTGGTGCGATATATATTTTTTAATATGGAATATAATTTGGGGGTTTGGGTTCCGGGTTTTTTTTTACTCACCCTGTATAAATTAGTTTTTTGGCTTATCGAAAGTTCATTAAATAAAAAAATTTCAAATAATTCACAAAGGGAAACTAGGTGCATGATAATTATTTTAAAGATGAACAAAGTAATTGACTGGTTTATGGCTTCCGACTAGCGCCCTTGAACAAAGACATGACAAAATGGGGACCCGCCAACATATAAGGCTGGATAGGTAGTTGCACAGTTGCACTAGTTGCACAGGGACGGCAATCCGGAGGTCGCAGTTTCAAACCCCGCTCCAGTCAATTTCTTTATAATAAATTTTAAAAATTACTACCTGCTATGTTTACATAAGAAATTCTTACCTCCACCGTTGATATAACACAGGTAAGGAAACCTCCACACGTTACCCAAACCCACGGCATATCCAACAGACGACAGCATAAAGTCAAACTTGCCCCCCCATCCACCCCGCTCATCATCTTTTGAGGTATCTACTGGGTCCGAGTCCTGGGGAGGGGGTGGCGCATTAGAGGTGGTTGATGACTTCCTCAATGGGGAGAATTTTGTCATGTTAACGGCACGGCCTGTGATCTGATGTAAACAAGAATATTGCATACAAGGTATACAACTTAATTCGTTGACCACCCAAATAAACTTTACGTCTGCTTTGTGAGTGAGGCTTTGGCTTATACATGACATTGTATGTCTAACCGAGCTGCTATAATATGTGATAATCCACTTATATCTTGTATAGTTATACATCGTTTATGATGTAATAACTTGACCTATTCTGTCAGGCTTCATGCTGCAAAACTTATTAAAATGTGCACTATCCCACATGGTACACATCTTAATTGTACTCTTCGCCGAAAGCGTCAGAATTGCTAATACAATTTACATTTAAAACACATTGATATTAATTCATACATTAAAAGGGGGAAAATTAAAGGACAAGAACTGGATAGTAATGCTCTGATCGTCTTCCTGAAGACGATCAGAGCATACTGATCGGAACGTGGAGGGGGTAATTTTTGGATCTATGCTGTAGATTAATTCACAACAAACACTTTAATGTTATCACCATTCACCACCATTGATGTATTAAGCCATAACACCTACCGTGAAAAGTTTCTTGCGGATGCCATGGAGTTCCTCCTTTCCATCCTTGGTTGCCATGGTTCCACTCGCATCTGAAGTCTTTAAGAAGATTTGAAAAAAGTACTCCTATATTAAGTTTATGGTTCTTATAATATCTGCTCCCAAGCAGTAAACGTTGAAAAGCAACCAGCGGTTATACAGCAACGAGGGGTTCCCAAAAAAATACGGATCATGGATTGAATTATATACAAGCACAAGTTCAGGTTGAAAACTAAGCCACCGGTGTGCCAAACAAAAATGTCTTGCACCTTACCCGACTGAAAGTTGCTAACTGTTAGGTCATGTTGAACTGTTGTCGTGTTGGTCATGTTGAACTGTTGATGTATTCAAAAGCAGGACAATTAAGCCTGCTCGAAATCTGCTTCGATATTACAAATGAATAACTAAGTTAAGTATTATGTTAGATCATTAGATCTTACCTTGTAAGTCGACAGATGGTAAGTTGACAGATGGTATATGAAGGATAGTGTCGTTCTGTCGCTATATAGCAACCAATAACGAATACCTGTGTGCAGTCGGTGAGGTATACTGTAATTTTCCTACGTCTGAATCAGTCAGTATACCTCACCACAATAGCCTGAACTCATTCGTCCTTGAATAAATTGTATGGACCTTTGTCAGTGAACGCTACCTGAACTATTTTGAATAAGCCCGTCGTAAAGAACCAAGAACCAGGTATTCACATGCAAAATGTGGGCAAATAATAAACCAACTATACTTTGGTAGATGGTTTGTCGCTATTCTTACATGCCGTGTGCTTACGCATATCAAACTTTGAAAGCGCCTGTACAATTTGTAAAAGTGATGGTATTCAAACGCCACCCGGCTTTTCAAATAGGTCATTTGGAGGTCACCCCTCAATATCCATATAAAACACACCGATTCCAAGTCAATTGAGTTCATGGCTTCTGTTTAAATAAATTATGAAGGAAATTCGAAAAGAATTTTCACTGTTATATGCAGGGAATACATCTGTGTATTTTTTTAGGGGAGGGATTTTTGTATTTATCCTACTGGGTTTTTTTTATAAAAATTTCTTTTTCTCAAAATATTAAAAACAGGAAGACAACATTGCTTAGTAATTGTAAATGAACGCAACAAGTCAGATAGACATTTAATGCCACTTGATGGTTGTAAAAACTAGTTAGTGAATGACTAATTTTAAAAACAGTTAATCAAACATAAAGGAACATGCAAAGAAAACTAATGAGTGGGAACAAGTTAACCAGTGAACGCCCTGACATCATTTTCAGTAATGTCACAAATGAAGATCAAACGCAGTTTATTCGGGATTATGGGTACCTCAAGAAATGTTGGGTTCCCGGATGTGGTTGCTTGCGATTATGTCACACGCTGAAATCGTAAATGGCTGGCGTTCATTGGTGAAAACTTTTCCTGGGAATGTTCAATGAATCCATCAAACAGTTTTAGATTGTATTCTGAATTGTTAACAAGGTTGTGTTATATACGTTGTAAGTTAAAGCCCAAACATAAAGAAGTAGTAATCTGACGTTAATAATTAATGTGTGTGTATTAATTTGTAGTAGTAGTAGTATTATTACTAAACTTCAACTATTAAATTGATTTCAATTAATTGTGCACGATGAACTAAGTATCTTGCTATCTTATAATCTCAAAATCCAAACCTATATGCATGCATCTAATATGGGCCAAGCAAACATCATATCTTTTAGCCTTCTGAAAAATTACAAACATTTTCTAACATCTGAACTAAAGCACTACACGTTATTTATATAAACACATTAGATCAATTAAAATCATGAATATTTTGTCAAGATATTTACAAAGTGTCACGCTTTAGTCCTTACCTCTCAAATAAAAACAAATAGATGATTTACTTAGTCGATATAATCAAACAAAAGTTGACAGAAATAATTTGAAACGAAGCATGTTCTTTACAAATTGGTAAGTTAGTTTTGATTAAATTGGTCTCATATGCACTATTCGTCTCCAACGCATTCCAATCTCCATGATTCGGCATATTTCTGGATTCAGTTTGTAAATGTGACGTCATTTCAACTTACACTACACCAACTGAACACGGAGTAGAATAGGAAGTTTTTCACGAATCGGCCATATTGAAGTGAAAGCGATGTAAAATCTTAATTGTTTGAACGTGCGAATATAAAAATGAAAACAATGAAATAAAGTTAATTACAAACTAATACCAAGCACTCTGATTAATAATTTAAAATTTGTAACTAAACATACCCTAATGTTTTAAGCGACATTAAAAAAAGAAAAGTAAGGCTTGGAACGCATATAATTATAGTCTGGCACCATCCCATTCAAAAAATAGAATCCACTCATGGAACACCATCAAAGATGGCTTCCTCGTGAATACGGTCTATTGATCATGGCCGGCCAATGCTAGACCCCTGCTGCTAGACCCCCAGCAGAGCTGGACGTTTCAAAAAGAACAGCAGGTGGATCTCTTACGCAACAGCCACGTGATCACTGGCTGATTTGAATACAGACAATACAGAATAACCAGCTGATATATTTTCTCGCCTTTATTTGATACAAAAAATTCCGTAAAGTCTGGGAATGCACAGATCATTCCGTTGTATGTCTATTGTATCGACACAAAATTATAATTAAAGCAAAGTTGGCAGTTAAAAAAAAATAAAGTTACTTTGAATACGTCTGGTGCGACCATTAATCCTGGACTCTAAAAAGTGAGATTTCTCGTAATTTTCACGGAAAACTCAGCATGGCAGGGATATGTTTCCAAAATAAAATGAAACTGGTTTACCCCATTTTGGTTTTAATGCCCCCAAAAAGGACAGTCGGTCTCTGGTCAGACCAAAGTTCCGGAATTGGTGCGGAGACGCGGTTTTTTTTTCAAGCTTGGATTGTACAGACAAGGTGGGTACTATTTTGCTTTTTTGTGTCCTCATATACATTGGTGTCCTCCATCATTTGCCTTGGTGCTCTCCATCATTTGCTTTTGTGCCATTTACCCATTCCTTGGCATAAACTTTCGAGGACGTGCGGCAATAGAGATCGCTGTTACCGCGGAAAATTTGGGGGGGGGGAAATAAGATTGACGCGCATGATTAAAATCGACGCGCGCACTGACCAGAGACCGACTTTTTTATATTTTGGCCTAATACTGTTTTTTTTCCCCCAAAGACCACAAAGTGAATGCACAATCACGTTACATCATGGTATCCAATAAAATGCAACACATAACTAGACAGTTAAGAATAAGATACTGAATACCTGAATGTTCTATTTACTTTCTATTAAGAGTTAATATTATCTGTATTACCTTAATTTGAATATACTGTGCAACTTTCTATTGCACTTTTGTGAACAAAACCTTTTTATTCCGTTTAGGCCTAAGTCAAAATCAAATAATCGTTGACAGAATATCTTTATATATATATAGACATCGCATTTAAATATTGTTGAGATATACATGGTGCAACATATATCCATATCTACCCACATCTAGCAAAGTCACTCTCATGATACACCTTTTATGTCATGTAGTCAATGGTTACGCTTAACATGCATGTCTAACGGCAGTATAATACATCGACACAATATTACTGTTTGTGATATGTACATGTACATGTAATAACTACTTTACATTCACACAGCACATGATAATATGACAACATATTTGGGGTTTTTTATCTAACAGTTTCTGAATACCAGGCCGATCTTTAGGATTCTAATCATACCAGCGACAGATGAGAGAGAAAATTGACCTGCCCTCTGGCTATAGGAGTGAGATGCATGCTAATTCTTATTACAGGAAGATTTATTTACATTACGGGATTTGAACCATTGCTGCCAATGAATTATTGATCCACACTTCATAAAATCCCTCTTATTTACAACCTTCATAGCTCAAGAACGAATGTGAGTTTGACTAATGTTAATTTTCCTTCTTCGTTTGAAGATGTTGTGTTTCTGGCAGTATTCGATGACTCCTATGGCCAAGAAGTCCACGAACTCCAAGAATGTAATCAAGCTAGCGCCTACCATCAGGCCCATGTAGCCCCCAATGTCACCTGCAGGCCAGAGGTTAAAAATCAAATTAGTAAAACAAACTTGTCCTTGTTTACATTGGCTTTTGCTTCTCATCAAAGTATTTTAAAACAACAGTTCTCAGGCTGCTATCAGTGCTAGATTGGAGCTTATGAAAATGAATTCACGAGACTGTTAGGAAAAGGGACTCGAACCAAGAAAGTTTGAATTATCGCATGTTACAGGAAAATGTTACTACGGTGTTAGCTATAAAGGTGGTTCAGGAAATTATGGTTGAGCGGGGAAACGTTTCATATATACTCTGAAGTACAACTGACATTCTTTAATCGTTATAAGGGTCATCCAAATCATCATTTTTAACACTTTTAACTAGTGTACTAGGTTTGAATTATATAGCCTGTAGAAATGACTCTGTTAAATTGGGCGAACTCACTCAACAAATCAGTGAACGGATAGGCGGCAACCTGCCGGATTTCTTCGTAGTTCAGTTCCTCGAAAAATATAACCACATCGATTATATTTTTCCTGTAACACAGGTGGAAAATGGTATTGACATGAAATTTGTACATGTACCATCATAACGGAAATTCAATCTTACTTGGAAATTGTACTTTCACAATTGAAGCTTCCGTTTCCTCGACTAAGGGGTTAAAAATCACTTAGAAAAAATTAATTTACATTGCGTGAATATTAAATCCATTGTTAATATGTATATATACTTGTAATTATCTACAGTATAAGCCTGACTACACATGTATCATGCATTGCTTTCTATGTTAGGTCGGGACAAGGGCGAATCCACAATTTGTTTCTTCTAGATGCTCTGTGGTGCGATCTGAGGCAATTTCTGACCACTTTAATTAACCAATTGTTTGTTTAGGAAAAGATGGTGGTGTACGCAGTGCCTGCCTTTATTGCGAAGTCACCTCTGTTTCGGTTATGACTAATCTAGTTGACATTTGCAAACTATACTACCAAAAAAACCAGGTTGAAACACAAATCATTCAAGCAACAAAGGTTCTTTAAAGCGTAATTCGTCGATCGTACCACGATCTGACCTATCTGAATTGTTGACGAATTTTGGTTTTTAGCATATTCTGGTTATGCATGATGAAATCTTTATTTTCTGAAAATTTCAAATTCATATGTGGCCTAATTAGCTAATTAAGCTGATTCAGCTAGTTAAAAATGTTGACCTATCGCTACAAAATGCAAAATTATCATTTCACAAACTGACGCATCGAGATAGGTCACTTCGTGAAACGCGTAAACAACGCTGTCAGTTTTCCACGAAGTGACTTATAGAGTCTGATACCTGGACTTAATGTGGTCCCTATCACTTTCTTATGAAAATGAGTTACTATATAGGGGCCAGTATTTAGCGTTATCAGAAACAATGGCGGCGTACACATGTCGTTTGATGGCTGAACGAAACTAGCAAGTTTCAACAGAGTTTCTAATTCCGTAAACGTCTGTAAGTATATTCCTCCGGGTTTTGCAAAATGTTCGTGTTGGGTTTTGTCTGAATACATGTTTTGCAGAGACTCGTTTGTATGATAGCACAGCGCTAATTAGCCTATTGGCGTACTGTATAGTGTAGATGGTAGTGGGTAGTCATAATCAGTCAGAATAACACTTGAGTGGGGTTCGATTCCGAACTAATGCTTTTTAATGACATCTCGGTTGATATTTACGCTGATTCACTGACTGTCCTTTCGGGAAAATATTTATTAAATAAAAGGGCCAAACTAAGGTTCCTTTTTTAATATTATGATTCGTAATTGGTTTGGTTTGTTTGTGTTACAGAATGTGGATGTCTCAGTGGTTAATTGCAGCCAAAAGTTTATACAGAGCACCATTCGTCTATATAATTGCATGAAGTTTTGAAAACGCTTCGTTAAAAGGAAAGTGATCGATTCCTGGAGCATGAATGTAAGCAATTTTTTGAACATAAAGATTATTATTTAACCTTTCATACTTTTGCTGCTTAATATTTTGGTTTTATACTGCCCGGCTCAGATCAAAAAGAGCATTGCGTCTGTTCCTCGTTTTTATGTTTTGTGTTTCGTTTCTTTCTTTTTAAATATTGATTTAGTACTCCAGTCTTGCTACAATTCTAAAGTCAGTGCAGATAACAAAAAGAATATAAATGGGGTGAACTGCAAAAAAGTTAAATTCAGTTGCAATGATTTGTTTTAGTTAATATTGCAAAACATGTGAAAATCCAAAAAAGACACAGACTGCAAGGATAGTGACACCAGACATGAAACACATTCTAAATGATTTATCAATGATTCCCTTGTTAATAACAAACTGTAAATGTTTTATATTGATTTTCCATGTCGACTATATTAAAAGAAAAAAATCCAAATAAATGTTCATGTAGATTCAAAATTTAAATTTAATTAAAAAGTATTGATTACTGAATGTATGAACCACCTGCCACAGTAAGCCTCGGAATGTAACGGGAAAATGCTCAGCCTTAAAACAAATGGCGACTACTGATTGCCGATAAAATGTTGAGTGAATGTATTTCTATTCTTTTGTGTGTGCATTTCTCAAGATTTTCGATGTGTTGTGCTTGTAACTCCACAATCTTTGAACCAGGAATAATAGGTTTAATTAATGAGAAAGTACACTTTGAAAAATAACAAATAGAAAACAAAGATTTGAAGATTATGAGAGTGTACATGTACGCTTATCGTTCTGTTTCAGTGTAACTTGAACTTGTAAGTCGTTTTTGAACAAAATACCTGTTTTGTCCACGGATTTTATTTCCCGATTGTTTTACAGATAAGAATAGGAAAAAAAATGGAATAAAAGTACACCTTTACAATGAATTCGTTCAAGAATTATTACTAGGAGGTATACACAATGTATTCAACAAGTTTCTATGCACCCCGTACATGTATATGTTGGAATTCATTTTCTAATTTCCTTCACTATAACACTGTAGCGTTTTAATTTGTAAGAGCTAATAATCTCTAATAACAATAATATTAATATAAAAAACAACAGATTGCAGCGAACCTGCAAATGACTTAACGTGAAGAGGTCCGCACGCGCGCATGCGCATATGACATAAGTCACTATCAGCCACAGAGAAATCGAAATTGTTCGTTTCACGAAGTGACCTATCTGGATAGGTCGCCGTTCGCGCGCATGAAAAATGAAAATTAAATTTTCACGAAGTGACCTATCTAGATAGGTCGCCGTTCGCGAGCATGAAATATGAAAATGAAATTTTCACGAAGTGACTTATGGATTTGACGCCTATTATTCACCTGGTAATGATGAGTTTTTGCCTAAGAAAACAATTAAAAATCATAATTCAACTATCCAACTTTATTATATATAAAAACTGAGTCAATAAAATTAGTGTTCTGGGTGAAAGAATGGATGCAAAATAGGCCCAACTTCAAACGCGTTTTTCTCGAAATGGCAAAAACTGAGATTGGTCAGATCGTGGTACGATCGACGAATTTTTATTTTAAGCCATATAGGCCTGACTCGGATATTGAGTTAAAAACCAAACAAACAAACAAACCAAAGTGATATTCGCCATCTTGTGTTAGACTGTTGCAATATAACAAATGAGATGAGACACTTACTTGTATTCTAGCGCTCTTAGCTGTATTAAAGAAACAGTGTGGAGTTTTATGGAAATCTGGCATGTACAAGACCGTACATGTACAAGACCTTAAACAAGAACTAAGGATTTCTCGGGTATGGTGCTTTCCATACAAAAATCACTCACATTAACACTGAAGCAATGCATGTCATCTAGCTCTACACATGATGCAAAGAAACACTAAAGCATGGTGGGTATATGGCGAGCAGGAAAACAATGACTTTATACATGCAAATAATTACATGCAAATCAGTTTGAACAATTAATCTACATGTAATTAAATGTACAGAGCTCAGATTATTTTAAAGACAGCAGAAATATTTTTGATGATGACATTTGGAGTTTCCTGAATCAAAAAAAAAGTATTAATATCAAAATACGAAAGAAAAACAATATAATTTGAATATTACTTTCAGCTTAAGTGTCTCTTTGAACGAATTATGCATTGCTAAAGTGTATCAGTAGTCGGTCGAACTTGGCTCCTCATAACGTGAAAGTGTACGTTTTTCATCAAAGCATTACAAGTTGCAAGCGCCCATCACTGAAGGGATATTTGGGGTGGGGTTGACAGTTGTCCATCTATGGAGCTATTTAATCAGTCCTATATAGTCACAGCATAGAATACTTTTTTTTCTTGATTTGATATTTATGAATTAGCCTACTTACGCGCACTAGGGTGTAGGATTATGGTCTAAATGATATTGCACTGCATGGCACAAGCTGTGGTTTATATCATCGGACTTACAGAGCGCAACATGTGAAGGCAGTGTTAGAGACTATCATTTGAATTAGGACCGACAGATGTTATAGCCTAGGACCGATTGAATGAAGCCAAGTTCGACACTTAGAAAGCACCGTACCTGAGAAAGCTTTCGCTACTGTTAAAGGCATCTTGTAAGGCCTTAGTGATGTGTTCAGCTGGCCAGAAAACCTCCGAGATTCTGGGAGAAAATACTTCACGAAAACACGGTACACTGCAGTTACATCGAGCATCTAAGTCAGCAAAGAAGGCCCCTGCAATATCAAGTCACAACAAAGAGTCTGTATGATTGGCTCAATCTGTGGAGGGGCTTCATGTTTCTTAGTCTGGGACAACCAATAAAAATGTCCAATATATCTCGGAATAACAAATCACAGCAAATAGGTTGTATGATGTGACAGGGCTTTGTTCAATTCAATTCAATTTAAAAAAAAAAAATTTACCAACAGATAACGTTTGGAATTGTGTATCATGGATGGAGGTCTCCAAAAAAAAGCATGAGCTTGTCGAGTGGAGACCCACAAGAACTATTACAATTGCAAGGACAACAACATACGTTAAATAACAACATAAAAGTTAATCAGTAGAGCTGATACGAATTAAAATCATGATTATTAGTGTTACAACGGGAGATAATGCGTTGTTTATTAGTCTAGAATTTAACCAATAAAAATTTCCAACACATTCCAAAATAACAAATCCCAACAAACAGTCTGTATGATTGGCTCAATCTGTGACGAGGCTTTGTACGTATTAGTCTATGGGATGACCAATAGAAGTGTTCAACACTCAAGTCTATAGTTTGAAATCGTTCAATGTCTGGGTGCTTTGCGTCATTTTTTTCACAATTCAGAGGGCACCCTTTATGATAGTGGGTAATGCCTCCTTTCATTACATATATTCTGTAATATTTAATGTGATTCTCAGAACAAAATATCAGATCTTAGTAAGCAGAAAGACCAATTTCACCAGTCAATTAATGGTGCTCGTTTATGAGAGTTTGTTTGATCAGCCGCTGAACTGAAAGTAGTCATGAATGAAGGTAATATTGCGTTATTGACGCGTTGCCACGCGCAGTACAAGTTATCGTCATCACTCAACAATATATCATTCTTGTAAAATGAAAACTACGAGTTCTTATTGTCTCCATGGAGGAAATGAGATGGAACACCCCAGGTGTTGGCGGTTCCGTCATATAAAGATGAAATTTATTCCGGTTCAAGGTTCTGAAAAATATGCCAATATATTCGGACAGATATTGTGCTGTATTTGCACATTGTTTTTAAAACCAGGTAAATAATCAAACAAAATTCAACATAATCGGTAATTTGATATAGTGAAAACTTATTGTTTGCAAAATTGTTCACGATATTATTTTCAGAGGGGGGGGGGGGACGGGGGTTGTATACCCAAATTGCTTCGAATAACGAAGGTGGACATTAGTTTAAATTGCTAGAGTAGTATCGCTAGAATGAGGGTGGAGATAATTGTTGTTAGTTTGTCTGGGTGGGTTGGAGCGGGAGTCACGATAATATGAAAAGGATGAGACACAAAATTGGGGAGAAATTTAAATATAACAGGTTAAAAATTTGCAAACAATTGAAAGGGAAAACTCACACTTACGCATGGCTGGTTGAACACATTGTATTATCTCACCATAGGTACAAAATCTTAACTGACCCATGTCTGAAAGAAAATGCAGAAACAAGAATGCAAACATGTCTTTACAAATCGTATAAAAACTCCTTCAACATGATTTTACACATTTTATCATGAGCTCCGCCAATGTTAGTGTGTATAACCGGGTATAGAAAAAATATGAATATGTGTATGTGTAATTCTTAAGAAAGTTTGAAGAACATTTCTTCAGATTATCTATCTAACCTGGTCCGGCTGGTAGCTCACTTGTTCTGCAGCCGCAGTTGGCCAAAATGTACTCGGTCCTACATAACGCCTGACATGTTTCCACCGTGTACTTGAAGCCATGAATGTCTTCCGATACAACGCAGTGTGTGACATAGGGTGTCTCCTTGTTCACCAACTACACGCGGAAATACAAAGTAATAGAAAAAAAAGCTCAATGAAAAATGACAGAATAGAAGCCACTTTTTTAAATCAAATTTTAATGGTTGCGAAATCTGAACAGCGCACTCAACGTCTTGGAATTGTCATTAGCGCGATGATACACTTTCATGCATACATCGTTCTTTTCCTTGTCAAAAAAGGAAATCAATGAAAACACAAACAAATCAAAATGGGTTGAATAGTAATTGTCTTACCTGAGTAAATTTAAGAGTGACGAGTGTTTCAAATCCTGGTGAGATAGCAAATCCTAGCTGCTTCACGAAGGGAAACTCTCCTTGCTTATGAAGCATGACCTGAAATTACAGTCAAACAGGTTAATCAAAAAAAAAATTATGATAATAACACAATGAAATTGACGGTTGCGCCATGTAACAAACCTCTTTTGTGAGTTTAAGAGGTTCTTAAAAGAACCGGGGAAACTCACCGTTTCGGACAGTAAACTACGCTCGTCGTCAGGAGACATTAACAACAAAAAATTAAAAACAAAACGAATGGTGGCCTATGAAGGATACTGAGGTATGGCTGCTTTTTCAAAACTGAAATAAATTTGTGCGTAAATCTAAAATCGTTTTCGAAAAGTAAAGAAAAAGAAATCGTTAGTGGTTGCTAGGTTGGGAATCGAACCCTTGCCTATACATTTAAGTACATCATGGAAAACCTTTCAGCATGGACTGATGATCATTACCTTGAATCCAGCTCCCTTGCTGAAGCCATAGAAGTAATCATACTGCTCCAGATTCAATCGTAGATACAAGCCACTGTCATAACCAGTCTGTTGGACTTTCAGTGCATCCTCTGGATTCTTTGGATCATTAAAGGTGTAGCATATTCCAAAGTCAGTCAGAACCTGCGTGAAATTATCGGCTGTACAGTTAATGGTCGATCGCCAGCTACATTCAATCACCATGTCTTCCTTCTGGTGTGCCCCTTTAATCAAGTCGTCTGTGATATTCCAATCTTTCAAAGCTGTGAAGTTGATGGAGCTCTGACCATTACTTGGTCCGAAGACCTTAAAGGCGTCCAGCACGTCTTCATCAAAGGCTTTCTCGGAGTAAGATTTCCTGAGCAGGTTGTAGTTACAGATCGTCACGGCTGGGAAGGTGAGATCGTTCACGTATTTCACGGTCACGATGCTTGTCACGTTATAGTTGAAGTAACGAACTGTGTTGTCAACAACAACGAAGATGAGAACTCCCATGAAGAATAGTAAAACGATGGCCCATATAATTCTGTGGAGAAATCATAATGCATGTAATACCGTTTCTCAAACCTCTGTTTCACCTCCGTCTCGACTGCATTGCCAAAATGCATGTCTAAAGCCGGAAACAGCTGTAAAGCCGGGGTGTGATAAACGTTCCTACGGTAATTTATGATCTACATTTATAATAATAATTAAACGAAAAATATACCATTAGGGAGACATTCCAATAGACTTGTGCACACATTTTTTTGTGACTTTCCTGACCCCTTATACCCCAATTTTACCTTATCCTACCCCACGACGAATTTTGATATTTTTGCTAAGTGGACCACAAGCAATCGATCTGGCCTATTTGCAACATTAAAATTTTGTTTGTAAATAGGAGCTGAGGCATTAGGGAGACATTGAAATATTTCTCTAATTCCACATGTCTCCCAAATGGTAAAATTTACGATAGTAATTTACGGCAATAGCGCGCCGGTATCCGCCAAACATTACCCTCATGGCGCAATTTAATTAGAACAAATCAGAAAAAATCAAAACAATTAAATATAACCTGACTAAACAAAACTATTGTGGGCATTCGGGAACAAGTAGGTTTTCGTCAGGGCAACTTTAAATGCAGAAACCGATGAGAGACTACAAATAGCGAGAGGCTGTTTGGTTCAAAGATGAGAACCCGCGTGAGAAAAGGATTACTGCAGGTGAGGAGGACAGATCTTCACATCTGTCCTGAATTCTCCAATTTGAATATATATTATTCCACACTCCCTAAGGAGTTAGGGTTAATCAACAAAGGGGTTTTTTCAAAGGACTTCGAATCGGAAACAAACAATCTGAGCGGTTCAGATCTGACTCATGATTTTATTTTTTCAAGTTTCATCCGTCCGAAAAAAGTGCTGTGTAACTCCTTATAATAGCCTCTGACTAGTCATAATTTATCTGATGGATTATTCATCACATCAACCAAATTCAAGACGACAATTGAGATATTTTAACGCAGTGCACGTTTCTCTTTTGCTCATATCCTGCCGACAATATTACATTGTGTTAAAGTGTGAGTGAAACCATACTGAAACCTTTATTTTCAACCGGAGGTTTGCAATATTTGTGTATTTGTGTGTCGCGGTAATGGTGCATTGGCTTTCATTGTGGCAGTTGAGTTAATCTTAATAAAATTTCGTAACGCATGTTCGTCCAATTGGTCTTTCAATTTTTTTTTATTATCATTAGATTGAAATAGTTTCAATCAAACACACTTATATTATCTTGTAGACTTTTATTCGTAAACACCAATTGAACAGGCATTTGGCAATTTTGCATGATTCCATTTTTCATACTGCTGCAGACGGACTTTTCCGAGAGGAGTTAAAATATTAGTTTTGCTGAAACAAAATCAGCGAAGAGCGAAATGACACGTACCCTCAACAAATCTGATATATATGTCTCGGGCAGCAAAGTCTGAAAAGAAAAATGTTTGCAATAATATTGTTTCGATATAGTTAGGCCTGTGACATGATGAGAAAGTGACACAAATCGGCGCCTGCTGGTTATTATCGTCTTTGGTTTGTTGGTTCGTGCCCAGTCGATTGTTATCTCTTACCGGAAGAGGGCGCCAACGACGATGATTCCTAGCCAATCCAAACAGACATTATTCCTAATCGTACGAGATACGATCTCATTCTAGAAAAAAGGAGATAGCATCACGACGCGAGGAACTTAAAAAACGATGTTAGATTGGTAAATTTATCTTGGTTAAGAACGAGTAGTGGTACGGACGTGATTAAAGAATATTGACCATGTTGCTAAGATCAGTTTGTAATTAATGTAATTTTGTCACATGTTTAAGTCAAAATTGTGATAATATAAATGTGTATAGAACTCAAATTCTATAGACAGAAGATAATTTTATGGATAAAAATAACGATCATTAATTTAAGCATTTCATTAAGATTCACACCACTAACTTTACTCTCTTTCATACCGTCATGGTATATGTCAAATGTCCGATTCGGTGAAAGCCACTGATTCCCATGACAACTAATTCAATGAGGTTATGAATGCCCATTTCCATGCTATACATCGTCCCGTCAAATGAGTATATATACAGTGCTCTAGACTAGACCAAATCGCATTGTACTCAACCATTAACATCTTGATTCAATTCTAGGGCAAGATCAATTTTTAAGGTAAGCCCCTGTTTTCAGATGGATGATATTAGCATCTGCGCTTCTTTCAAGAAAAAAGGAGCACTTCCAATAATTGGTACTGGCTTCGACATTTGATTCCGTCTTATCCGATTTACTGTAATTTGATTAACGGTCGATATAAAAGGAAGGGCTAATAGCGCAACCTCGTTCCCTATTTACCTGCACCCATTTTAGAGCAGCAGATTAATGTAACTCTGTTTGAGAACGATAATGCGCAATTAATCAGGAGGTCTTTCTGTTTATTGTATGGAATTGTTGTCAACACTAAAAACAAGGGTTGATAAGTTTATGCAGGGAATTACCGTATGAGCAGAGTGGTAGATAGTGTAAACTGGTGTGATGATCGGCATTTGTGGATACATTTCTCATGTGGGACTTACAACCCACTTGGAAGTTTGAAGTTGACGGTCATTCAAATGCATGAGCAAAGCAGTAAATGGGAATTGTATGCAATGATAATGGTTCGTCTACAGATCACGGTGTTTATATTCAGCAATCTAAAATCGGATACAATGCGGTCGAGTCCCCTCCCCAAACAAATAAACAAAGAAACAAAAATCCCCCGACCCTACGCCTAAAAGACACGGCACTCCCACCGCGAACCGAAAATAAAAATTATTAATAAAGATATAAAACATGTCTAGAAACACTGATTGCGAAGCTGTAGATTTGTGTTGATGATATGTGAGAGAGACATATAAAAACCAATCAACGTGTTCATTCACGCAAGAAATCGCCTGCCCCGGTCGTTTTCTCACTTTGTAAAGTTCGACGTGTAGCCTAACCAGTTTATTGTGACGTCCATTTCCTATTAAAAAAATTATCCATTCGTTTCCATTCGTTTCATCATTTTCTGCAATGCTGTCAGTGTTTGCCTCCAATTATGGAAACAGAAAGGCACTGTGCATATTTCCGAGTAAACTGTGTCGGTAAAGGTTGGTTGTACAGCCACTCCAGTCTGTTTTCTCAGCTGATTGAGTCAGTTATACTTTACCAATCGAGAAGTCTGATTTGTCTGTCTAGTCCTCTTTCTTCGGCTCACACGATTTATTGATTAGACAAACAGACCATATGACAAAATCACTCACGCGATACGTAGAATATTAACACGCTTCAATTGAATAGCAAGTAGGAAATATACAACAAAGGAGCTCAGTGTTCTCTGTATAATTATGTTTCACTCAGTCAATAAAGTCAATAAAATTCACCTGATCAGTCGCTCCAATTGCGATATTATAAAATTCCTTTTATTTAGAAAGAGCAGCTAGCAGGCAACTAATTCGCAAATTGAAACTGAGGAATTATAATGATTTTGTCATATTTTCACATTATGTCATTCCCATCAATATGCATGATTAAAAAAAAAGACCGATAAAATAGAGGTATAACGATTCCGCAAAGACCTTAATAAGCCAGGCCCTGTTATCGCATAAAACGTACTTTAGAAGGCATTTTGCGACGCATAACAAAACACTTTGACAGCTGTTGAACAGGCAACCTTGAATTAAAAACACAAAATTCATTATTTTAATCGCACGACAGTTGTAGACCTTCGGTATCAGACAGAATTACTGGTTTCGAAAGAACACCTTGAAAAAATCTGTTTAGTTACTTTCAGCAATTTTGTGCCCGAAATCAAAATGAATATCCGCCATTGAAATCCGCGGGTCGGTAATATTAAGAGATGTGACACGTCATTCACGTTCACTTGTTGACAAACTCCTTATCTGACATCGACAAGCAATTTCAGACACTTCAACCTGTGTCGCGTGCTCCAAACCACTTGAAAACATGGGGGATCTCAATGCCCTCGAACGGGAACGCGCTTCAGCAAATCTGTACATTCAATGTTGTACAATGTATTTCAATGCAATGCCTTAAAGTAATTAAACTTAATACCAATTGATAACAATGTTTTTCCAAAAAAGAAGAAGACAATTTTACTCACGAGTGACTTTTAAAATTACAGGATCTTCTCTACAAAACACAAAAAAATTGATAATGAGAAAACTTCATTTCCAATGAATTAAAATCTGGCGAATAAATGTTAAGACTCGTACTCACAGGCTTGAGAAAAACCACTGCTTTTTTTAAGAGCTTGCAAAGGTCAGTCGACATATTAAACCAATGTAAAGTAAGGAAAGCTATATCATGATGAATGTGAAGATCTTACCTTCTGACAAGACTGTAGTTAGAGTGAGTAATGTAACGCATTCCATGCAACGTGGTCACAGTACCAAAGTCCTTCCATTTACGCTGGCTGAAAATCTGTCGGCAGTTATCTGCGTTGCTACGATCGCAATCAGTCTGCGTATGCACGGATCGTCTGCGACCATCGACATCTCCTTCCTCGTGTTTCCATCCTCTCATCCTCACCGAGTCAGTAGACGTTGATTCGTCGATTGTCTTGAGACTCTTTTCAACAGTCCACACATCCATAATGATGTTAATCTGAATGTCGAGTCGAAACGAATGGCCGTGGTTCGAATCTCAACCAAGACGCAAGAAGGTTTGATTCACTACGACGCTTAGAGACTGACTACATATAATTTTGATTCAACGTTATAGCTAAGACATAGCCTCGATGACTTGTGGTGATAGTTCCCTCCAATTTTCCAGGCAAGACAAGAGCCTTGCAATCTTATAAACGACGGTGGAGATACATCTGAGGTGAATTTGCAAGCTTCAAGATTAGTTGATGAGAACTACCTACCTCCTTTCCTCCCTCTGCACTCACCAAACGAGTTATCTGATACACTTCAAGCTGGGAATCTAACACGTGTTCCTTAAGAGCAGGTGTAATTACAACGACCAATTAACAGTGAGCATGGTAAAAGCCCTCAATCCAAGGTAATAAAAGAGGCAGTGACCTAGCATGGATGTTTGTTGAGGAGAAACCTGATTTCCACGAGCTTGTTTATCAGTGTTTGCAATCACTCACCACAATTTTGTCCAAGTCTGAAACTCGAGTAACCCAGACTTCAGAGGTCTTGAGAATCACTGGTATTCAAACAAAGATACACCATCAAGTGGAGAGGTTGCAAATGGAAAAATATATCACATCACAAGAATACAAATAGGTGCGCTTTCCTTGGGCAGATCCAATCTTACTGCACACAACCTGACATGATCTACGCCTCAACTGAAGGCACGTATTCACCTGCCTATATCGTATGATGACAAGTATCACCCGGAATTGTCGACCATGCCAGTATTATTGTTGTATCGTCGAAATACATGGTAATATTAACGATCAAAAGAGACTAGCGCCCTCTTTAAAACACACGCTTATCCTATCACTTAATAACATATCAGTAACATCAAAAGAGGGCGCACTTTTTGACACTGAGAGAAAGACGGTATATAGTGTGAATTCAGGCTCCATAAAATACGGACTCATTGGTTGCATTGCGCATGCCTAAGTAAACGTCGGACAGTGACAGGTCACATGATGTGAGGGTCTTAGACCATAAGGTAAATAGAGAAGTTCAAATTTCATGAGAGAGTCCGTCTCAATTTTCCATTGTTCGCCCCACCTCGCTCCCAAACTTGCCCGCCCCTCCGCGCTGATTCGTCAATAGACGTGATGAAGGACCACATTACGAGGTCGATCTTCCCGATTCATTGCATTATGATGACGTATTCAAGTTTGAGAAAATGGTCGACTTTTGCATGCACCGTGAACAGAAAAGTGCGCCCCCTATAGGTATTTTAACGGAAAATTGTAAGGTCTAACATAAACTTAAGGTTCACAGCCTGCGTGTTCAACTTTATATCATTAATAAAAGATTCTTCTTCAAAGTACAATGAGACGTTACCTACCTAGAACGTTTATTGATGTTTCGGGGGATTTTAGCTATATCCTACATGTATGAGATTGTCAATCACCTCAATCTGCTGTAACTTTGCGAGAGTCACTCGTTCATCACTATTTACGTTGCCATGTTTGTTCACGTTATATGCCTCTCTTTGATTTTGAAGATTGCGTACTCTGAGAAAGGTAGGCCTATATCAATACAAGTCAGTCTCTCGATGAGTCTAGTCAGCTTTATCAGGTCCTTTATTGGACAGGTAAATTGTCGGAAAATTTTCACTTGACATCTTGAATAGACAAGATATCAATGCATGGACGAGAACTGAAAATATACATGGCACAGTATGGACAACAGAGAGACAATATTTGGGAAAGACAGCCGTGAAACGATCGGCGCATTAGCGGTTATTAGCACGCCCGACGGCAGCACTCCGATGGAGGAAACTCGACAAGATGAGCACAGTCATCGTACATTCGCTAACCGGTTCCAAGATTTTGGCAACAGTACAACGTTTCATGGTCTCAGCTATGTTATCAACAACAAACACTCTGGACCCAGAAGGTAAGATAGATCTTACAATTCCAAACCTAGTGTTTTTATTGTGATTTGTCATCAGGGCCTCTCATCTAGCTTTGCTTATTAAACCAACACTTACTACGTTATTTTTTTCTTCTAAAAATTGAAAGCAGACTTTGTCAAGATACCGTGTGTACAAACAACTTCTAAAGTGTCACCAACGTGTACTATAAAACCCCAGCTAGCCCCCGTTTTCTTTTTCCAAATTATGTTTAAAGCACAAAATGGTCACTTGCTTAAAACAAAGCTTGAGTTTTATACGCTTTTGTCCCTTTCCTTTCATAGCATCTGCCTCAATATGAGGATAACAGGAGTTTTTTTGTTCAGAAGTCAACAGGTTTTCATGTTGTAAATGAACTTTTTTTATGGAATCTCGTTACCCAGTTAATTTCTTGCATGATGTATGCACTTATATCCCAATTAAACGCACGCAAGTAAGTTATAATTATTGTTATGTACATTATGTCTCATAGACATTATGCAGGAAGCATTTTTAGTGCATGTCGACTGTAGGCTACTCGAAGGTATATATGGCATTGACATAGGTAATGACATTTTATGAAGTTTGCCTATCATAGGATAAAAATGAAGGTATGTTAGAGACAGCCTTTTTAAACTCGCAAGACTGAAATAAAATCTCTGTTGCCTGAGTCTAACCAGCATATCTAAAGTGTCTAGCAATCACGCTCTAATAATGGGCCTAAAATAAGGTCTTTAATTCGGTCCATTGTATAGCTTTACATACACCATTATAAATCAAATTACATGTATTGGATTTTTCATAATGGAACCATGTTTGGTCTTCTCTGTGTTGATTATATAGACCAGTCGTGTTATAGAAAGATTTGTTTTCTAATATTTCTTTTCTTTTTGGGTTACGTTTCAGATTGCTGTGGTTTGTGATCGTAGTAGCCATGTCTACCTGGCTCATTTACAGCGTCACATTATCATTCATCACTTATTTCAACTACCCCATCACCAGTGCCATCTCCATCAACTACGTGGACAACATCACCTTCCCTGCTGTTACTCTCTGTAATTTCAACCAATTCCGCCGATCCACACTGACTGAAGAAAAGTTGAAAGTCCTGCGGGAAATCTACGAATCCAATCCCCCAGATGAAATCGATTTTACACCATTTGATGGAGAGACAAATTTTGATTTCGATGAAAATCATTTATTGGAAATCTCCCATAATCTGGATACAATGTTGATCGATTGCAAATGGAAATCTTCTCAGAAATGCACGGTTCAGAATTTCACCAGTCGATTCACCGATCATGGCGTCTGCTTTACCTTCAATGATCCTGAGGATGTCTCAGAGAGATTGCAAGTTATTAATGCTGGGAGGGATAATGGATTGTTCCTACGACTGTTTGCTGAGACTAATGAGTACGCATTCGGTGAAAATACTGCGGCTGGCTTTAGGGTAAGTGAAAGCCAACACATTGCGACCACGTCACCTGACATGTCTGCCGACAGGCAACATGCAAAACAACCAACCAATGTTACTGTACTCATATTAAACGGTACATTGTCAACACAGTTAATTAACCAACAATATTTGAAGAGATATGCAATGCAGAATCGAACAGTTTGTTAGTCGGTGCCACGTGACCATGAAATCCAATTTTGTAAACAGGTGTGACACGGACTAACCAACCCAAAATAGCCCAACACACAGACTGCTTCCAATCAGGCAACTGCAAAATAAACTTTCTATTCTCTTTCATTTAATGAGTCAGCTAAAAGTAACATGAACATGATTTTAGAGATTTACCTTTGTCTTTGTATTCTTCACAGATATTGCTCCATTCCCAAGGTCTCATGCCACTTGTTAAAGAAGTTGGAATCTCTGTGTCTCCAGGCTTCGAGTCATCTATTGCTGTCAGGAAGCATGTGGTTTGTAAAAAGACCCCAACTCCATGAACCATTGAATCCTCCCCGGTGTTCCTAAACATGCAAAGAGTCGAATTTAACAAATTAAAGTAATTTTTACGCCACTACTCATGCACACACTTTGACAAACATATTTTAAATATTACCCTCGCAATAATACCAAAACCCGATATTACCCAAAAATGTGGAAGCATTTTATTGACGTTGAATTGTTATTTTTTCAGTTCAAGAGTCTCGCTTGGCCTTACCAGTCGAACTGTACGTCGTCTCAGTTGAAGTATTCAACAATTTACTCTGTGCCGACCTGTAAATACGAATGCAAGATCAAGTTTGTCGTGGAGCGATGTGGTTGTCGTGACTACAGATGGCCAGGTAAATCAAACACCTGTTGAAGATCGTCTGATTATTATCAACAAGTGCACTGCCATTTTGAAGAAGTCGCACGATCACGTCTTAACCACAAAATCGTCGTCGCGTCGTGGGTGGCATGAGCATGGTTGCGATTATGTTGTGTCGAGATGCCGCTTGTTCCAGGATAATCGCATAATTTCTCAATTTTCTGACCTTAACATGACTTTTATGCTTGATGCCGTGGGTTCCATCGTGGTGCAAGCAGATCGCAGGTCGACCTCTCGGTTTAAAATGTTATCCCTGGATTTCTATTTGACTAACGGTTTCAGTGTGTTCGTATAATTAAACACTAATGGGTACAGTGGCGTATACAGCGGTATCCCCACGGTGGTAATTTCACTGCGTCATTAAAACCGTATTTTTAAGACGGTTTTAAGACGGTTCAAATGTCGATACAGTAAAGTCTAATAAGTTTGCCCTCCCCCAACCCATGCATAAACAGCTGGATATGCTGCTGAATCTGTACGCAATGACATTTCTCAACCGTTATAGGTACGGTGCGTTTTTGCCATCCGCGGGAGTATTTCAGCTGCATCCTCAAGTACGAAGGTGAACACAAAATATTGTTATTTCAATGATTTACATGATAGTTGGCATCAGTCGTAATCACACTATTTCCCACTTGCCGATCATGATGTACCTTTCATTGTCATTTTCTTGTCATTTTCTATTCTCTTTCAAGCTCAATACCAGTTGCAGGAGAAGCATCGTGACTGTCATTGTCCTGTGTCGTGCCTTCTGACGACATATGACAGTCATATTTCTATCGGTTACTGGCCATCCAGTGTTTGGAATCGGTCTAACCAAAGTAAAGACGTTACCTATACTAGGTAACGTATACCATTTCTGATGACTTCTCAATCGTGCCGTGTTTTATCAAGAATGATTTTATCAATCTTTGTGTTCTTGTCAACTATTACCCTTTTCAAATATTTTCGAAATTGTTGCCTATTACTTTGGTGCAGAAACACTGAACATTGGGTTTTTAACTCCAAGACGTAAACTACTTGCAAAAACATTAATTTCAAATGGATGATTTGTTCTCGTTCATAATTTTTCCAAGGAATAACTATCTGGACGTGCACATATTCTACGAAGAACTTATGTATGTGGAAATGGAGCAAAAGAGCGCGTACGATTCGTCCGCTTTGCTGAGTAAGTTTGCGAATCCTCAATATTAAACTCTTGTTTGTGTTTGTGTGTTTGCTCTGTATGGTGTTTGTGTTGATGTGTTTGTTCTTTACAGAGAGAGAGAGAGTAATATTACTTAATCACCCTCCGTTCCGCACTCCCATGAGGGATATTGCTAACATCGATCAATTCGCCTTTTCAAAGTCGAAAAGTAATTTCAACTGAAATCCTCTTTGGAAACAAATATATCTTGGCATTTGAAGTGATGGGAGGACAGTTGATATATCTGGGTACATGTTTATTTGGAATTATTATAGCTTTAACCGCATAATCAAGACTACTAATGAAAGTTCCCTGATAATTTGTGTTAACCCAAAGAGCACGAGTTCAGCTCAAAAAAATCAATTAAATAACTTAAAATATATTTTGAACGGAACAACATGTCAGAATCCAAATTCTCCAAACTATTCCTTTGTTTCTGAGTATTCATTTTAGTTTTTTGATGTTTTTGAATCGTGTCCTAGGCGGTGTAGGAGGTTACATGGGACTATTGTGTGGTATGAGTCTTATCACTGTGGCGGAATGGGCAGACTTCATTTTCATCTCACTGCTTAATAAATTCAAACCATAAAAGGAATGAATTCTGAAGATTGGATTGAACGTGTTTGCCTCTAAAGACTGATTTTCTGGAGAGATCAGAAGAGAAAGTATTGCCAAATTTGAGCATATACAAAAAGTACAAAAGAATATGTGACGAATTGGTATGAATTTTGTGCAAGATGTGCAGCAAAGGCATTGACAAAGTTTGAGCCTATCAGTAAACTGAAAAGAATCGAACAAAAACTACAAAAAAATGTGACGAATTGGTATAAATTTTAAAGAAAATGTATACTTCATTAATTCGATTTATAGATATTTAATATATTTCAGTAATTCGAAATATAAACTTTAGGACGTTTGCTGTACATATTGTGCCGTTAATCTTATTGTCGAGTCGGTTGAGGGCGATATCCAACACTCTTTTCTCAGAAATCTCAAACTATCCCTCGCCCATGAAGTGTTTTATAAGCCTTTCGACAAACGCTATGAGCCCTTAAGTGAGAATACGAAATATATTTAAAAAACATCAATATTTAACTTTTTATGTAATATTTCTCTACTCGTAAATAAATTGAGAGAGATCGAAGGAGGACAACTACTTTTACTAAAAAAAACAAACACTATTAAGCCCTATAGAGAATATTTGAAGCTCTTGTAAAATCAAGAGTAAGTTTAAATACAAATTGATTTCTGCAATGTGTCGCAAGTTTCTAGTATAGGGGCCTACTAGCTTTGTGATTAACCACCAATGGTAAGTCTTTACTTGAAAGTGCTTAATAATCAATAGGTACTGCCAAGATCGAACACGCAACCTCCGGGGTTTGTTGTCTTAAATTATTTGGCATGTCTAGACATTACATAGCCACGCCATGGAAAAGTCATGCTCGCAGATTATATATTTTTAAAATGGAAAATAAAAGTACCGAAAGTCTATCAGAAGACTATGGAGACTATCGAAATTAGGGTACCAACTTGTGACATTTTGACCCAAAATGAAAAAGAATCAGACATTAATCAGACATTATTTACTCCAGAAATGCCCAAATATACCATGTCCAAACCCATTCACGGTTTCACATGTAAAGGGGGCACTAAATTAATTTTCTGCCATTATTGTGATAATTGATGCTCAATGTGGTGTGTTTTATTTCACAATGGGTTTTTTGTCTTACCCAGGATAACACATTTATCGTTTATTTTGTGCATGATTGCGTATGGGGACACTTTTACACGGGAGATCCAGTAAATGGCTTAAAATTCAAATTTTTCAAGATTGCGATCTTTGTTATGATTTCACACTGATCAAGTGGGACATGTTATTAATGGAAATACATTTGGATATGCCCGTTAACCCAATAATCTTTTTATTTCTCAGAAACATTACGAATTGCCCTTGTAAAAGGGACACCAAAAGAAGAGGACTTTGTTTACAGGTGAAACATTTGGGCTAACGCACTGTGAATCTCGCTCAATTTTTAAATCATCTAAATATAGTGCCATTCTGAAACAGTTTTAATTTGCTTTAACATAATGAATAGCAATTGTCCATACACACATGTGCACATGGTAGTATTTGATGACATAATTATAAGAACCAAACAACATATTTCAACAGCAGTTTTTAAAATGTCGCAGCTTTGGTGTCCCTTTTACACCTTAACCGTGAACTATTTAGCTGTCAGGAAATTAGTTAGTTTCATGCTTTGCTGCCAGATATTTAGGTAAAAGTTCCATAATTTTACCAACTAAAATCGTTTGTATATATTTCACTGTTGGTAATACTAGGCCAACAAATATGACAATATAAAGAAGGACACCAACATTGATTGGCCCCACATTTTCGGAATACGTCATATACGTTTAAATGGTTATTGGACTTATTTCCTCGTGTTTGAAATCTGGTAAAGCACATTAAGAAACACGAAATAAGTGCGGATATTAGAAGATGATACTGATCCGCTTTAAATTATATTTGCATCGCAGTTACTATATGGTACATGTAGTATAGAATTGTCCTCCCGCTGCACTCACCAAACATTTAAGTTATCTGATACACTATATACCATCAAGTGGAGAGGTTGATGAAAGCATATATCACATCACAAGAATACAAATAGGTGCGCTCTCCTTGGGCAGATTCAATCTTATATACTGCACACAACGTGATATGGAACTATGCCCCAACTGAAGGCACGTATTCACCTACATAATGTGGTATGACGACAGGTATCACGTGATCTAGCTTATATTTATTATTGTATCCAATTTATTTGTCACAAAAATCTGCTTCCGCGGACTCTTTATTGCATTTCGAGAATGAATTAAAATTGCGAGTGTGAGAATTGAGTAAAAATTTGCAGCAAGTTCTTTTTTCTGATAATATTTAATTTAATTCTAAACATTATAACTTAATTGGTCAAGGATAGTCTACTTTATTTCTAATTTATAAATACCTAAAACAGTTAACCCATACCCACTGGTTGAGAGCCTGTCACGTGCATGGTCGGTCTTAAACGGATGATAAAGACATGGCTGGCTGGTCTTGAACATTTTTCCCTGTGTCATATGAAATTTGGACTCCTGTGAAATACAGTGCCCTTTACCGTTTTATTGGTTGAACGTTCGCAATCCTCACGTAGGCATGCGTACATTTCTACCAGTAAGTCAGTATTTCAGTCCAAATTTCACAACGCACTAATCACCACGCGCGCGCCAATCTCCATTAATGGAGTTGTTAACGTCATTCTCGCGAGCTAGAAACATTGTTGAATTTTTAATGTTTGACTTGTTTTGACTTTTGGACCGAAAAGTTTTGATTTTGTGACCGAAAAGGTATTTATGAATGGGAATGATATGTGCTTGGTCGATATTAACTATGTTTAAGACTGGTTGGAGTCTGGAATGCTGATAATTACCCTCAATTCAATTTAATTCAAAATACCGTACTTTATTTATCCTTAAAATAGGCAAGTGCTGATAATTGCCCTCGGCTTGGCCTCGGGTAAGCACACATTTATTCCCTTAGTAAAACACAATATTGGTAAATAATCAATAAGATGCTGGTTTTCCTAATCAATAAGATGCTGGTTTTCCTAATCAATAAGATGCTGGTTTTCCTAATCAATAAGATGCTGGTTTTCCTAATCAATAAGATGCTGGTTTTCCTAATCAATAAGATGCTGGTTTTCCTAATCAATAAGATGCTGGTTTTCCTAATCGATAAGATGCTGGTTTTCCTAATCGATAAGATGCTGGTTTTCCTAATCGATAAGATGCTGGTTTTCCTAATCAATAAGATGCTGGTTTTTCTAATCAATAAGATGCTGGTTTTCCTGATCAATAAGATGCTGGTTTTCCTAATCAATAAGATGCTGGTTTTCCTAATCAATAAGATGCTGGTTTTCCTAATCAATAAGATGCTGGTTTTCCTGACTGACGATTGATGGACTTGAGCAAGAGCGTGTTATCATTGCGCATTATTTCCGTGCGCACGCGTAGTGCACACGAAGAAATGTTAACCCTAGATTAAAGGAAATATGCAATATGATTTTTATGACTGAAATACATTAAAAACAGCTCTCTTGCCGTGTTGCTATGACTTTCCACCTCCTTTGTTGCAGTAAAAGAGAGAAATTTCAACATTTTAGTTTTTATGCTAATGTACTTTCCATATTCTTGAGCCAAAGCGTGATGTCATTCAAGGCAGAACAGCATTGTCTCTAGAGCTTTTATTGTGTACAAAATATATATCAAACTTTTCTTCATTTTCTTGGACTAAGTTCCACTTTTTACTTGTTTATCATGTTAAACAGCTTGTTTGGACAATAAGTGGCCAGTATTTCTTCACAACTGTTTTGTGGGTAATTTTGAAGGACTAATTGTTGTACTGTTGACTTATGCACTTTTGACAAGGAGTACCTTGTGTGACAAAAGCAAAATGGCGCCGTCTTACATGTATCAATGAAAGGATTTGCTAATCATTGAAAAATTACCACTTTCTTGTCACTTCCAAGGAAAACAAGTATTAAGATCTTGTATGTATCGTTGCAACACATAGCAATGTGCATGAAAACAAGATGAGCTGAATTTCAACTTCATATTTCCTTTTAACAGGGAAAACAAAATCTATTCAATAAAAACTGATAGAAACAGGGTGCCAATAGTGCCCTCTGGATAGGGCAATGGCTACGAGCTAGAGTGTGCCACTTGGGTACATGGGTGTGACCAATGCGTTCAAATGTGCGGCATGTACGCTCTTCAGAGCATTCGCATGAAAATAAAGAAAAAGGCAGCGAAAAGGCCATAAATTAACGATCCACAGAAATGGCACCGCTGTGCTCTCAGTACGCCAATTATAACTTAGGCCTAATCATGCAGGAGCGCATTAAAGCCTATGATTCTGCCGCTCACTAAAAGCAAAATACGCTGCTCCTTAATAAATTAATGAATGTGAACAGAACATCATTCAGGATCGTGTGGCGATTCATCTCAACCCAACTGACAACGTGCCAGCATCCCTTTTGTTGACTTGTGAGCTATGGAGCGCATTCTCGTTTACAGATGTCTTGCAGTATCTTATCAACACTTGCAGGTCCTTTCTATCAAGTGAGTCGACAGGTAAATTGTCAGAAAATCTTCACTTGACATCTTGAGCCAAGGTACAGAACTGAAAATATTGGCACGACATGGATAACAGAGAGACAGTATTTGGGAAAGACAGCCGTGAAACGTTTGGCGCATTAGCGGTTATTAGCACGCCCGACGGCAGCACTCCGATGGAGGAAACTCGACAAGATGAGCACAGTCATCGTACATTCGCTAACCGGTTCCAAGATTTTGGCAACAGTACAACGTTTCATGGGCTCAGCTATGTTATCAACAACAAACACAATGGACCCAGAAGGTAAGATCTTATAATTCCAAATCGAGAGTCTAGATTTTCGATTGTAACTTTATCACCAGGGCGCCTCATAAAGCTTTCCTTTAATTAAACCAACAGTTACTTTGTTTGTTTTTTCTAAAAACTGAAACAACACTTTGTCAAGATACAGGGTGTCCAAACAAGTAGTAAAGGGGTCACCTAACCCCTTTTTCAAATTTTGTTCAAAGCACAAACTG